CTTTCTTTCTTTCTTTCTTTCTTTCTTTCTTTCTTTCTTTCTTTCTTTCTTTCTTTCTTTCTTTCTTTCTTTCTTTCTTTCCTTCTCTCTTTCTTTCTTTCTTTCTCTCTTTCATTCTTTGTTGCCAGATCAAAGCTTTGGTTGGACTCCAACCGCGTTGAAAAGCTCATCCTTGGCATTCACCTTGCATGCACCACTCTTCAAGAGCGCCTTAGTCAAATCGTCAATCAAGTCATCAGCGTTTTCGATACCAATACACAATCTGATCAAGTCTTCAGGGAATTCTCTTTCTTCTCTTGTCTTTGCGTCTATAGAAGCATGACTCATCTTACATGGCATAGAAATAAGCGAGTTGACACATCCAAAGGAAACAGCAATTCCAAAGATATCAGTCAGTTCGACAATCTTCTCAGAAGTCTTGATGTCACCGGTCTCAAATGACAACACTGCACCGGCTCCTCTACACATGGACTGATGGAGTTCGTATTGAGGGTGGCTCTTCAACCCAGGATATCTTACTTTGAAGCCAACCAGCTGCAAGAAGTCTGCAATCTTGTTACAGTTCTGTTGCTGTCTTTCCACACGGACAGCTAATGTCCTCAAACCACGGCACAAGAGCCACAGGTCGAAGGGAGATAACCCGCACCCGGTGGAATTGATAACGTAGTAGATCTTTTCGGAAAGCTGTGTCAGTCTAGTTGCAATTACTCCGGCCATGATATCGTGGTGACCGTTAAGGTACTTGGTGGCAGATTCGTACTGAATGTCTACACCAAGGTCTAATGGGGTCATCAAGATAGGCGACATCATGGTGTTGTCAAAGACGACAATACAGTCTGGGTTTACGTGGTGGGCATGCTCAGTGATCAGTTTGACATCACACACCTTGATTAATGGGTTGGTAGGCAGCTCTAAGAAGATCATTTTGATATCCTTGGTAATCTTCAGTTTGATTAATTCCGTATTGGTGGTGTCGTGGTGGTGTACCTTCAAGTCTCCCTTATTGTTCAAGTAGGTCAACAATCTGTGAGTACCACCATACAAGTCATCGCCGGCAATAACCTCATCACCGGGCTTTAAGAGTCTGGTGATCACATCCAAACATCCCATACCACTTGTCACTGCAAAAGTGTGGTTGGCCTTCATGATTTTGGTCAAATGGTTCTGTAAGTAGGTTCTTGTTGGGTTACCGGATCTAGTATAATCGTACTCCCCCATATTGGAGAGCGAGGGCTGCTTAAATGTGGCCGATTGGTACAAAGGAGGTACGGATGCATTGTACTGGTCACTGGATTTGGAAAGAACCAACTCGGTTTCGATTGAGTAACTCTTAGTCATGATCTTACTCCGGAGTTTCTTCTGTCTCTATTTATCTCTTGGGGTACTTTGTCCTCTATAAAGAATATCTATTCAGTCCGGGAACTATGTCTCAGAATTGTTTCGTTTGAAATGGAATAGGTATCTCAGCTCAACTTGCTACTATTCAGCTACTTTCTGGTCTTAGTTAAGTTCTATAGTATAGGAAGAAAGGAACAAATTTCAGTCAAGTTTTTTTCAGTTTCTTTTTTTTTTTTCATTCCCTTCGTTACGTTTTTTTTTTATTAGATACGCTGTGGACAGCCGTACACCCATATTAGATTGCGAAGCTGTGACTAATAGTGAAGGAGCAGAGCGCATTGTGGTGGAGCACGTGATGTAGAGTCATACATACGGGGAAGTCAGCGGTGGTACTCCGAATGCCGCTAATATGCAGGACACGAAGGTCGGTCGTTAGATGGTCTTAGAATTTGGTGCTAAGCGAGGGAAGAGAGCTAGGTGAGGTGGTGGTTCTGTTCTTGAGGCTGGTAGAAGTGACATGACGGGAAAGATAAGTTTTGTATCTAAAATTGAGAGAGAAAGCCGGTGTGTATTATTCATGCAAACTAGCGAGCTAGGTTGAGAGTGGTGATCTCTGTTACTCCAGCTACGACATCGGTGGTTGCGAATGAAAGTTTGGCCCGACAGCGAGAGTAAATGTTCCAAGAGAGATTGAGTAGAGGAAATTCTCTGCATATTCAGTGGTCGCTTCAACTACAGAAGCCCAGTCTTCATAGCCCGAACAGAAATGTGAAAAGGCTTATATGCAGTATGTGACATGCCACGATATCACTGGGGCCAGTCTACTCGAGCGAAGCGAGACCAGCTCAACGCAGTTGCTCCCGCCGAGCAGGCGCCCTGGAGGAGGCAAGGACCGGAATTTAGGCTTCTGTCGCTGTACCATCGCTTTGCGGTCCCTGTTCGGCAAGAGCAACTGCGTTGAGCTGCGAGATGGGCCACGCTTCGCTCACTACAATAGTTCTACATTCAGTATAATACATAGTTTTCTTTATTTTTTATGGGAGTTTTTCTATTTCCATTTTAAATGTTCTATGGTGAGCTCTCGTAGGAGAGTCCTCTCTTTAAACAATGCTATTGATCTATTTTCAATTAGGGTGTGTGAGTGTGTGTGTGTGTGTGTGTGTGTGGTGTATGGGGTGTGGAGGAGTGCGTGAGTTAGAGAGTGGGTGATTTGAGTCTCTGCTTGCACTTGAGTTATGAGTAGTTCCTTTGAAGTGGTTGGCGTAAAGTGGAGTAGCAGTGTGCAGCGGTCGGTCAGTAATCGCGGGTTATACCATTCTATACTGAATGCCAGCCATTTCATTACAAACCAGGCTGAATGAACTTACCTATATCAGTTGGCTCCTTACCTAACAAGACCTTTCTACCGGAGTATGGCTCACAGGATTCTCTACCTGAGTATGGGCCAGGCTTGACTTCCTTACCTGCCTTTAAGTCTTCCAATAACTTCTTGGTGTTGTCGGCGGTTAAATCTTCATGGTAGTCATCGTTAACAGCCAACATTGGGGCGTTAACACAAGCACCAAGACACTCAACTTCTTGGAATGTAAAGATCTTGTCATCAGTGGTTTGGCCTGGTTTGATACCTAAAGTGCTCTTTACTGCTTCCATGATATCATCGGATCCGCACAATTGGCACGGAGTGGTAGTACAGACTTGTATATTGTATTTTCCCATTGGGGCTCTGTTGTACATGGTATAGAAAGTGGCAACTTCGTAAACTCTCATTGGTGGCATGTCTAACAACTTGGCAACATAGTTCATCACTGAAATAGAGGTGAACCCTAACTGACGTTGGCCGAGATCTAAGAGCGGCATAACGGCTCCCTTCTTGTATTGTGCTGGGTATTTAGCAATGACCTCCTTTGCACGGGCTAAGTTGGTCTTGTCGAACTCAAATGGCAAGTTTTGGTTGTCTTCAGTGGTGTCTCTGTGTACAGAGATGATGGAGTAGGGCCTGCGCACAAAGTTGGCACCAGATGCCCTTAACATGCTGGCGTTGGCAAATCTAGCGACTGATGACTTAGCTGCGGATATAGAATGGATCATTTCTCTGTAAGATGGAGGGATTTGATGCTGAAAGAGTGCTTTAACGTCCTTTTTCCAAATGCTTTCTGTTGATTGGGCTTTTGATGATTTTCTGGGATTTTTTTTTGAAAAACAGTGTGTTTGTGGTTATATGCAGGATAAATGGAGACCTAGTGGTAATGGAGTTTTGTGAGATTTTATTGGTGGAAGTCTGGGGGGTGCGGGTTTGTGCAGGATGTTGACTGGCCTGCACCTGAGAGCGGTGGTGTAGCTAGGTTACTGGGTGGGTGGAGAATGAAGTGTGAAGGTATGGTACTGTACGCAATTAGATTAGATTTATGGTATTCCGGTTTACAGAGCATACTCATAGTATAATGAGGAATATGGATAAGTTTTTTTTTTTTTCAGTTTATGGTTTCTTAGCTTGGCATAGTGTATGCTGCTGTTTATCTATCCAGTGTCTATGCGTTAAGTGTGTATTTTATTTTTTTACAGAGATAGAAAGCGCTGACCGCTGGGTGCAAATCTGACATGCTAGCCTTTTGCTTTCGTTCCTGCTCGTGCTGACAACTTTGTCCAGCCAATCTGTAGCGGAATTTTCTCAATCATGCACTGGAAGTATGCAATGTCCGAGAGTATAGGTGCAAGAACTGGCAATCATCAAGCACCAGCTAGCTACTCGACCGTCTTTCCTGTGCTGTTCCTGCATGTGCATCTCTCTGTTAATGTCTCTCTGTTATATCTTGCCTATCACCAGGCATATGTCTCTTTCACCACTATATCATCAGAAAATATTCAAGTGCATTTTTCTTCATTTCGCTATTGGCCCTTTCTTTGCACACCACGCTTCACCTCAGTATTACTTACCCCATCCGCAGTTAAGGTTTATTCCTCGTTCATTGTTCGTGATCTGGCACCCTCTATTGTTGCACCCAGTTCAATAGTACGTGTGTTCACCAAACTGAAATATTTTGGATCACAATGAACCGGCAAGCAAATGCCTGTAAATTTCCCCTCATACTTGTCATTCTGATAAGAACTAAGTACAGCTTTTCATACTCCTCTAACGTACTTTCTATGGGCCCGGTAGATAGTAGTCTGGCTGGAATCTCTATCACACTATCACTCTATCACACTATTGTTCGTCCTGTATACAACCGATCAATTTAATTTTTCTGTGATTTTTTTTTTTTATTTTTCTTCCCTTTTCAGCAGCACTTAAAACTCAAATAACCACAACCCCACTAAATAGCAGTGTTAAGTGATACAATCAGTAAGATAACTATAGAAAGTGCATCAATCTGTCGATTTTAGATACTGCTAATATAAACAGAACATATGTCATCAAATTCGTTTCGAAAAAACTTCGAAACTCCTCGATCTCCATCCAGGTCTACCAGGACTAATTTGGAGTTGCCAAGGATCGACAATGGTAGCTCCGATTCGTTTACTGGGGGTGGAATGCCATCAACGAGTCCAAGACGAAGAAACAAGGGTAACAGCATATTCTCAGATAGATACATTCCTAATCGAGCCGGTGTAGACTTGCAAGCAGCGTTCAGTTTGTCCAATCAGGAAGTCAATAACACTGTGAGTAACAGTAATCATCATCATAGGAATGGTAGCAGCCACAGCTCGATCGGAAACTCTGGCCTTCTTGGCAGTTCTCTTAGCGGTGGTATATCAGGGACATCTGGCGGCTCAGGGGGAGGAGGTATTAATGGATCTGGAGGTGGAGTTGGTGGTAACGGTGGCTCGGGAAGCATAGGTGGTTCCTCCGGTGTGTTGGGAGGTGACAACGATATAGAAATACGAAAGGAAGAGGAAGCTAATAAAACATTTTCTACCATATTGAAGGCAGAACTCTTTGGGGACAATGTGCCTATGGCAGCCGTATCTGCTAATAAGAGACCAGTGCTGGTAACTGGCTCGAATGACCTTTCAGGAAGAGGTAATTTAATGTCATCTGGTGGTGGAGGTGGAGGAGGGAACAGCAGTACATCATCGGGTAGGTCCACTCCTCCAAGGTCGACCACAGCAATGGGAATGAATGGATCTGGCTCTACATTAACAACTGGTGCTACTTCCACTACTACAGGATCTACTTCTGCTTCTACTACAAATAACACTGGCTCGTCAAACCTTTTCACATTTCAGTCTCCGCAGAAGTCTCGTCCAGTCTCTCGAGATCTCCAATCTGAGCTTTATTCACTATCTCCCGTGCGCCAGGATTCGCAGAAGTTGTTGCTCCTGCCTCAGAAGAAACCAAGGAATATCTCGAAAGTTCCATACCGTGTCTTAGATGCACCTGAGCTCTCTGACGATTTTTACTTAAACTTGGTAGATTGGGGTTCGCAGGACATCCTTGCAGTAGGATTGGGTGATAGCGTATATCTTTGGGATGGAGCCACTCAGTCTGTAGATCGTTTGTGCAACTTACTGAACAAGGATAAGGTAACGCTGTTGAATTGGATTGGCCTGGGAACTCATTTGGCCATTGGTACGCTGAAGGGGCTTGTTGAGATCTGGGATGCTACAAAGATTAAGTGTGTGAGGACAATGTCTGGTCATAATTTGAGAGTGCTGTCACTTGCGTGGAATGAACATATTCTTCTGCTGGGTTCAAGAGATCGTTCTATATTGAACCGTGACGTGAGAGTGGCTGAACATTACATCAACAGACTAGAGCATCATAAGCAAGAAGTGTGTGGTTTAAAGTGGAATGTAGAGGAGAATAAGTTAGCACTGGGAGGTAATGATAACAAGCTATTTATCTGGGATGGGGTGAATAACCTGTCACAGCCATTACACGAATTTCACGATCACACTGCTGCCATAAAGGCAATACTGTGGTCGCCACATCAACGAGGAATTTTAGCATCTGGAGGTGGTACAGCTGACAAAACCATCAAAACTTGGAACACTTTGACAGGCCAACTTCTTCATGATGTCAACACGGGGTCTCAAGTGTGCAATTTAGCATGGCTGAAAAATTCCAATGAATTAGTGTCTACTCACGGGTATTCGAGGAATCAGGTTGTCGTATGGAAGTACCCATCTATGCAGCAAATCGCTCTGTTAACTGGACATACCTACAGAGTGTTATACCTTTCTCTTTCACCGGATGGTGAGACAATTGTGACGGGAGCCGGAGATGAAACTTTGAGATTTTGGAACGTTTTCGAAAAGAACAGGAATGACGAGCCTCCATCTTCAGTACTTTTGGATGCTTTCCTGCAGCTTAGGTAAATGAAATTATGGGAAATGATTTTCTATTCTTTTCCTTCTTTATTCTTAGTACTATCCTTCTAAAGGGGTTGAGCTCCATGAAGAATAGGAAATGGTCATGCTCATTCATGAAGTAAAAGATACACAGAAAAGTAAAAGGAAATACAATGAAATGTTCTTGCGGTTTGTAAGTTAAAAGAAATAGTATAATAGAGAATATTTTGACTACTTAATTGGTGATAATAAACGTAGATCCTATATTGTTTCTTTGAATAGAATTATTTCTATGTACTATTATGTGTAAATAGAGCCTACGATGTTTAGCTGTGAGTTTCCAAATGATTTTGCAACAATTCCTTAAAAGGGAGAATATTCCGATATGCGCGGCTCCAGAGGCAAGAAAAACGTATATTAGTCATCGGCTTTGAGAGGCATACGTCCCGATCTCGGTATAACACGGACTACTAGAAAGGATAGGTTGTGGGGAGAGTAAGATGTTTCGTCTACAGACAAATAAGCTACACTCCTTCGTATATGAGATACCCAATACTACAGCTTTAAAAAATAAATTTGTGATGTAGAACAAATGTCGTACATGTTCGGTGCATGCTGAAATGGTTGCACAGATTTACCAAATACGATAAGGATTCCTTAGTGTACATGTCAAACTTTAATGGGCATCGAGCCTCAGAATCCAAAATCAAAACGAGGTACAGTAAGAGAGTTAAACAAATAATATCTACAGTTTAAAGTCCACACAGATTTCTCCTGGCATCTTGTGGATTCCTTTCATTTTCTTACTCCATAGGCAGCCTGCGCGCTCCCACCTTTGTTATACGTGCATTCCATATACGCCTTATCTGTAGTTCCCCTAAAGGCTAATCATTCCGTGCTCTCCTGCACACACCCAACGCACCGGTTCCGCTTGATGATTACTCATTGATTGAATTTCTTTTTCTGCTGGTACTTAAGCTTTGGATGGACCCCAATAAGTGAAAAATAATTTTCCAGTATACTCAGATCAATACCAAGTTCAACTACTTAATATAGATTAAAATAATTTGTAATGACCTTACCTGAAGCCAAAGATTTATCCCACTTGCTTTCTGCTGAAGCAGCATCGAGAAAAAGTTCTCCATTAAAATCTGCGTTTAAGTACTATGGTTTACCAGGTATGACCTTTTTAGGTGGTGGATTACCATTGTCTGATTATTTCCCATTTGACAAAATTTCTGCTGATATTCCAACTGCTCCATTCAAGAACGGAATTGGTGCGCAAGTAACTAAAGAAGATAAGACTGTAGTTGAAGTTTTCAAGAAGCGCGAATTAAACGATCCTGCAATCAAGGATATCGAATTATCCAGAAGTCTTCAATATGGTTACACGGAAGGTGCTGTCGAATTGATTAGTTTCTTGAAGGAACACACCGAAATGGTGCACAAGCCAAAGTACAGTGACTGGAACCTTATTTCAAGTGTGGGGAACACCCAATCTTGGGACGCTACCTTGAGAACCTTTTGCACTAGAGGTGACAATATCCTTGTAGAAGAATATTCATTTTCATCAGCATTGGAAACTGTCCATGCTCAAGGAATTAACACTATCCCAGTCTGTATGGATGCGGAAGGTATCATCCCATCTTCATTGGCCAAACAATTAGATGAATGGGTTGGATTCAACAAGCCAAAGTTACTCTACACAATTTGTACTGGACAGAACCCTACTGGATCTTCATTGACTGCAGCAAGAAGAAGAGAAATTTATGAAATTGCCTGTAAGCACGATTTGATTGTCGTTGAAGATGAACCTTATTACTTTTTGCAAATGGAAGCATACACTACAGACTTGGAAAAGAGAAATCAACGTCATGTCCACTCGCACGAAGAATTCTTAAAGGCAATGGTTCCATCATACCTTTCACTTGATACTGAAGGTAGAGTCATTCGTTTAGATTCCTTCTCTAAGGTTTTGGCCCCAGGTTTAAGATTTGGTTGGATTGTGGGCCAAGAGCAATTACTTGAAAGATACATTAGATTACACGAAGTTTCCATTCAATGTCCTTCAGGTGTCACTCAATCACTTACCAACGGTCTTTTGCAAAGATGGGGTCAAAGTGGTTACTTGGACTGGCTCATTGGTTTAAGATCTGAATATACTCACAAGAGAGATGTAGCCATTGATGCCGTCTCTAAGTATTTCCCAACTGAAGTTACTGAATTTGTTCCTCCAGTTGCTGGTATGTTCTTCACAACTGCTTTCGATGCCTCTAAGCATCCGAAGTTCGAAGAATTTGGAAAGGACCCATTGAAGGTTGAAAATTCTATTTATGAAAGAGGTTTAGAAGAAGGATGTTTAATGATCCCAGGTTCTTGGTTCAAGGTTGAAGGTGAAAGTAACCCACCACAACCAAAGGTTCCAACTACCACCAACCCAAACTTGATTTTCTTCAGAGGTACATATGCAGCTGTTCCATTAGATGCATTGGAACATGGATTGGAAAAGTTCGGTAAGGCTGTCAAGCTTGAATTCGGTCTTTAAATACTTCCATGACCAATATAAGCTTTCAATTCTTCGTTTGTTGAACGGAAAATATTCAAATTTGTCCTATTTTATTTATATATGTGCCAGATGTACTATGAACTATAAACTATAGAAAATGATGCGTACAACCAAAAAAGGTAATACACTAGCAAGAAGTTAAGTGTGCAAAAAGGTATCGATTCACTCTAAATAATTTAAAATAAACATTGGCTGTGTTTACTACATAGAATTACGAACTGTAGAAGGCTCTGTAATGGTATTATCTGTTTGCTATACTTTAATATGAACCATGTAAGCTTTGAGCCCTTTGAACCGTACCAATTTTCAATGTTACTTATTTTCGCACTACCACCAATATGAAAAATTGGTGTAACAACACAAACATTGACGTTTATTGTGTAAGAAAAGAGTATCAATTCTTCTTTAGGGTTGGGAAGAATATCATGCATATATTGAAGGTTCCATGGTTTGGACACCAGGGTAAGTACATGCTGTAGGGATGTGTTCTATATGAGTTTATTTGAGTGTATTTGGGTGTATTCTTGAATATTTTGATTCTACGTTCTCATTCTGGAAAGGACTACTAACATCAATTTTAGCTGAAAACAAGAAGGTTGGATGTTATACTGTCACCATCAATAACTCGGGCACTAGATTAGCTTCTGGGGGTCTAGACGGAAACGTTAAGATATGGGACCCTAAGCTGATTTTACAATTCATAGAACTAGAAGACAAGGAGAATGTAGGACGAGGAAAGAAAGGTGGAGCAACCTCGAAGAAAGAATCGAAAGAAAATGGTCTTCTGTTTTCTAAGTCTGGTATTAATGGAGCTAGTGGCACTAGCGATGATAGATCACTCAGTTCAAAGGCTTCAGTAGATATTCCATGTAGGGCTCTAGCCACGATGAGTCGTCATAACGGTGCTGTGACTTCTGTCAAATTTTCTCCATCAGGACAATACCTAGCTTCTGGATCAGATGATAAAATTGTTCTCATTTGGGAGAAGGAAGCGGCGAATTCGTCGTCAACACTAAAACAATTTGGAGATGTAGATGCCGATTTGGAGCATTGGACTGTTCGGAAAAGGCTCGTGGCTCATGATAACGATGTTCAAGACATTGCCTGGTCTCCTGATGGATCCCTCCTAGTTACCGTGGGGTTGGATAGACTGATTATAATATGGAATGGAAATACTTTTGAAAGGATTAAAAGATATGATATCCATCAATCCATGGTTAAAGGGATAGTATTCGATCCCGCTAATAAATTCTTTGCAACTGCGAGTGATGATAGAACTGTTAGGATATTTAGGTATCATAGGAAACATCCACTGAGAGGTGAACATGAATTTCAAATGGAACACTTGGTTATAGATCCCTTCAAAAAGAGTCCCCTTACTTCGTATTTTAGAAGAATGTCATGGTCCCCTGATGGTCAACATATTGCTGTCCCCAATGCCACCAATGGTCCGGTAACCCTGGTTGCAATAATTAATAGAGGTAGTTGGGGCACCGATATAAGTTTGATTGGCCATGAAGCGCCATGTGAAGTTGCATCTTTCAGTCCTAGATTATTTGAAAAGCAATTGACCAGCAATGGCAAAAAAGAATTGGCAAGGAAACCATCAGACAATGATGGTTTCACAACTGTATTAGCCACTGGAGGGCAGGATCTTTCATTGGCGGTTTGGAGTACAGGATGCAGTAAGCCAATTGTTGTTCTTGCAAATTTCGTTGAAGACTCTATAACTGATGTGTGTTGGGCACCTGATGGGGTAACTTGTTATGTAAGTTGTCTAGATGGAAGTATACTGTGTGTAAAATTTGAAGAAGGGGAATTAGGAGGAGCAGTTGTTAGTGAAAAGGTGAATGATTTAGAATTGAATAGATATGGAGTTGGAGAAGGAGAAGTGTTGGCAGAAAGTAAAGAACAGTTGGATTTAGAAGCTGTTGGGAATAGATCAATTGAAGGTGAGTTGCTTCCAATCACAAACGATGTAATACGAAAAATCGAGGGTGTCAGGGCGAGCACTCCAATAAGTATTGAAAAGGAAAAGAAAGAGGAGCCTCTTGAACTACCCAGCTCACCTCTGGCAAAACCTCCCCTGAAAATAAAACAAAATGTTACTATTACGAAGGATGGTAAAAAGAGAGTCGCCCCGATGCTAGTCTCTTCTGCAAAACCTTCTTCTTCCACTATATTCACTTCGGCGTTACATAAAAGGGCACCTGCCTCTTCCAGCTCGAAGAATTATACCCAACTTTCTTCTGCTCTGTATCAACTACCTAAGTTTGGTCTTCAGACATCTGTTCATGGAATTAAGTCCAGGTTTGCAACAGGACCGGCTGAAGCTATTCCAGAAGACCAAGATAATGACAATGAGGACATGGGTATGATAGAAGAAGGTGGTGCAGGCATTGATGTAAACAGTGTTGCTACGATTTCTGATACAACTCGTAAAAGACAACGTAACAAATTAAACCGATTGGCCATGGAAAATAGATATCCTATACCTTTCCGTAATGTTTCAAGCTTGCCGGAATTTCTTTTCCATCACCCAGAGGTTATCAACGCTCTGTTGACGACAGTTCCAAAGGAAGTGAGCTCCCATGGAAGTAATTCTAATACTACTGTCGCAGTTGGTGGTAATGGAGCCGGAACCAGTTCAGGTTCGGGAAGTGGCTCTGAGTGGACAATTTCAACAAGTTACACTCCAGAAGACGAAAATCTTATTTTTAGTGTAGTCAAATCCTCAACCCAGGAAACTAAAGGGTTTTCTACCATTGAAATTAGAAATGGACCACCATGGAACGATAATGAAGATTTCGAATCAGTTCATAATGATAGAATTGACTTCCAGGATCCTACGATTGTGACCATATCCAATCAATCTTCGAAAACCAAAAGCAATTTGTATTATCCCTTTAAAATCCAGCATGCCATTCCGGTATTTTCTTCCGGGCTATTACAATACTATGCATTAATTTCGTTTCTGGGTGCCTTACAATTAATTCATTCGAACACTGGATCTTTGGTTACACCTACAATCGAACTAGGTGGTAACGTGGTAATAGTAAGACAATCAGGACAATTCTTGCTGTGTGTTACTAATGGTGGTTTAGTTTATGTTTGGAAGCTCCCACATAAAACTTCTAGGCTGGGTCTCGTAGGAATAATCAATGGTGTCAGCATGGCTGGAATTTGGAATTGTGATGTGAGTTTATCGTCTGAGGCAGATTCAATTAAGAAAAATGGTTTAGGTATAGAAATAAGGCCAGGATGTTCATCTACTGCGAGTGCTTATGAAATAGATTCTACCACGGGCAGTCCTTTCGTAATGTTGGAAGAGGATAATTCGATATATCAGTACTCTATTGATCTTATGTGTTGGATGAAAGTTATAGATCCATGGTATTTCTTGGGATTCGAAAATGGTGAGGTTTCGACTCACCTTCCAGGAACCATATTGTCTTCATTGGCACACAAGCTGATTTCTAAATATTATGAAGAAGTAAGGCGAGGATTGTCGACTGTCTACGTTGGCGAAGGTAAGCTAGTTGAAAGTTTAAAGGGTGAAATGAGGAAAAGGTATCATGAAATCTGTGAGAGCTCGGAAGTCAGTTCAAAAAAGATAAAGTTGAATGAAAATTAAGAAATTCGAATGATGAAGCAGATGGATATTCCATTATATACTATGTAATTGGCAATCTATAAATATATATCCACGACAACTTTAACTGCAGGGGTGGTTTCGTTTACAATGTTTAATCAAATTATTGGATCTTTTTACTCTCCTTTCCAACTTTTCCATTTTCCTTTTCTTCTACTGGCTTACTGACCTTCTTATCGAAAAATATGAACTGAATGGTAGATATCAACAGGCTGATCACGGAATTCAAAGAAAACATCCAAATAGTAAGACCTATTCCACCAGTTGGAACAAATGGTAATGCAAGAACCCATTCCACTGGATATGGTAAAGCTCCTGGTGGAACATAGAAGAGGATAGTTTTTCTAAACCAAACTCTGGATACCCAGATTGGTATGGTAGTTGCTATCGTAATTATATAACCTACGTACTTACTGATTCTCTGTTCATCCTGCACAATAGCCTCGTTCATGACCTTGATTTCTGCTTCCAACTTATCATGCTGACGATTAAGTTTGGTCCATTTGGCGTATTGATCTTGAGCAGAGACTTTGCTACGTTCAGCTTTGATTGAGGTCAAATCTGATTTAAGTTTGGCTAGTTTAATAATTGGTGAATCATCTGAGCTGGCGGGGTTCTTTGTGGTTCCAGATGTTTTCCACAGGCAATACTTGTTCCATACAAGCTTTTCAATATTTTTCTTACCAATGGCACCGACTATTTGCTTCGATAATATCACTAGTAATATGGTGAATAATATAGTAAAAGGCTGAAGATCCAACATAACTGAGCAGACTGTGAAGTAAACAGTAGTAGAGGGGCACTGGTGGAGTTCAAGATGAAAAAATCATGGAAGTACGTCAAGCAGAATCAAGAATGATAATTATATGCAGGATAATGCACATTTATTAAATCAACCAGAAGTTGAGATAGACGAGATAGAGAAGAAAGGAGGCAGAAAACAAGGTGATGCATTTCCAATTGATTGGAGACACACCCCATGTACTGGTACCCGAAACTTTTTGAAGCGAAACTCTAGATTATCGACGCCATCGGTACCAGGTCAATGTAAATAATTCTTGTGTGCACGTGATCCTCTCTGCAACCTTATGGTTCTAGTTCACTTCACCATAGATCTCGAATGAAAAATACCAGCAAGCAAGCAGGTTACGTATGTATACTACATATACGACTGCAGCTATAAATATTGATAATTATTCTATTTTCCAATTCTTCCACTAAGCAAAGTGAATGTCTTTTAGGACACTTCGGTTTAGGAACTTTGATAACGTAGTTACCAACGCTACCATAAAATACAAAAGCTAGTTTGTTACACAAAATGAAATCCATGGGAATGATGAGCCAAAAAAATTCGGTTTCCTAGTAAAAATCAGGGAGCAACAAACACATACCCATACAGCATACCAATATAGCCAATATCCTCAAGTAGAAAACAGGTCATGTCTAGTGACCCTGAAGAAGATTACGTATCTTGGATACAAACTTTTTGTGAATCATTTGGGCATGATTATTTTGTTCCAGTGTCTCAAGACTTCATAGAAGATGATTTCAATTTAACTGGGTTATCACTGCAAGTACCATATTATAGAGAGGCATTATACACGATATTGGATTATGAGGTTGAAACATCAGAGGACCAACCTAACAGTGTAAGTGGCGCTGTCAATAGTGTAGCTACTACCACAGCAACAACCGGAGCTGCATCCACAAGTGCCACTACGGCTAATGCGACTAGTAACGGGTTTAACGATAACCTGAGGGAACTCCCTAACAAGGTCCTTCTTGCTCGTTCTGCAGAATTACTCTATGGGCTTATCCATTCACGTTATATCATCTCAAAGCCTGGTCTTACTGCAATGGCCACTAAGTTTGAACGTAATGAATTTGGACTGTGTCCCCGTTATTACTGTGATGGCATGCACTTGATTCCAGTGGGAGCAACTGACATTCCGGGCCACGAGACTGTAAGATTATACTGTCCATGTTGTAATGATATTTATTTACCTCTGCTGTCACGTTATTTAAACATTGATGGGGCATTCTTTGGTACTACATTCCCTGGACTTTTGGTTAAGATGTTCCCTGAGATTGAAAATCAATGTAGAATAAGAACCCAACGATTCAATTCACAAGACTTTGGTATAAAGTTGTTTGGGTTTAAGATAAATGAATTGAGTTCAAGCGGCCCACGTATGAAATGGTTGAGGTTATATCCACTGACTGAAGCTGAAAAGGAAGAATATGAAAATTGTGAATTGGGCTTGCCTGATGAATTTGAAGATTTGACTGGAAGCGAAAGCGATATGGAGGTTGGAGAAGAGGAGGAAGAAGAGGAAGAGGAAGAAGAAGAAGGTGAGGATGATGACCGAACAATGGCGAGCGAGAACTAACTAGAAGGATAGATTTATATTCTAACAAATAGTTATACAAGGAGCGCATATTTTATAGCTGGAGCGCGCTTTCAGCGCATTCTGTCGGTGCCATCTCGTGGAAGCCCCGCCCTCTTTGTTTTTTGATATATTTTTTTGCTGTTGGAGCGCAAAGGGAGGTTTCTCTTTTTCTCTAATTGATGATAATCGCATAGGGAGAAGCTTTAATTGAAATTAATTAAATTATATGTAATTTCAATTCGCAACTCAAATTGGCTGGTCTGACCTCCATTAAAATTATGGAGTAACAATATAACTTGAGCTGCATCAACAAAGGTTCACTTCTTCACTTCCTACAACCTTAATCGACTACATTTGAAACAAAACAAAAAAAAAAAAAATATTGCCCTACATTAAGGTCTTCATGGTATAGTATGGAGTGTATATGTATAATAATATAGTAATAGAAATATCTATGTACAAGTTTTGTGGAAAGAGTGAGCTGTATCAGTACAGTGGGGAGATCGATCTGCTAGGGTACTTGAACTGGCGAGCCGAACCATTCCCCAATGTATCCTGTATTATTGAGTGTTTCAATAGAATTTTGTTGTCCTAGCTATGTCTACAATGTTCTTTGACACTTCCAGCTGTAATATACAACTCCTAAGGTTCCTTCTTTGGAAATGGGAACCCATATAAATATTGGAGGATGATCTGAAACTTGGAACATTTTTCACACACCTCGCGCCGGTAATTGGAGCCAATTGTGTAAATTTCTGATGCAGTTTCGGCGCAAGACTCTCTGGCAATTGGTCAGCCACTCAATGGGTAAGATGCACCGGTTTTCCTTGCTCCCAATCTTTGATAGCATTCTGTATATTGACCCAGTACTTCAATTGAATAGCTTCTAATACTATTTCATCCCAATTCAAATTTTGCACGTGACCGTCGGTGTTGTGTTGCTTCAATATTTCATCAATCTTTTCCTCGCTTTGCTGCAATCTCATATCATTCTCTTGAGATAAACTGTCTAAATCGGACTCCAGCTCAGCAGATTCCAATGATTCGTGTGCCTCTAATACATCCATAAGCATAGTCTTGTATTCTATAGACAATTCAGGCGAATTCTTTTGAAGGTCTGCAATTTGTTGCTTAGCAACTTCGTCCTGAGTAATGTCAATGTTAGCAGGGTGGTTCAACCGGATCACATGAGCTAGGCGGGTGTACGGGTTTTTAATCGTGGAATAGGCATCATTTACAAGTGATGAATGGTCATCAGAATTACTCACAGCCACATCCGGGTGATGTTCACTTTGAATTAACCGATATTCTCTACGAAGCAGTCTCAATTTTATTATGAAATCGTCTGCTGGTGGACCTCCGTTTGGAAAGTTCTGAGGGAAGATTTTGAAAAAGTTGGTTACCGAGTTGGCGCTGCTTGTAGAATAATTTAATCTCTGAAGAATTGGGTACCTTAACAGTGGTAAGGGTTTCCTTAATATTGTTTTCGACCACATTATACACCAAATCTTTGAACAAAGCAAGCTTTCCTATGAAAATAAATGAGGAAGCAATTATAAATGTTAACTTGGGAGCTGAAGTCAATTTTCCATAGTCGGTGTGATGTGTGTGATTCGTTGGTACTGCATGTAGCGAGAAGATGACTGTTGTAAGGAAATTATATCATCAACTTACAAGGAAAGAATAGAATTTGAAGTTGAAAAATAGCCTAAATCCACTCAAAACATAAGTACCTAAGCTTTTCTTCAAGTAGACTTTCTTGCTTGTAGGTATTCCAAAGGCAAAATGGCCCACAATATGATTTGCATCTTAAGTGTCGTACTGCATGTAAATCAAATCTCTGGAATATCCTGTATATAATTTTGTCAGAAGCGACTATAAAAAATTGCAAGCTTGCAATTTGTTACTAATCAGCTCTATATAAGAAGAGCATTGTTCATGTTTAAGAAACGCACTATTAAGAAAGATAACGCTAGGCCGAATGAGAAGAGGAAGTTGGAACAGGCAGACTTGAGTGAACTGGTGCAATTAGAAACCACGATTGATGGTGATGTGCCTGAGACACCTAAGACATCAAATTTCGCAACTCTGCAAAAAAACAGACTAGGTGGAACTGGTGGGTTTAAGAAGCGAAAACAATTGGATGACGAAAAGACTAAAAGAAGAGATGCTTCTGTACACTTGGAAGAGAATGAAGAAACAAATAATAATGTAAATAGGGAAGAGGACCAAGAGGCGCTGAAGGTATCTGTCTCCAAACCATTGAAGGCGATCCCGGTAAGCATCAACAGAACTACAGTTACTGATTTTCAACCTGATGTCTGCAAGGATTTCCTACAAACTGGATACTGTGGATATGGGGATACTTGTAAATTCTTACATGTTAGAGATGAGCTGAGGCAAAAGAGGGCCATAAATAAGGAGTGGGAATCTGTAGGTGGAAAAGCATCACAGAAGTCTATATCAGAAGTTGAAGTGTCAGGTGATGGATCACGTGGTCTGCCCCATCCATTTAGATGTGTGCTATGCAAATCAGACTACAAATCTCCAGTCATTACAAGCTGTGGACATCTCTTTTGTCAGAAATGCTTCTTAGATAGAGTTAAAAAGAAACACGCCTGTTTCATTTGTGGCAAAGATACACTAGGTGTATGTAAACCAGTGCTGAAAGCGGAATTAGCGAAGCTTTTAGAGAGCTAGACATGCTATAGGTTAGTACCATCATTTCCATTCAACTGCATATCGTAAGAGGTGAAATCCATTTTTGCTGACGATTAAACTACTGTATTATATATCAAATCCATATCTTAGGTATTCTTATTAATATATCCTGTTAATAACTTAGTCATTTCAAATACTCCGTAGATTGCTGATGTCCTGCATGTAGATGTGACATAAGAAGTCAAAATTCCGGAACATCATGGATCACTTACTAATCGTCTATGTCAATTTATCACCAATGGAAGCGTTACAAGATCAATTGGAGGGACTCCCAGGGTTTGGAATAGCCCAAGATTACTGGAATGATTATGCAGATGAAAAATTTAACAAAGATCCTTACGTAGATAAGAAGACTGGTAAAAAGCTTCGATTACCACCAGATATCACCACCAAAGAAGAACAGAAATTGTGGTTATCGTGTCAAAAGCAGGCTTGGGTCCACGATAAGTGTTTTTTGGGCTCATGCGGTGTGGGTTTAGATTGTGGGATTGGTATGGCTCCACTTTTCGCGCTAATCTTCCCCGTCATTGGACCGCTTATAATGTACTCAGTACATCTGAGCTTGATTCGTTCTGTGAATGACAGGATAAATATTCCCAACAAGGTTCTAGCAAAGATGGAAGGGCAAATAGTCATGGATTTGCTTCTTTCTTTACCACCATTGCTCGGTGCATTTCTTAGTTGGATGAATCTGTGTCTGACAAGGAATGCTGCAACCATATATGGATATATGTTAACTACAGCAAGAGAAAGAGTAAAAGGTGATGGACCCGTTTATCTTGGAACGGGTGCTATTGGCACTGAGCAGGACAATTTTTCACAGCCACTTCAACAACAGCAGAAAGCTGTGAGGCAGTCCAGACTGAAAAACACCTTTGTTCCAAATACAAGAAACGGTAATCAAACGAGTAAAGGCATAATTGTTGAAGGGCAGCAAGAATCAGGGTTCGTTTGAATTTTCCCTTTGAAACCAGTCTTATAGTATATATCTCTTCTTGAAGATATTGCAGCCACGCCTTGCGATGGGTCAATCCTGCGACAGCATAGCATTTCCAAAAAAGAAAAATCCATTTTTTTCACACTTCTAAAACTCATATGACTTCAATAAATTCAAGACCTATATACTTCATCCAGTACCTGTTTAAGCTACTGGTCTCTTTTCACATGTAGTTGACAATCTCTATTACCGTTATCTTTGTTGCACATGCCCTTCCCAAATGCACGTGGTGCAGGCACGAAAAAGCTCAGGCTCAAAAACTCAAGCAAGCGCTTATCCAAAATCAAAAACTGATACTTGTCTGTTTTCAAGTGGTATATCCAACAGTATTAGATAGGAGAATAGTAACAATGTATGAAAGACCAGAGGGAATTGAAAATTGCAAGATCTGGATCGACGGGTGTTTCGATTTTGCTCATCATGGTATGTATAAGTTGTCTGTAAAATGATATACCTGGATCAGATCAGATAGGAAGATGCGAGTATACTATATGGAAGATCATATATAAAGATAGTACAATATGGGAAAATTTTGTAGCTATGTAATGATTCAGCTACTATTTATAAGGTGCTACTGAACATAATGAGACGTAGGACTAATCAAGGTCTTGTGATGGAGTGATATTGTCTGTTGTTTGCTTTTTTAGTGAAGCAAAAAGGTTTACTTTTACCTTTTAACTAAAATTTGAAAATGACCATATACGACGTAGTTGAGAAGCTGGGAGTACTATGCGACCATATTATGAAACTGTGTAGTGTTATTCATCGAATCTGGTTAACATGATACTGGACACCCTAGTTTATCCCAGAGTACCCCACACAACTCCATTCTCTATTCGATATATTGGCTGCAAATGGTGTCAGTCGCACCTTTCATATTTTACTAACATCACTCATATAGGCCACGCTGGTGCAATGTTGCAAGCTAGACAGTTAGGAAAAGAATTGTATGTAGGTGTTCATTCAGATGAGGAAATTTTACATAACAAAGGTCCTGTTGTTATGAAGCTTGAAGAAAGAATGACAGCTGTAGAAGCATGTAAATGGTCAACCCGCGCTATTGGTGGTGCGCCATATGTAACTGACCCAAAAGTGATGGCAGAATACGAATGTAAGTACGTAGTTCATGGTGACGATATCACCACTGATGCAAATGGAGAAGATTGCTATCAAACTGTCAAAGACTTGGGCTTATTTGTTGTTGTCAAAAGAACTCCAAACATTCTGACAACTGATTTAGTTGGAAGAATGTTGTTGATGTCTAAATCTCACCACTTCCCCCAATTTAGTGGTAAGAAGTTCAGTAATGGGAACGAAACATTATTTGATTCGAGTCATTTAGAAAAATTCGGTCAGTACGCTACTGACCCTACTGGACTTGCCAAAGGATCCATTGTCTTGAGCTATAATGTTGGGGGCAATGGTCAATTGACTCAACTCATAGCACCTTCAGAGAGCAACAAAAAGGCTTTAGAAGAGAAAGGAATTTTCTATGTAGATGGAGGGTTTGACCTTTTCCACCCCGGTCACATTGAGGCACTTAGATTGGTTGCAGAAGATGCGACGAGCCATGGTGCCAAGGTAATAGTCGGAATTCATGACGACCACACGGTAAACGTGGAAAAGGGATTGAATTATCCGATTATGAATATCTTTGAGAGATCTTTATGTGTTTTGCAGTGCAGATACGTCGATGGTGTCGTTTTGGGGGCACCGTACAACCCAACAGAAGAAGGATTTTTAGAAAAATTACCTGGAAGTATCAAGAGAGTCTACCATGGTCAAGAGAAAGTTGAAGACTCCCAAGGAAATGACCCATATGCAAAGGTAAAGACTGAGGGTCTTTTCCACTTCATTGGACCTCATAAATTTGATGATATTAACACAGAAGTCATCGTCGAGAGAGTATTGAGTAACAAGGCTGCCTACGAAGCTAGACAAAAGAAGAAAGGCTGGAAAGCTGAAAATGAAAAATTATTGAGAGAAGAAGAATTGAAGAAACATTTGAAGTCTGAGTAGGCCGATACTCAAAATTGTTTTTTTATTTTGTTGACCACAGTGGAACATCTTCCACAGCAGCATACTCCGTACTTCGATAGTGTTTAGCTTCTGAAGTAGTAAAGTCGAGGCAGCTTTCCTCTTTCAATTCGAAAACATTTACCTTGAAAGTACTTTTTTAATGAAGGCAACACCATATAGATAATAGATATACAAGTTATTTTACGAACTGGACGATGTATTCCTTAATATTCTGTACGGTTTTGGTTTTTCCATGGTCTTGAATGTAATTTCACCAATTGGGTTAAAATTTTTACTCTACTTGGTCAACATAAAAAGATAAGAAGGACCCCTATTTTTAAATAGTGCTCAGGAATTACAATTTTCAGGATAGTAAATGGATGTTTCAATAATGTCGTGTATTTCGTTTGATTTAATTTATTTCATTTCATTTAATTCGTAAAAGTTATGTATGTGTATATGATTTTCGTAACGATGGTAATTCTACGCAGCAGACAGAGAGTATGGCTGGGTAAGAAATCGCTTAAAACTTAGCGAATGTTTGAGATATGAGAGAACTTTCTACATCATATCCTTTTCAAGTGTATCGTTCAAATCCTTCATATCGCGCTCGTTTTGATTGTGATTGGAATTGCGTCTTGTGGACTTTCCAAAAAGATGTCCCATTTCCTCATCTGTAAGCTCATCTCCGGGTTGTCCCCAGTTTCTACGTCCTGCACCTTCCTTCTTGATCTTGGTTGGATCTGTGTTTGCATGTCCATGGTGAGTAAACCACTTAGGTTGAGATGCAGCTTCGTGAACAGTCCATTTTTGAGTTCTAGTCATGTTGTTTTAAAATGTATTTGATTTAACTATAATTGTAATAATATAATTACTATTCAAGAATAGTTATCTGTTGAATCCTTGGGCAAAGAACGCTATTTATAGTCCGGCTGAAATATTGTTCGCGAAATGTGGGGAGACCTTTAGAGATCATTCATCGCAGTAAGGGGTGAAATGGCCGAACATTACGTCCTACCCCCACCCTCGTCCGCTTTCATTCGGTAACTTTGCCCCACTCTCGTCGTTCATTCTTGTGAATGCTAGCGAATTGGCAGTACCTTGATGACTCAATTGAAATGTGTGATGGTATACTTCGGCATGAATCGATCTTGACTCATTTCGTAAATTTGTTCTATAGCAGAAAATGGTTGCATTTAGAAGTAAAGGCTGCTTCCATGCAGGCACACCTATAAAATAAATGAAGCTTTACTCATTCTACTTCTTCGATGTTGATCTCTTCATGGGCGTACTACACTGTTCACCTGTCCTTCCTCTGGAGAGCAGAGAATTGGATTGAATATGTATGTAGTTGCCATTTTTTCTTAATCTAAATCAATATATCGGGCAAGTTGGAGGTCCCAACCGTATAGTTTCTGAAATCGGCGCACATATCATTTGATCCTAAATAGTACGCAAACAAGGTCAATGGCATTCTGTTAACAATCTAAAATGAAGTTTGGAGAAATTTGTTCATACATGGTACAAATGGCAAACTATATAAGTGGCGTATGTCTATTATTATGCTATTGCTTTGATATTACTCTCTTTTAAAAAAGTACGATTGTCCTAAGAGTAGTTTCTAAACCTAAAAGTCGAATGCAGTCAACAATAATCCTTTTCTCCTCACCAGTCATCCGACTAAACGGTACCATCACTATTCCATTCCTTAGCATGAGGAAACTCTGCTCGTAAATTTTGTCAGTTTCAAATTGAGCTAGAAGTTGCAGGGTAGGAATGAGTCCAGGTACGACATCTGGAATCTTGTGGTATATCTCAGCATTTCTATTCAGATTTACTCCATATTGGGAACAAATCTTGGACGTTGAGTGCTCAGCAGCGGTGAAAATAGGCAGTTTAGGGTGATAAACCCTTTCTGCATCGTTTACAATTGGCGATTGTGACCTAGACTTTGAAAAGTCAGAAGGAAACTTATCAAGGTCAATAGCCAGTTCTTTAATTGCTTCACCTGTCGATTCAGATTCTGTGGATTGAATAGTAAAATATCTCCCTCCTTTCAATATCAGGTCCAATTTATCGAAGGGAGCAAATTCCATTCGCGCTATATCCAAAACTTCTCCACCGAATCTCTTCTTATACTTCATCTTCACGCAGTCGTCCACGTAGTATCCTAGATAGTAGTATCCCAAATTCAACTTTTCACACATGTAAATCTCCCGTAGCCCAGAGAGAGTTCCTAATGATAGCTGAGGATAATCCGGGTCCCATATAAAGTAAATAGATGAAACTCCGGAAGGTAAGAAATCAAGAATAGAAATAGCAATTAATTTTCCCTTAAAATAATAGCACTCATGTGTAGGGCCGATTCTTTTCTTCTTTGCGTATGCTGCGTCCCCTTCGTTCCAATGATTTAAGTAATTCCATGTGTCTTCGTCTCCGAGCACTTCTTCATCGCTAAAAGGAGTGTCACAGAGAAATCTTTTAAATGAGCCTTCACTAACATCTTCCTCTTTGTCACCATGTACTCTCATTTGGTACTTCTTGTATAGCAAAAACTTTTCCTTCGTAAACTTAGACGGACCAAATCTGGTGTAGAATGTGTCTTCATTGGTATTCCTTTCCAAAGCGAACAAGTTTTCAAGTGCCACAGGAATAAGATTGGACTCGGTTGTTTGAGTGGTAGTCGAATAATTGGCCAGATTTTTATTTTTAGTGCCTGCGTCAATCTGTTCTCCTCCGCCGATGGCTCTCATAAACCGATTGATGGTTTGTCTTTGTTGCTTACCTAACTTTAAGCTTTTCATATTCGTTCTAATGGTGAACAATCTACAGCATCCTCTTAGCAAATCTGGCTTATAGAGAAATGTTCCAGAACGCCTGTATCCTATGTTCATTAAACTATCGTACGTACTACATGACATTCGTTCTACGCTAAATCCAATTGTTATCGACAGAGGTTTCTTTTCCTGTTCATTGCGATTCTTAAACCAGCTTTCCAATGCATAAGGATCATCCTTTTTGCCCTTACAATATCCACAATCGCCGCTCGAAATATAAATTGGCCTTGAAATTAGTAAAAGATCCAGATACTGCATTGTCTTTTCCTCGTAGGATTACAAGTGTAACAGCAAAGAAACAACTTCTCTCGAACATCAGAGAGTGAAAGTCGGTCTCATGTAGGTATATGTACTGCAGATAATAAAGGCAGGTAGCCAAACCCCCACACCTTTAAGGAAAGAGGTAGAACGCAACATGGTGTCGAAGGTGAGAGTAGGAGAGAAGTGTGATCGACGGAACGATTTCAAGTACTGATAATTGCCTCTCCCAGTGACCAATAGCGTTAATAATAGGTGCATAGATACTATCGGTACTGGTGCGTTGATGCAGCTGGCACAGCTGAGTGGGTGCAAAAAAAAGTGAGCTCAACATGCCAAAAAACAGAGTAAGAGCAAAATGCAACAGCTTGAGTTTTTCAAGAAGAGTACAGAAAATGATCATTAAGCTCTCAATTAACGTATCTGCTAACATTTTTTCCCCTAAAATGGAAACATCGTCTCCACTATCCTCGTTTACTGTATCATGTCTCTACCATCTACTGAAGCAGCGTGGTCGCCCTATTGTGGCCTACCTTAGTTTACAAACCTGCATATTGTCTCGCACTAGGTTTCCAATTTCGAGGGCTCAGTTACAAGAAAAGTTGATACTTCAAGCTACTGGTGATAGCAACCTCTACACACACAATATTGTCCCCGAATAGTCATGAGTAGTGTCAAGACTTCGCCAGTAAAGAAAGGAAATACACCAGTCCCAGCTGATGAAGGGAAAACTAAGATCAAGCAGGATCCTGGTGTAGCTTCCAATGGAAGCGAGGGAGTGGAAGGTGGAAATGAAGAGGATCCGGATTACTCAATCCTTTCAGACCCAGAAGATTATCTTGAAGAGAACGAATCTCTTGATATGAATTTACAGAACGGTTCGCAGAAAATTTGGTTGGTCAAACTTCCAAGATATTTGGCTGAAAAGTGGTCCAACATAGACCAGATAGGAGGTCAACAATTGGGGAGGGTGAAGATTAAGCAGGGGACAGGGGCAAATCGTAAGCTTCAAGTGAAACTTGTTCTTGATCAACAAGATCAAAGTATTCCTCAAGAGTATGACATATCTGTGTTGAATACTCAAGTGCGCAACAATTATGTCTTTTCTGAGGAGAATTTGAAGAAGTTTAAGCAAGAGCTTACAGAGATGGTTGAAATGCCAGAACAACCACATTTACAGCCTATAGACAAGAAGAAGGCTGCAGATCAAGCATCTGCGGCTGCGGCTATGGCTGCGTCTACGGCCAACGGCCAGGGAGCAAATGTCACTGGAGCCAAGAAGAAGTATAAGTTTTATAGAGTGCAAAAGAACAAGGTAGGAAAAGACGGAGCTGCAGGACCTCCACCCAAGAAGTTTATTCCGTTTGTTAAGACGATCCCAAAGAAAACAGCCTTGGTTGGGAAGATTTGCCACGATTGTCAAATAATTCCTTCTAAGCAGGACAATAAGTACTCTGAAATCCTTTCCAAGAGAAACAGAATCCAACCAGAGAAGGCAAGACCGAAAGTAACACTTTTAGAGGAAATTCCGGGAGTTATTCAATCCAATGCAGGACCATCTATTCGTGGTAATAACACATCTGTGTTCCTCAGGTCTAGTGCCGCCAAGGCGGGTGCTGGTGGAATTGGAGGAAAATCTGGAGAAGGTAGAGCCATTAGAATGCCTAAGAAAGATTTATTGGATTTATTATTCAGATTATTCGAAGAATATGAGTATTGGTCTATGAAAGGTTTGAAGGAAAGAACTAGACAACCAGAAAGCTACCTTAAAGAATCATTAGAATCAATTGCAAATCTTATTAAGAAAGGTCCATATACATCGAAATATAATTTGAAACCCGAATATAAAAGATTACGTGACGCAGAAAGAGCTGCTCGTTTGGGTTTGGTTACAAATGACGATGAGAATAAGAGCGGTGATGACGACGATGACGAGGACGACGATATCGAAATGGAAGATGTCATCTAGAGGAATGAACTGGTTATGGGAGTGGAAATAGCTTTTGCGTGTATTATAGTAAATCGTAGTTTGCATTATAGTTTAATAAATTAAATTAATCTGAAGAAAGAAAGAGTGGGGACCAGATATTAGTTTCTATGTGCGTTAAGGGCTGCAGTGAAATTTATCACCATTTTCGGATTGTTGCATGTTTTATCTTAAATGTGGTATTACGGTATAGCAAGTGTGGGACTTTCACTATAAGCACCAGATCCTGAAACAAATCTCATGCAATTTAACTATTATATACTACATGGAGGCCAAATGCCTATCTACACTATTTAATTTTTTAACCGTATATATTAAACCTAGCTATTCATTTGAATTTACAAGTTCTTGATTTCTAAGGTTGGTGGTAAAGATTGTTGTAACTTCTTGGCCTTAGCAGCGTCGTTGACAACTAAGGTGTATTGGTATCTAGATCCTCTAACCTTGAACTTGGTTTGCTTGAACTTCTTACCGTTAGCGTTGATCTTCTTGTTGACCTTGACAACAGCGGACTTGATGTCTGATCTTCTAGCTAATTCAACGAATTCCTTGATGTCTTTAATTTCACGCTAAAGAGTTTGTTAGTAAATTGAAAATTTCCAAAAAAATTTTTGAGAGCCACGAAAAAGTCTTAGTTAGAGAAACATATGAAACGTAGGTGTGATAATGTTGAAAAGATGGTATGTAATGAGTAGTCCGCTGTGAATTCAGCAAAAGTGAGTTGTAGAATGCTCCCTCAATAACGAATGGCATTTACAAATTTATTTTCATATTAGATGCCTTATAACTAAGTAGTTTTAGTTGCACAGGAAATTTATGAATACTCCTGCTATTATTCGATTTTTGGGAGGAGTTCTATTCTTCTATTTCTAGTGTATCGTGAAATATTCACTAAATTGAAACAGAAACGAAAAAGATATAAATATGTCCTTTTCTGGTTAAAATGCCACTCTAAACACCTTTCTTCCTGCTTCCTTGCGTGCTTAATCATAGACTTAATCTATAAGCACTGACTATTCTCTTTTCTTCTACAATCAAAGCGTTTCATTTTTTTTTCACTCAAAATCTATCACTTGAACATTATATCCCTTCTCATAATAATTCTCTCTTTCTTAATCTAGACTTCTGGCTCCAGTTCAAGAACATGTATAGACACATCCATATACATAGGTACATACAGCCATTGTAATATTATTTAATGATATGGTTAACAAGAATTGGGTCGTTAGCTGTGAAAATTTGAAATATTTCTTTTTCACTAGCCCAAGCTGCGACGAAGCACAGGAGGAAAAAAAAAAAAACGCAGCTGAATTGGAAAATTATTGATGAGGGTTCAGCCCTCGAATGCACGTGATTAGTTTAAACTTGCAATCTATATGATTTGGCATTTGGTTCAGAATGGACAGCTGCCTCTACAAGTGCTTATATTTACTAGCTTGGGTTTCCTATCTACTAGATATTACATGACCCTACTGTCTTTCTCAACTTTGTCTTTGTCTTAGTATCCTCTAATCAATATTACATCTATCCTCGTACTGTGATCTGAGGAGCATCACATGACTCTTTTCACGTGACTTTAATGAGATACTGAAGTCTTATCCAAGGTATATACAAAGTGTGCACCCTAGAGCAATACCGAGTGATAGGTAAAGCGTGCCTCTCTTTGTATATATCTCCAATATTTCGTCTATTGTTTGGCCTGATTAGTTTCTCGAATTTAACTTTGTTTGTGCTCTTATTTTTTGAGGAACTTACTGCCAGCTAGTTTTCGGCACGAATTTGCAATTTTGCTTATACTAATGATAAATGGGTGCATATTTCAATGGCTGCAAATATCAATCAGTCGTACGAAGTTTACACTACCTACAATGTTCGAATATCTTCTTCATGCTAAAGTCTATAATTAAATCCTATTACGTATCTCATATAAGTAAAAGTTTTCTAAAATGCAACTAGCAGTAAACCGTATACTCCCGGTATTACGTGCCAATGTAAACGAGTGGTCCGACATGGGAAACATTGAGCCTTTACACTGAAGTAATCTTGGCTGTTTTTTCACAAAATGTGATTAGTCTTTTAACAGCAGTTATCCACCTTCTTGTTTTATCACCCATCATAATATTTGTAGCAGTTTTTTTGTTGTTCCCTGTGATCTTCAGATCTGCAGCTCTCTGATGGATACCAACACTGCGAACACCAACGGGCCACGCTGCGTTACCAATACTCAATTTCAAGTACGTTTCATTGGCCATTCGATAATTTTCTGACTGAAGGTAGTATATCACCGTGGTTAGTGAAGTAAACATCGACAAAGGTAGATTTTCTTTCCTCAATTTGTAAAGAAGTGGGACCACATCTCGCTTTGTCTCAATTAATAGCTTAAAAGAAGAAGAAGAAGAAGAAGAAGAAGTAGAAGAAGCTTTGCCTCCACCCAGAGCCGAGGATTGTTCAATGTCTTCCTCTATACTGATCTGAGACTCCCAACATTTTATTATATATTTTATGTACTTCCTCAATTGAGTGTAATGTTTTGCTTGAAACTCGATATTTCCTATCTCCTGTATATCGAGGTTCATGGGAACTTTATCTTCCTTATCTAGTTGATCTTGATACACTCGGTCCTTTTGTTGCTTGTGCAAAAGTATTCCAAGCTTACGAATCTTTTCTACTTTGGGAATATTGGGCTCATTTTCAAGCTCATTGAATGAAGCCAACTTTGAATTAACGTCGTCAAGTGAGAGCTCATCAGCTAGTGCGATTTCTTCCGCTGTGTAGTCAATTGAAACGTCTTCATTAGCCCCTTTAACAGTTAACTTGTTTTCGGTCTTAGGTTCATTTTCTCCACTGTGTTCTTGGTTGCTGATGTCAGTCTTAGGGTTCGTACTGGTTTGATCCGGCGTATTTGCTGCTGTCGCCGCCTTGTTTCTTTGCCTATTCCATCGTGATTGGGGCTTTTGCTTCTGCTGGATCTTCTTATCTATTAACTTGGAGAAGTCCATTACTCTCCGTCTTCCAACTCTTTATTATAAATATCAACCCTGTTGTCGTACAGTGCGAAGCTTGCGCGCTACTTTTGACTTTCCCTAATACTGTTTCCTACTAAAGGCAAAATCGCATGTATTGTTTCTTTTGCCATTTGCAATCGATTTCAACAAATGAGTTCGCAACCCAAATTGAACGTACAGTCGCACTAACCAAAATTGCCACGCCATATACTGGTGACATTTACATGTGAATTCACTGCTCTTTGGTCCGTCTCACCAAAGACAACTACTATACCTGATTACACATACTAAAGGATCCTATTATACGCTCAATTGGATAACAGCTTCGAGTATACGCCCTATCTAGCTCTTACTGATTTTCAAGCTTTATCAATTATGTGGGGTTGTCATAGTGTCTCTGGTTTATGTTGTAGTGCGCTAACTTTTTCCAGCATTTTCTCTTAAACATTTTACGATTTTTTTTAATGAGAATTCACCCTCAATAAAATTACCCAAAAATAAATTAAAGAATTGTGTAAAAGAGAGCAAGAGACAGTATTTCATTTCGTAGGCAGGATCATAACGAAATAATAAAGTCGAAACTCAATCAACTCCGCATTAGTCGCATTGCTTGTGTTGAAACAAAAGTAACACATTTAAACAAACCTTCTTACACTTAGTATTTCTATGCATCCAGATCACCGCGCATAATATTATAAGTACATATTAATAGATAAACTCACACACACATTCACGTCATTTTCCATCCCGCATGTCTGGAAGAACACCAGAATCGAACCCAGCAGGTTCTCCTCTGGGTGTAACTGGGGACAAGAATGATAACAGTGAAGTGAGAGCTAATTTCTCTTCCCTGCAATCATCAGCAATTAACTTGCCTTTGGAGCCCAACAGCAATAGCTCACCTCAAACGTCACCCTTACTTTCATCAACGCCCCCAACGGTGGCCAAAAGCCTCATCAAGGCATATCCTTATCTTTTAATCGTCAACAAACTCTTACTGATATTCACTTGGACAAATGATGATTACTACTTGAACTTGATAGTACTTTGCTTGTACAATTTCACAGTGTTGTATTTTGAGACCTTGGTAACATGGGTTGGGCATTTGATTATTGTCGCAATCATTACCTTGTACGCGGTATTAAATCAAAAGATTGTTGAAGAGACAAACCTTCACCCTACACTTGATGATGTGGTTCAAGCATTGACCACAACTTGCATTAAGGCAGATATGCTTCTTCAGCCAATTACTTCACTTTCGTTGAATGCTTATGATATCAAAAGACTATTATTCACTACAGTTTTCTTGACTCCAGTTTATTTAATCGTTTCATTTTTCGTTATCCCTCCAAGAATTATCCTATTGGTTATTGGAATTTACATCTTAACTTATCATTCTGCCTATCTGAGAGTTACTAGAAAAATGTTGTGGAAAATTAAATTTGTTAGATTGCTTTGCTTCTATTTGACTGGGTTAGATTTCCTGACAGCAAGGAATCACGGATTATTTGCAGCAGCTTTGGCAAAAGTTAAGGCAAGCAACTTGCAGACTGCTACTTCTAGTAATGGTTTAGCTGGAACCGATGGTAAGCCAGTTAGGTTCACTTACGCTATTTATGAAAATCAACGTAGATGGCTAGGAATTGGTTGGACTTCAAACCTTCTTTCCTATGAAAGAACACCATGGACTGATGAATTTTTGAATGAATCGTCATCCATTGAATCTTTTACTCTCCCTAATGCCGAAGACTCTAACTATTCATTCGGATCCCAGCAATCACTGCAACTTGTCACCAATGGTGCATCTTGGAGATGGGTTGACAAGACTTGGAGACTTGACTTAACTAATGATGGAGCTATCACATTGCCAAATAATAAGCGTTCTAAGACTACTGCTAATCCTGCTACTGACGACGGATACATTTACTACGATAATGTTTGGAAGAAGCCAACCACAGAAGACTCTTTTGGAAAATACACTAGAAGAAGACGTTGGATAAGAACTGCCGAATTAGTATTTGATCTGGCCGTGAATTCTCCAACTGTTGAAGTTTTCCCTTCATCGACCTCCGAAATTTCAAGTCCTGGTGAGAATACTAGCCCTGCCGTAACTACTGGTGCTTCATCTGCAGCTAGCCAAAATTCGAGCAAGAGTACGAAGAGAAAAAGTTTAAGATTTGTTGAAGAAGCTGATGAAGAAGATGATGATGCAATTGCAGTATCGAAACTGAACACCTCTAGTAAGAAAGATGGAATATCGCCAACCACTTCATCTAATTAACCAAATTCATTAGAGTTATCCTAAATTATTAGTGCACTATTTTTCAACATCTCTCTATAGTTCTGTCTACAGGATTTCTGCAATTATGTATTTAATGAAAAGAAGAATTATGAAGAATGTAACCACTAAATAAGATTGTTCTGGTAGAGATGTAGTGTGTATAATTTGCATTTTTCATATTCGATGAATCGAAGATTCATTTAGGGTGCACCATAAAAAGCCAATTGCTGCAAAATCTTTATACGCTGTTCCCCGCAGTGAAAGAGTAGGTGGTTGCTTCAATTATAAGGTGTCTTAACTAACATTAACTTTTGCTTACTGTTGCATATATTAAGAAGGAATTTGATATTTTTTGAATGTGCGTTTAAATTTACGAGAACTTGTCAAATCATATACATTTATTTCGGAGCCTACGTTTGAATCCCGAATTATTCGAGAAAGTAAAGAGAAGGAATAGATCAGTACAGTATAGTCTCTTGCTTCCCCAATTCCAATTAAAGAAAAACGGTGCAGGTTGTAGTAGTAATGAAGTCTATATTTCCTCATCCATTTGCTCCAATATACCATAACGGTGAGTTCATGAAGACTTTAGATGAGTGGCTTATAATTGATATTTGCAACTCAATTCGTGAAAGGCCCAACTGGAAGTCTAAATACAAGGATCCGGCAATTTCTAGCAAATGGCAAAATGAATTAAAAGAAACAATTCTACATCGAACAGAAAACGTTGAAGAGGTTATAAGTTACGCTTTCAGAGAACTACAATGGGTTGAATACTTGGAAAAGACATTTCCTGGGGTTGAAGAGAATGGATTCCATATTGGAATTGATGACAAAATTGTATACAGTGACCAAGTTATTGATGTAAATACTAAATCTGATCTTATTAAGGCCGTTGAAAGGTTCGCTAATGAAGAATTTAAAGATGGGTTCGACTATCACCCTGGTTCAAATAACCAAGTGGTAGATTTAGTTCACCCATCTTTATACCCATTGCAGTACGACGTAACCCCAATTTTTACTAGTCCTCAAAAGGAACATACTTGGTGGGAACTCCATAGCATGAAATCCGAAGAGTATAACAGAGACAGAACATTAGGAATAGCCGAATATGATGAAGCTATTTCTCAAGTTAAAAAAAATGTCGACGACTATGGTATTTCCAGACGTTTCCAGTGGCTACCTACGGTGCTAGAAACCAGAAACTATTCATTTAGATCTTATATTAACAATTTACACCCTGTAAAGTACCAAGACCTATACGAAGTAATATCCCAGGTTATTCGTCTACTGGCTCCAGGATTAAATCTTTGCCTCTCAAGGTTGTCCTCGGGACCAATAAGTCGTATTTCTCTTCCAATGGACGATTCATTGGCTACTGAGGAATGGCAAAGAAAATTGGACAAACTCATGAATCCTGGGTCCAATCCAGAGACTGGACAGGAAATTGAAGTAGATTGGGCTGCGGTTGAGGCTTTCGAGAAGACAAAGAAGTTCAATTTTAGAAAGTTTCCTCCAATATACGAACGAGACCCTCCTGTCAATTATTCTTTTGATGTGAGAACCTACTTTGAAGAACTTAAGGTTATTGTCAAACTAGCAAATATTGAATTGAGCTCCGAGAATCCACTGTACAATGGTGGTTCGTGGCATGTTGAAGGTACAATCAATGAAGATATTGCTGCCACCTTACTATACTATTACGATTGTGAAAACATCTCAGAGCTGACTTTATCATTCAAAAGTGCCTATGAAGATCCCTACTATGAGCAGGATGATAAAGATGGCGTCGAGAAATTTTACGATTTACATGACGAAGATAGATTAACTAAAGAAATTGGTAAGATGGAGACAAAAGAAGATAGAGTGTTGATATTCCCAAACTGGTTTCAGCACCACGTAGAACCCTTCGAACTAAAAGACAAGACTAGACTGGGGCATCGCAAAATACTATGCCTATTCTTCGTTGATCCATTCAATAGTAAAGTCATTTCTACTGACATGGTGCCTCCACAGCAAAAGGAATGGTGGAATGATGGGACTGACCTTTGTGAATTTGGGTTAGATGAATTTGCCAAAGAACAAATTGAAAATATCCTCAAAGGGCGAGCCGATGTGAAGGAAATGGAATGGCCCATTACTTTGGAAAATGCAAAAGTGGTTAGACAAGAATTAATGAAAGAACGAGGAATCCCTAAAGTGGATAAATACTCTGAAGCGGCGTTTGCTAGACGCTTTACGCTATGTGAACATTGAAAACTTATTTTTGTCCAAACTGCTATTTACCATTTTGCACCCAAAGTATCTGGGCCGAAAAATATCAGGATTTTGACGAAGAATTGAGTGTGTAAAGCTTAGTAGCGAAAGAAGCGACTTCGACAATTTCTGCTGATTCAAGCATTGATACTCGGGTATTCAGAAGAATAACATGTCAGCGATTATTATTTGTAAGCACATGTACGAGTAAGCAACAGTCTTACGATTCTGCGACCTCGTCCACTTAATGGTATTCTAGATACATTTCCGGCGCTCCGATTAATCAATTATACACCAATCCCAACTTAGATGTTTGCCTTTCAACTTATACTAGTGATGTTGTACAGTATGGTGGTGGCATTCTCATATTCTTTGAGTAACTTTTGCAAGGCATTAATCGTAGTAGTTAGCAAAGGTGAAATATTCACAGGTCCAAATATATGAGCAATCAGGTTTCGTTTATCGGAGCGCCGGCAACTGATAAGAAACTGCACCCAAATAAAGTTTTGGCTAATAAAAAAATGAAAAACTCAAACTTGCAGTAGCGGAGTTGGAATGCGGGCATCTCCTTCAGGCAATCAAGAGCCTGGCGTAATTAAACTATTCGGAACTTGCCTACGAGAGAGTTAACTTGCTAAAAGCGCTACCCACTTCTAGTGAACTCCACCAGGAACACTTTGGTGAACCATGAATATCTCCTGCAAACTCCGACTCTTATGTCCTGCTTTGAAAGTTCTATGCGTAAAATAATACTTGTCAATGGATTATTTTTTATGGTGTCCCTGCATGTCACTTATCAGGAAACAGATAAACAATACAAGTCCTACAACGAATAAATCGAACCATACATACTTAAGCAATTGGCATGGGGTGTTCTGGGACCGTTTAGAATGGTCCGATATTACGTGGAGAAGACCGAGCCAGATTTAAAGGTGTAATGGTGCAGCGTTTTAGGGTTTCTATTCAAAAATTCATCGTGTTTGCCATTTAACGTTCCGCGCTCATAGCAATCGGAGATCACCGATATCTTTTTTAACCTACCACGGCCATCCGATAAAGAGATAAGAATGTATACTACGAAAAACATATAAAGCATCAAGCGTTTGGCATTGAATGAAAAAAGGAAGAACATTTTTTAAATATAACATATATTAATTAGAGAAATAATACAATTAAAGCTAATACACTAATAAATATACCATATAATACAATACAACACAATGTCTGAATTAATTTCTTCTACATACGGAAAGGGTAACGTCAAGTTCCTTAAAGTCAAGAAATCCAAGCAAGATCCTAAAGTTCAAGACGTCCTTGAAGCTAACGTCGAAGTTTTATTGAGAGGAGCATTCGATGAGAGTTACACAAAGGCAGACAATGCCTCAATTGTCCCAACTGATACCGTGAAAAATACCATTCTTATTGAAGCCAAGACCACTGATGTATGGCCAATTGAAAGATTTGCTGCTCACTTAGCAAAGCATTTCACTACCAAGTACTCTCATGTATCAGGGTTAGAGATCACCATAGTCCAATCGAAATGGTCTAAGTATGAAGTGGATGGAAAATTACATGCACACTCTTTCAAGCATGAGGGGCCAGAAACTAGAAGAACTTACTTGAACTACGAGAAGAAGTCAGGTGACATTACCTTAAGATCTTCCATTAAGGATTTGAAGGTGTTAAAGTCCACTGGTTCCATGTTCTATGGTTTCCACCAATGTGACTACACCATCTTGAAGCCAACCACAGATAGAATTTTATCTACAGACGTCGATGCAACATGGGAATTTGATTTGAAGAAAATTGGTAAGGGAGACTTGGACAGTGTCATAAAGGCTGCCAGCGAAGGTTTGTTTGATTTCAGTTACGATTCTGCACGCACGACTACCTTGAACTTGTTCGCTCTCGAAAACTCTCCTTCTGTGCAGGCCACCATGTACAACATGTCAGACGAAATCTTGAAGAAGGTTCCACAAATTAAGACAGTTACCTACGTCTTACCAAATAATCACTATATCTTATTCAATTTTGAGTGGAAGGGTATCAAGGAAAACGATGATTTGTTTTACCCAGCATCCGATCCAAATGGTAAGATCAAGTGTACAGTTGGAAGAAAGTCAGCCAAGTTGTAAGCTAGCATATATATATTCAAAAATTTCAATAATTATAGTTTAATAGCTAAAGGGAAGCAATAATATAAAGATTTTATGAACATTTTACATGTAAGCCTTAAAATTATGAAAATACATAAGCCTTAGGCTAGTCTATTGGTGTCTTTCCACTTACAATTTTGCAACCATTAATTCTGGTGTCCTGCACACAGATCCAGTATAGAGTATGGACGGAACCATTTTTTTATCGAGATGAGATGGTGCTTCTCTTTCATTTCTTATCTTCAGTCTCGCTTCATTTTATATATAGATCATGGGCTGCCATTCTAAATTATTGTTGGTTGTAGCCTCTACCGCTGTTTTAACAGCCGGCTTAGTAGAATTAGTTCACTACTGTCTTGAGGAGAAAAATCAAGATGCGAGTAAGAGTACCTCGAAGAGAGAGGTTCGCAGTAGTGTAGCCAAACCTCATTCAGAAGAACTTATTAGAGAGCAACTTGCAAGAAATTATGCCTTTCTCTCGGATGATGGAATGGATAAGGTTCGTAATCAAAACATTGTACTTGTAGGCGCAGGTGGTGTAGGTTCTGCTGTTGCCACAATGTTAATTAGATCGGGTGTAGGAAAGTTGAGAATTATCGATTTTGATCAGGTTAGTTTATCGTCCCTTAATAGACACGCTGTAGCCAACTTGAAAGATGTTGGAACTTCTAAAGTTGAATGTCTCAAGACTCATTTATTGCAAATTGCTCCATGGTGTCAAATTGAAACATACAACGAGTTATGGAACTTGAATTCAAGCGATAGACTTTTGCTTGGCGACAATATGGAACCAACATACATTGTTGACTGTATCGATAATATCGATACAAAGGTAGATTTGTTGGAATATTGCGTGAACAAGAAATTACCTGTAATCTCATCAGGTGGGGCTGCTTGTAAACTGGACCCAACAAGGATCAATATCACGGACATTTCCAAGACTGAAGAAGACCCCTTGGCCAAGCTGGTAAGAATAAGACTTAAGAAAAGAGGAATTGTATCAGGTATTCCAGTGTGCTTCTCAGCTGAAAAGCCTGATCCTAGAAAAGCACAATTACTACCATTGGATGAGGCAGAAATGTTGAAAGGAGATGTAGACCAGTTGGCATCTTTACAGAATTTCAGAGTGAGAATATTGCCTGTCTTAGGAACCATGCCAGGAATGTTTGGCCTTGCAATCGCATCTTATTTGATTACTTCAATTGCAGGATATCCAGTTGAGTCTATTGAAGGTAAAAACCGTTACAAGATGTACGATAGCTTTTTACAGTCTCTTGCGGGGCAACAATCAAGAATAGGGAAGGAGGATCAAAGAGTCCCAATTGCACTAAACGAAATTGCATATGTATTGGAAGAAATTTTCAGAGGTAAGTCACCTATATCCAACTATTCTACGAGGTTGACCCTCTCTAGATGGGACGGGCTGAAGGAGTTGAGTTTCCAAAATATTGTGGTTATGACTAAGGAAGAGCAGCAAAACCACGAGAAAAGGTGTTTGAATGGTGGAGAACGCTTGGAAGACGTCTATTCAGCAGAAGTATTGGAAAGAGTCGAGAAAAGGTTCAAAGAAGAGAAGTTCTACTCGCAATTCAGATAAATTGATGCATAATTACCAAAAATTGACTCTTATGGATGAAAAATAATTGTATATAGATCGATAGAATTAGCACCAACGTCGGCTTTATTGTGTTCTCTTTGTAGGAAAGTAGGTCCCCCTATGTACTACTGGCGTATTTTCAAGAACATTGAGCGCTTTCTTTTTGGAAGATATCAGCCAGGAAAACTCCATAGTATCCACCAAAAGGTTATGTCTGTCTTTTTTTGCACCCAGAGGGTTCCAGAGCTGCGACTTTCCAGAAATACACCCCATTCCCTAGGTGAAAAATTCTATGACTTTTCAACCAATGCACTAATTTTGAATCTCCTACGTGCAAGGAGTGAGCCCCATGTTAAAATTGCTCTGTCTGGCCAATATTACCACATTTCCAGCAATTTCACTTCCTTTCTTATTAAACTTGACCCACATGCAAACTAATTGCTCGCTGTGTTCTCAGTGCTCACTGGCGCCGGGCTCGCCAGGTAGGCGCTAGAAAAGTGAAATTTCGCGATGACGAGCGCATCCCGCTAGTGACCAACGCCCTCGGAAGAATATCTTTTCTCTTCAATATACATTCCTTCTTTCTTAGGTACTGTTGTTCACATACTGTAGACTATATGAATATGATCAGATTTAACCCATTAAGTAGAATATATACTCAATTCACACCCCTTGTCAGAAATGCCAGGGGAACCAGGAACTTGTTCCGCCCCCAGAACAGGCTAGCTCTCAAGTCTGTTAGAAATCAATCCACCACTGGTGCGAATGCGAATTCCATTCCAAAGGCAAGGGCCACAGGTTCAGCTGGTTCTGGTAGTTCTGGTTCCGGAAATGCTGGTTCTGGAAGTTCCGGTAGCGGAAAGAAGCCAACAGGCTTCAGGGCCCTCTTCAAGGAGTACGGTTACTCCGCTCTCGCTATTTACTTTGCTCTCTCGATGATAGACCTTCCAATCATTTATGTGCTCGTTCATACATCTGGAAAGGAACAAATTGAAATATACGAAAACAAGGTTAAGCAAACTTTTGGTTACGGAGTTTCTGATGAAGAATTAAAGAAGAAGCAGGAAATTAACAAAATCCAGGAAGAAATAGAAAATAAGGCAAACCCAGATCAGGAATCCAAGGAGAACCAACTGACGCTCTCTTACATTGTCTCACAATTTTCATGGACTGAATTCGCGATCGCTTATGGTATTCATAAGTCTTTAGCCTTCATTAGATTACCAGTCACAGCAGCAATTACACCTAGTACTGTTGCAATTCTTAGACGTTGGGGTTTCAAAATTGGAACCGATAAGCTCTCTACTACTGCTACGTTGGCTAAAGACCAATTGAAGGCTAGAGTTGGTGATGTCACTGCTTCTTCATCCAAATTTGGTGTTAGGGCAGACAAAAAGAAAAAGTGGTTTGACTGGTTCTTCTAAATAATTGGAACCACTCTCGAAAGAAGAAATATTCTCTTGTATATACATAAAATTATAATTCTGTTTTTAGTGCCAGTCATGTAGCTTTTTATTCCTAATCTTTCTCTCGCTTCTACAATGAGCTTGAATCTGTAATAAATAAGTTAAAATGCTAAAAAGTCTTTCTATACATATCGTCATCATGCAATCTAATATATCATAGCCCTCCCCAGTAGGTCGTATGAAGAATTGGGTGGTCTGCCCGGTTTCTAACTTGATCCCTATATTCCAAAGAGAATCTTGCATCTCTCATATACGTAGAAGGAACAAGCAACCATAGGTACGACTTTAATATAACCTACAGTCAAACCAACGAAATAACCACGGAGTCCACTCTCTTGAAAAATCAATCTTGCCGTGTGCTTAAATGATAAAAACTGCCCGCTATTCACCGCTCCACCTACTTGCATTCTTCTTCTAATCACTTCAAATGGATAAGCTGCAGTTTGCGAACACATCCCAGCTAATCCTCCGGCGAAAAGTTGCGCCGGAGCTCTTAGTGGTGCACGGGAGTCTCTCGATGATATCTCTTCCTTGCCACTACCAGCCTTCTTCACAACTTTTGGAACGTTCGTGGTTGATTGAATAAGCAGTTCCTTCACTGTGTACTTTTTAAATGTATTAGACCTCAAAATATCATGAATCAGATCGTGAACATAAAAACTGACACCAGCGTAAGGAATCATCCCCATGATCGTGGGAGCAAATCCTCTATAAAAATTCAGTATTGCCACCAACGATTCTGGAAAGGAAGATCTCATTAGCTTCAACCACTTAGGATCATTTGCTCTGTGGGGTGGATGCTCTCTATAAACTGAGGCTATAGTAGATGTGAGTCTGCCCTTGTGATGCAGAACAAACAGGGCATGGTTATGGGAGCCAATATGATTTCTCCCATGCTGTAAATGCCTAGTCTCAAATGCCATACGGACTCTGATTAAATCCAAAGGATAAGTGAAAAAAACGGAGCACAACCCAGAGATACTTCCCGCCATAAATCTTCTTGCTGCCGTTTCATAACTATCATTGGGAATGAATAAAGTTCTAATCTGTTCGTAGGCTACAAACTTAATACTAGCATATGGGAATATCCTTATCAAGGTAACACTGTGACCTTGAAACAAACCATAAATTCCATCGCTCATATATAAGTGCCTGCCTGCTTTGATGAGTCCCAGAAAAGTCCCTCTATACTTCAAAAATTCAGGATTACTCGTTTGGAATAAAATTTTTATTCTATCCAAGGGAGCAATCAAAGTCTTAGCTGCTGAACCCGCTATACCTCCAGCAATTCCTGACCGCATGACATATTCCAACGATTGTTTGTCAATTACTTTAACTTCGTCTGTCATATGTGGCTCTTGTAATAAATAAACTGGGTCCTTGTTTTGTTCTTTCATATGCTTGTATTTCCTCTATCAGTAATGCTTTTCCTCTCTTGTTTATGTACACCACTTCTTTACTCTACTATTTAGAGTCTTTAACTATATACAAATTAAAGTGGGTATTCAAAAAACTTTGCCAACAGAACCTGGAAAAAAACTTTGCCTTCAACTAAATTCTTTTCTCCGTTCTTGTATCTGAAATAGATGAATGCTAACCAGAGTCTTCGAGAGCTTCAATTAAAGCTTCCTTCTTTCCTCCTAGTCTCCTATTCGTTGTATAGTTTCTCTTGTGCTATCAACAGACAAAGAGAAAACTAAAAAAAAAAAAAAGGGAAATGTTCGATATTGACGTTGTATGCAGTACTCGTTGGTGTTCAAAGAAAATTACAAAATCTCTTCTGTCAAGCCTCTAGATGGTGTCGCTAAAACAAAGTTTCTACGACCAATATGCTTAGCTGTTTGTTATTGGCTTCGAAATTCGAGGAGATACTAATCAAAGAGATTTGTCAGCTTCTGAGTAAGTTTTCTCTTTCCGTATTGATACAAATATCTTGTGTATAATGTATCCTAAATTAAGGTGTCGCTTGTGATTTCTTTTCTGTTTTAAACTTTCAGACACTTTCTTTTATTCCGCTGTTCAACAACTGTAGTTTTTGCCTCTAGTTTTTCTTGTTGTATCAGCGATGGCGGCGTTGTAGTATTCAATTGGAGAACTCTAGCGGGTCAACACTCTTCGATCTAACTCACTTTTCTCTAAATATATATACTACCTTGAAAGAAGAGGGAGGGAAGAAAGGTAGTCAAGACCGGAGCGAAGAAAGTATGGGGCATCATTGCACGACGGATCTATAACAGTGTGTTATGTACAGGATCCGTGTGGGGAAGATACTCACACAGAAAAGGTAAGATCCAATTGGGTGAGATGGGTAGGACGAGCTCATCCTGCTGAGCTTTGGCTTAGATACCAGTTTACTTAGAAGGTGGCACACCATTTACATACAAAAAAGTCATCTTGAAGCACGAGCGCAGTTGTAGACTTTTCTTGGTGTTTTTCTCATTATTACATATTTGTTACTAATTCATTTACATTTTCTTTTTCACTTTACTTCTCATTTCTTTTCATTTTATTATACAAATACAAACCCTAAATATACAGTAGACTAGATTGTGATTATTTCCAGTCTTGTTTTTCAGCAGGCAGTCAGTGGTGGTGGAGATGTGGTCTGTATCCGCTAGTTCTATCCTTGTGGTAGTTCAGGGGAGATCTTCCTCTAATGATCAATGGTGGAGTCTCTATGGAACTCAACAATATTGGCTGAATTTGAGAATCCTCATCTTCGATAATTCCCAATAACTCAACGTGTAATGTAAAGTAACGACTATTCACAGATGTTGATTTCAACCTAATGGACGAAGTAAACTGGATTCTTTCGAATCTGGCCACCCTGGCAATGGAGTCGCTAGGATAGTTTTTCAATACGGAATCATCTTTGATGGTATCCAAATTGGTGTGTTGATAGTACTCAGCTCTATCAAAATAGAAGACTTTATTCATATTTTCAATCTTATTTCCATTACGCTTGTTACAGGATGCTCTCACAGTCTCATGATCGGGCATGTCTCCAGGAACTGCTGGATATATTGGTGGAGGGAATTGTGGGCCCTTATCTCTCTTAGCAGTATGCTGCACTAAAGAAATTGCAACCTCATCATCGGAACATTTGGCAACAAGCCTTATAGCAAAGTAACTTATTTCTACCTTCTTTTCAATCAGCTCTCCATCTTTTATAACCAGTGAAACCTTTTCATAAGTGTAAAACTTGTTTTGAATGAATCTATTGAAATCGAAATTCTCCAACAGGAACAGAGCAACCAAAGTGAAATAATTTCTCTTGTAACCAATCCATGTACCATTCTCACCAGTTTCGAATCCACGGTCAATTCTAGCCTCCAAGATTGGATTCACATCCATATCATTCTTCTTACAGTAAATATCTTGATGGTGACGAGTTTCTGAAAAAGATGGCCCTACTCTGAAGAGATCTGAAGAACGTGGTGCAACTTTACGGTTTGCGGCTTCAAGCAAATCCTCCTCATTATGGAGCATGTCCAAGTGATGAATTTGTTGCAGCGTCAGCTGCTGTTGTAATTGAGGAAGATGGTGTAAATGTTGCTGCAAAAGGTGGTGTTGAGGGTGTAATTGCTGTTGTAAAGAGTGCATGTGCGAGAGAGCAGAGTGTGAGAGTTGTTGTTGTCCTTGTTGTCCTTGTTGCTGCTGTCCTTGCTGTTGATGTTGTTGCTGCTGTTGCTGCAAGTGCGCGCTATGCACATTGTGAATATTTTGATGCGAGTTTTGTTGGTGCTGTTGCTGCAGTTGAGAATTTTGAAGGCCCTGATGGCTTTGGTGAGGCTGATGAGATTGGTGAGATTGAAGGCTCTGATGGTTTTGATGGTTCTGCGAATTCTGTGAATTTTGAGAACTTTGTTGAAGTTGTTGTAACGCGTGCTGTTGAAGTAAATTATTATGTTCGTTATGTTGTGCCAATACAGCCACATCGTGAGCATCGTGGACATTCAAGTCGTGCTCGTTGTCGTCATCCTTCATATCACCCATTCCTGCAGCGGCGGCAGCGGCTGCTGCTGCTGACAGAGCTGCCGCTACAGCAGCGGCAGTAGTTGCATCATCTGGTGAAATATCATCGCCATTTTTACGATAACCCAAGTCATCATTGGAGATTGTCATCATCTTAGCAAGTATCAAATATTATTAATATTATAAGTTTCAATACGTGACGACAAATTCGTTATTAGTGCGTGTATGTGTGTGTTTATGCGTTCGTATATCTCCACTCAATGGACGTAGGCTGATTACTTGTTGTTGTTTAATTGTTTACTTTTTTTTTTTTGAGGTTTTACGTTCTTTTTTATTTTTTGGATTTTCCGATTTCCAATTTTTTTTTTTTCGGGTGGTTTCCAAAATGCTGTGAAAGGGGCCCTCTACTATTACTATTCAATCTATATCCTAAGTGGTATACCTATCACTCTACTGTGGTATCTTAATTTTTTGCTTTTCTTTTTTTGCAACCGTTTTCACCTTTGTGCAATGTATCTAAGAAAGAATATTGTGTAATATTATAAATGTAACCATAAAGAAAATCATGGGATTTGTGTAATTTTCAACGATGAGGGTATGTGGTGGGTTTTGGTTTTGAAAAAGAGGTCGTGAACGGTGCAAGAAGTGGGGCGTGTGTGAATCGATTTTCTGTGTAGGATATACAGGAAAGGTGGTCCAAGGGAAGAAGGAGATAATAGTGCAATGGATGGAGTGGCACAGGGGGGCAAGAATGATGAAGAATAGGTATGAGACGCTGTATAAGCAGCGTGCACTTTAAAGATCAAATCGCATTCGCTGACTTTTCCAGAGTTAGAGGTACCTTCTAGCATATATCTGTCTCTGACTAGTATCCCGTGTGGATCTGTCCAACTGCCATATCCTGCACACTTTGCAACCACGCAAGAGACTTTGACATTCTGCATATATGTGAAATCTTCCAAAATCGCCACCAGCGTCCCAGATACTGAATTCCTGCACATAGATCATCAACACTTTCCCTTTACAAATCAATTTTCGGTTTTTTACCACCACATTCAACATTGACAACCAACTTTGATTGCTCTAAGGAATACAACAATTCTTTTCCTGTTTTTTGATCATTTCAATTACATACTCCAATTTACGCGGCTGAAAGGACGAGGATTTTCTTTCAAGACGGTCATACAAGAAGACAGACCAAAAACATCTTTACTGTACCCACTTTTACACTCCCGCACTTTTATAAACTTACAACTCACATATAACCGCCAACAATGGAAAGACTTAGACTACTTGGAAGCGGAGCCGGTGGATTAGGCGGAAGTGGAGGCGCACCACCACCATCGGATGGCCCAGCGATTGATAACGCAGAAACGGTATACATTTCATCGTTAGCACTTCTCAAGATGCTTAAGCATGGTCGTGCTGGAGTCCCTATGGAAGTCATGGGGTTGATGCTTGGAGAGTTTGTCGATGATTTCACAATTCACGTTATCGATGTATTTGCCATGCCGCAATCCGGTACAGGTGTTTCTGTTGAAGCGGTTGATGACGTTTTCCAGACCAAGATGATGGATATGCTTAGGCAAACAGGTAGAGACCAGATGGTTGTTGGATGGTACCACTCGCATCCTGGTTTTGGTTGTTGGTTATCGTCAGTCGATGTCAATACCCAACAATCTTTCGAACAGTTGAACAAAAGAAGTGTCGCCGTAGTCATTGATCCAATTCAATCTGTGAAGGGGAAGGTAGTTATTGATGCCTTCAGAACTATCGACACCACCACATTAATGATGGGACAAGAACCAAGACAAAGTACTTCCAACGTCGGTCATTTGAACAAACCTTCCATTCAAGCATTGATTCATGGACTCAATCGTCACTACTATTCTTTAAACATTGACTATCACAAGACTGTTAACGAAACCAATATGCTCTTAAATTTACATAAGCAAGATTGGCAATCTGGTTTGAAGATGCAAGACTATGAACATAAGGAGCACGAAAACTTACACAAGGTGGAAGGAATGGTGAAAATTGCCAAGTTGTATAACGAAAGAATTGTGGAAGAGAAGGAATTTGAAGAAGAGGTTGCTGCCGCTGCCATTGCAGCAAAGGAAGCAAGCGAAGCCAAGGCAATTGAGGCTGCTATTTCCGAAGCTGCTGATAACGGTGGTGCAACTACTACAGGAGGTGATGATGCCACGAACTCCGCAAGTTCTACATCTCCATCTGAAGGTTCTGATAAAAACGCAGATCGTGGTGACAAGTCTTCGACCGAAGTCACCTCTAAGACAAGCTCATCTAAAGAAAAGGAAACTAAGTCTGGACCAACGGTGGAAGAACAACTTAAAACAAGATACGTTGGTAAACAAGATCCTAAGAAGCATTTAAGTGACACTGCAGAGAAGGCAATTGAAGACAACATCCTTTCCTTGCTCACTGGAAATGTTAACAGTTTGGCAATCCATTAAAGAGTAGAAATCTTGTGAAATGCAATGATTTTTAGAAGCTTAGAAGTGATCTACTGATTAGTAGAAGATAATATATAGAACATTGACGAATTACCGGCATGACATATACCAAAATTAAAATAAAAAAAATAGATTCAAGAAAACAGCGTACGTAAGTGATAGCTGAAACTTAGTATGCTTAGCAATACTATGACTCAGCGAGCTATGTAATATAGTAGGAGGCTACGTTCACTTGGGACTTGCAATTAGAGTATCCTCGTGATTTTGTTGTGTCCTGTATACAATCCCAATATGGTTCCTAGGTAGAGACCTTCTCTAATGAAATGGTCCTTGTGTATTTCTCTTTTGAAACAGCCTATTCTAACCTACGATGACTACAACAGGTGTAGGATCTGACGTTTCGGATGAGGAGTATGTCATTCCAACTAATCGTAAAAGACAAAAGCTTGAAACTTCTGGTGACGTTGTAATCAACTCTGACTTACCAGCTTCTTCACATTATTTAGAAACTGTAAATGTTAACGATTTGAATTTTGATTACGATAAGATCTGCCTGGTGACACTTTCCGATGTCAACGTCTATTGTTGTTTATGCTGTGGGAAATACTTTCAAGGTAGATCGAAGCAGCTGCCAGCATATTTGCATTCCGTGAACAACGACCACCATGTATTCATCAATATGGAGTCGCTCAAGGTTTTCATACTACCAGAAAATAAAGAGATTTGTATTGTAGAGAATGGTAGTAGTAGTAATAGTGGCATTAAAGTTATCGATAACATACGATATGCCATTGACCCAAAGTATACCTTGAAAGACCTCAAACATCCTCAGACTGTGTCGGTAACGGCAGATGGTAAGAGATACCTGACTGGTTTCATTGGTCTTAATAGCTACACAAAAAACAATTTAATCAACGTAGTCTTTCAAATACTTAGCCATATACCAGCTGTAAGGGATTATTATTTGCTAGAAAAAGAAAAGGAGAATGGAAATAGTGAATTGTCTAAAAGATTCGGTTTGATTGTTCGTAAGATATGGTCCCCCAGGCTCTTCAGGAACCATGTTGCTGCTCATGAGTTTGTTGTGGCCGTTGAAAAGGAGAAAACGTATAGTTCCATATTTGATAAGATGGTTAAGACTACAGCCATCTCACCAGGTAAATTTCTTGATCTAGTATTGATAGTCCTTGATCGACAAATGTCAAAGAAGAGTAAATCAATATTCAGCAAAACTTTTCAAGGGAAAGTACAAGTGACCTCAATTCCATTGGTGTCACAGAGAGATGAGCAGTCGAATACGGTACAAGAGGTTCCCGATTCGAGCTTGAAAAGAGAAACAATATCAAGGTTTTGGAATTTAACACTAGATATTCCCCCTATTGCTACTACAAGTTCTGAACGAGCCGAAATACCTCAGGTGAAGTTAGAATCGCTCCTAGCAAAGTATAATGGGATAACTACGAAAACGATTACAACGGCAAGTTCTGGGAATCATTTGGTATCATACAAACTAATAAAACTTCCACACTACTTGATATTTGATATTTGCAGAAACGCTGAAGTTGCAACCATTTCTAGTAAGAATAAGTACAATGCCACGGTCGTCACATTTCCAATCACTTTGGATATGTCACCTTACTTTAATACACCGGAAGAGACGCTAATCTACGACCTTGTGTCTACTGTTAAGCGAACTCTGACAGATAGTAGCGAGACTGATGACAGTTTAGAGAAGCATGAATGGACGGTAAGGCTTCAAAAGGATGAGACTGAATGGGTTGCCATAAGTGACTTGATTGTTGAACAAGCAGAGAGAGAGCTTATGTTCTTAGATGAGAATTACTTGATGGTTTGGAAAAGAAGGAGAGTATAATACATTACGTAAAGGTAGGAAATTTTGTTGACTAATTAAGGCTTATTCTGCCACTTCTTGTATTTAATTAAATAGAATGTTAGCTGTCAGTTCTAGATGTTACTATATGCCTTTTCTAAATAGCTACACTGCTTTATAATTTTGCCCAATTCTGTGTCGTACAAAATCAAGTCCACCAGAAGAAGGAATCCGGTCAATTTCATCTTTAATATCATACAATCACTTTCAAGAACGTAATCCAGAATCAATTCTAGTAGGTCTCTGACTTCAGATAATTGATGAATATAGAAAGCTTGCAATGCACTGTTATCTGATTTTCTTACCACCAGCGTAATGGTATCTTTGAGCTTGGAATTCCGGAACAAATTCGAATGTCTTATCTCATATGATCTCCATCTAGGTATGTCTTGCAATAAAGCAGATATATATAAGCCAGAGAGGCTTGAGGTAACCGAAGGAAATGATTCCAAGGTGAAAATTTTGGACAAAACCGGTGGGTTGACATTTGGGTCTACCATAAGACATGTCAACCATAGATCAATCAACTTCGTGTCCATCATATCGTTAATCAAAATGTCGCTGGAGTCACTTAAGTCTTTTTTATTACTATTTACTATTGAATACGAAGGTATGAGGGAGCGTATAGGTTCTCCTCCATCGTTTTTCTTGTTATCTTCTATCAAGATCGGTAACTGGCTATCTGGAGCAGCCTGGTGCGAAAGCGTCATCAAGCAATTCAGTGCATTTTCATCTGTTATACCCTTTCTAGTAGCCAAAGGTAGTTTTAGACCATTCTTATGGCAGATTATTAAGCACTGGGATAGAGAAACAGGATCAGAGGGTAATATTATGTCTCTGTACTCTACAACATTATTGATCCCAAGAATAATGGAAGATGATTTTGCTAAAGAAGTGGTCTTAGATGAGGAAGTGAAGTAGAATTTTCTTGCTTCAAGTACTTCCAATTGGCTCGACGTTGACGCAGTTATAGACGGATACGTCTTAAGAGGAAAACTATCAAATACTTGTCTTAATGCCTGAGGAACCTCCATAGTTACTTGGTGAAAGGGGAAGAAGCACAGCAAAGCGTTATAGTGAAAATGGAGAACTCATCATGTATGCGCGAAACTGAAAATTTATAGTGCAGAGTTTAGCGTCTGTCGTGAAGAGCTAGCGCCTATTTAGCGTCTATTTAGCGCCCCTAAAACCGTTCTATTGTCGATAGCTTACTGGTGAATGAAAAATTACATTCTGTGCAGCTTCGTGAAGTGTATCTATACGTACATTTATATCAAATGCTATAAACTGTTTATATGCCTATTTTAGTAGCCAAAATACTCCTAGAAACATCTCAATACTTAAACTCCCAAATACTCTAATCCTATCGTTTCCTAACAGCTAAAGACTCAATTACTCGAAAATTAGCTAACAGTTCTCTCCGTAATAAAATTATATATAAAAATATACAAGTATATACATATTATATGTGGATAGGTCACCGACAAACACACCTGCCTCTTTCTCTTGTTTCAACCAACTAAGAAGTCGCTAAGGGTACATACGTCATAGTATGACCTTTTGTCTACTAATTCTTAGTCGCCAAGTACCTTTTACAAAGTACTGAAAAGTAGTGGAATCTAATCATCTTCTTCTGGAATTAAGTCGATACTCAAGTCATACCATTCAACTCCACCAAACTTACACTCACTAACTCCATGACTGTTGAAACCAATCTTCTCATAGAAAGGAATCAACTCCTTGTGAGCAATTATAACAACCTTGTCTCCCAAATCTTGGTTACTCAACTTCTGAATGTAATCGTGCATAAGTAAAGTACCTAAATTTTTACCCTGCCAATCAGGGTCTACGACTAATCCATGTATTCCGATATATCTAGAGTATTCTATGTGACCAGCAGTCTTGTCGTCCTTAGATGGTAATTCCATAGACTGAGAGGTAATTCTGCTTGAATAGATTTTCGTGGCAATAATGTGTGCGATTAATGTTTCCTTGATAACTGAAGATTTTATTGGGATATCTTCGTCATCGTCATCTTCAGAATTAACGTCCTCAATGTCTTCTCCATCCTTCTTGTCCTTTTGTTGGCTTGCAGCAACTTCCGGTAAGTTGATGGCACTATACTTTGAGGTGTAATCCCTTATAAATAAACCTGAGCATAATTCTGGGCAAACTGTAAGTCTGTATTCCAATTTTTCTTTGGTACACCTTTCATTTTCCGGAAACCCCCTTGTCTCAAGGGCAAGAGTTTGATCCAAGTCCTCAATGGTCAACGGTCTAATAGAAAGGTTAGGAGGGAAATCGGTCATTGCTACTGTAATTAAATTTTTAGATACAAATAGAAGAATGGAAATAAAAAGAGTCTCCAAAAATAATTCTTATATAGTATATCTACTCTATTTGTTCTTGCGCCGTCTTTCCGTTCACAATAATTTAGCGGTTGGGTTTACGTTTGGAATCTTGGATTGGTGGTGTGCTGTATTTTTTTTTTTAGTAATTTTTCGCGCGAGTTTTATGAAGTAATTTTTTTTTATTTTTGCCTTTCTTCGGTATTTCCTACTCCACTTTTGAAAGACATTTTAAGTGTTAGTCATGTTGTGCATATAGCATATCTTCAAAAGTGGCTAAAGTCCACGGGAAAGGTGCAGTTAACAGCAATTTTGAACAGAGGCCTGCTCGTATTATTTGCTCTTATTACTTGTAGGATGGTAGTGCTTTTAAAATATCGGTTGTCGCAACTACAATGATGTATTATTTTTGGCCTTATGTGTGCTCAAGGAGTGCTTCAGGTGTGCTTTGTTTGTTAAATCCAATAGCTATGTATGGTTTCTGTATTGTGTATTTATTCTAATTCATTTATATCAATCTCTACTTTATCATTTAAAATACTTTTCCCTACTTCCCATAAATGAACAATATTATCATCTGCAACGGATGCTAATGTCCAATCTTTGTATGGACACCAGTTCAAGTCCATAACTGAGCCAGTATGCCCCGCGTGCATCATGAATAATTCGGGACACCCATCTTCTGCATCTTCTTGTGTCTGCTCTTCTCCAGTTTTACTCAAATCCCACAATATTAGTCTTCTATCTTCAGAACCAGATGCCAAAATCCCGTCTTTGTGAGGCGAAAACTCAAGTGAAGTAATACTAGCACTGTGGCCCATAAGAGTATGTAAAAGCCCATCTGAGGAGCTGGAAGACATCTTCCTTATGTCAAGTAGGCATATATTTGAATTTGTATTCCCAATGGCCATCAAATTTGTTGAAAATGGAGAAAAGGCTAATGAATTGATACCCTTGGAATCCTCACTGTAATAAGACGATACAGGCTTGTCTGCGTTGACCCTAAGGTCGAAAATATGTACAAATTTATCCTCTGACACCGTTCCGAATACATTTTGCAGCAATGGATGAAACTTGGAATCATTCACTATGTCCTTGCTAGCAGTGGTATTTTTAAACACTTCCAATTTAGTATTCGTATCTGTTATGACAATAGACTTATCATCTGAGGAGGACAAAAGATGTCCCTTTTGGAAGGGACTCCAGGATATCCCATATCCATTGTCAGTATGGGGTTGAAACTGAGCTATACTGCTATTGCTGCTATCCTTACTGCTATCTATATTATACAAGTCGATATCTCCTTTACCATTGATTGTTGCAACAATCAGCAGGTCTTGCGGCATATACCTCGCTCTATTGATTTCCGCGCCATTTTTGAATTTCCTTATAATCTTTACACGGGATGAATGTGCGCTTTTAGAATCTTTTGTTTTAGTAGCATCATCCTTTCCATTTGTAGGTGACGTTGATTTTACAGATACCTGCTGCAGTTTATTAGCTGGTAATTGGGTTTGTGCAACCTTCAAATAATCCACATCCTCACCCGACGTATGTGTGCCCAATAATAATTTACAATCAATAACCCCATCCGCCTCATTTGAAGTATGATTAGGAAGCCACTGAACTGTTAAAGATGGCCAAGTCAATGCAGTTTCCGTTACAAACTCATACATATAACGACAATTTTTACGCCATAACTGATATTCTTCTTTAATTGTTAGCTCTTGAGTTCCCTCATCGAACTTGGAAAGAAGCTCCTCGGCCGACATATTCTACTCTACCAAAGATTAACTCTCTACGACTGTTGGTGGTGTCTTTCAGTTCTAATTGTGTTGCTAAACGCGTTTTCATTACTTTTTTGAAGATTTTGAAAATTCGAATAAACACGACTTACATGCAGACTAAATTATGCAACATATAAATTGCAGCCTAGTCAATGCTCCATAGTTTAGAAATATATCGAGCACATTCCGGCATTGAATTGTCACGACTTCCTTAGTTCATGTACTTTTAATAATACCTACATGTTAATTTATCTTTGTCTATATTAATGTCAATGTCTATAAATATTATACTTCTCGATATACTGCATCACCAGAATTTTCAAATAGATCGATCACCTTTAAGGCGTCGCTAATGTGGTCAAAGTAAGGTGAAGTTATGGTTTCGGTAAGATTAGCCAAAGAACCAGAGACCTTCTGTTGGGATGCGGAAATTGTAGGTTCAATGCCATCTGCAGCTGCATTGTTGTAAGATGACGAGTTATTTTGATGATCAAAATAGTTCAAGTCGATTAAGTCTTTCAAAAGTAATTGGTGAATTCCACAGTTCTTCAATCTTTCTCTAAGGCGAATTGTTTTGTTAACTCTAATAAAAAATGAATATATTTTACGATCTTCATAATTAGTCAATATTTCCTTCAAAATTTGAGCTGCGGATGAATCAATTTCTGTCATTCCGTTCAAGTCGAAAATGATGTACTTGGTCATCTTAGCATCCCTTACCCTCTTTTGTGCCGGGTGTGCTTTTGTAGAACCGTACATTTCAACACGCTTAAGCCGATTTTTAAGATCACTTGTATTCGTAAACGTTAGTGGTTCTGGGATTTTCACTATGAGGCAACCTTCAATTTCTTCAAGAGCTCTATAATTCAACGAAGTCAAATGATCATCATCAAAATATGAAAGTTGATTGGAAGAAAAACGATGGGCCAGCCTGAACAACAGCGAATGTTCATCAGCTCGCTGAATCAGCTCTACTGGGGCCATATTTGTGGCATGAGGTGTAATTTCCACATCATTTGACATATTGGCAAGTTGTTCGGAAATTGGCTCATCTGCATTTAAGAACGTATTTGTTCCTGGAACTCTTCCCAAGATTTGAATTCTTGAAGATGTAGAATGTTTAATTACTCTAATCAACAGATAAATCAATCCTACTGCGATACCTGCTTCCATCAGAAAGAATAGTGTTGTCGTTACGGTAACTCCAAAAGTAAGTAGTTCATTGTATCCCTTCAGCTGCCAATGGAACCAAATCTCCATAGGTGCTTCTTCGATTAACAGAATTCCAATAACACATGTAACAACGTTCAATGTACATTTGGGAATGAAATGCAAGTAATCCATTAAAAACACGATTGTGAAGATGGTACAAATTGCCATTATAGCTCCCAGCATTGTCGTCCTGGCCAGCCTTGCATTGATTTTTGATCTTCCATATCCACCAAACGCGGGTAATGCTCCAAATAGACTCCCAACTAAATTAATGAATCCAAGTGCAACTAATTCCCTATTAGAAGATATTGGTAAGTCATATGTACTCCCTAACGATTTTGAAGCTGTTGTAGACTCGAAAAATCCCAACATAGCACATAGAAATCCCAGCGTTGTCACTTTCCGAAATAATGGCCATAACTTGGTACTTAAGGGATTGTAAATAAGTTTAGTTGGGGTGCCATCATTGGCAATTTTACCAATTATTTCTACTCCCTGTTTATCTAAAGACCAATTTGCCACTACCCAAGTTGACAAAATAACCACTATTAAAATTTCAGGAACATAAACGATATAATTTCTGTACTTCAATTTCTTCCTTTCAGCAACTTTTTTATATATTCTAAGACTGAGAATAAGAATAAATCCAATTAGTGACACTTCGAATGTTAATGGATGTAACTTCAGTGAATAGTTCAATAAAAATTTGAATTTGTCGAATGGCGAGTGGATATCTGGAGTATTTGGATTGTTAGCAACCTCTTCCATGAGTTTACTAAGTCCCAACATTACCACCAATGAATTGATAATCATAACAACCCCAACACCACATATGAAACCTTTAAGGAGTGATGCAGAAAGAACATTATCTAAAAACCCAAATCTTCCTAAACCAAATCCAAGAAGACTCGCTCCCAGGACAAATGTTACCACAACTACAATTTCCATTGGGTTAACAGGATGTTTCTTAGATGCATGATGCACAATAGGTTCCACTGCCTGACCTACTATAAGGGAAATTGCTCCTTCAGGCCCTACGATCATTTGCGGTACACTTCCAAATACCATATATATAATTGGCGATATGGCTAATGAATAAAGTCCACTGGTGATGGGGACGTGTGCTAGTGAAGAGGCATAAGAAAGTGATAATGGCAACTGGAAGAAGACTAACGAAAGTCCACCAATTAAGTCACCTACAAAATACTCAGCACAGTATTGAGGGATCCATGAAAGGCACGGCAAGTAGTATGGTAAGTATGTCTTATAATCGAAATCCTCTACATTACTTGTAGTTGTAGGACAATACTCGAGCTGTGAAGGGATCGATATTGAAGGAACCGGTGCCAACATCTGTAATCGCTCTCTGTCCGTAGTGAAACTACTTCTGTGGCTCGAAGTACCATTTGTCTTATAAACTATTGAATCTGTTTCATCGTTACTTCCATATAGATTGGAGAATGCTTTCTTACTGGAGGGATGCAACAGTTCTAGTGTCACACTGTCCTGTATGGACCTTTGGTCGAACGCACTTTTTGCATGTCCTGCGGTTTGTGCAGTGGTAGAACTTTGGGTCGACATCGGCGCGGCAGCATTTCCCCTTTCTACATTAACTCTTGTTGTTGAAATATGTCTCAAACTTGGAGTAGGGCTGGTAACACCACCACTCCGCACTATTTCGTGAGTTGGAGTCTTAGGTTTCACCATGTTTCTCACACTTTGTTATTAATACCAGCAACCCTTAGATTTAAATTATACCTTCAAATTAAATCCGGCTAACCAGGTTGTCTCTACCTTTCAAAAGAGAAATTAGCTTATATTTTTTGAAGTTTTTTTCTCCCTATCTTTTAACTTCTGTTGAAGTTGTAACTCAGTGGAATTATCAATGTGTATCTATGTCTTCGAAACGTGCCCTGGTGTGATTTGTGCAGGAATGCATATATCAAAACTGGGGAGGGTTCTGTAGCGAATGGAATTTCACTGATTTGTAAATCGGTAACTTCGTTGATTTCAGTTAAATTACCTTCAGAATGAAAGCAAATGTAAGATTTTCGAGGAAATCATAGATGATGTAAGATCTATCACGATCGTTGAATATCGGGATATTTAAATGACCTCAGCATTAATTGGTTGACGTACAATGAACTATTTTAGTCAGTAGTGTGATCGTATATTCCAGTACTGTACATAAATATGTGGCTGCAGAGTGAAAGGCTATATATCAGTAGATAAGGGAGTCAACCATTTTTGCTTCGGTATCGCTTAATAGACTACATTTTGTCGCAGTGGTGAACGAAGAATAATAGAGAGCTGAGAATTAGTACGTGAGTAACTTCGTGAAATATCACTCAATTTAGAAGTTTGAGTAATAATTATATATATGTAGTTATCAACAGTTGCACATGTTATTGAAGTAAAGTGGCTCCATATTGTAAACTAAAAAAAAATTTAACTTATATTTATCTACATCAAAACTCAATTTAGTCCTAGACTGATGTACCCACTGATACAAGCCTTCTTCTACGAATTTAAACACATCTTCTGATTCTACCTTCGTCCTACAATCTTCCCTGTCGTCCTCTACTGGCACATCAACACACCCATACATCGTGAAAATGTGATCCTGCACATAACATCACGAGTCAAACTAAAAAAAATTGAAATTTCACCTTCAATTTCCAGTTGACCTGCTCTTCGAAATATTCAAAACTCAGCACTTCTTCAATTGAACCTGTACAGTCAACCCCTTGAATACACCAAAATTAAAAATGATCTCAAGAGCTTCTAAGAGATTATTTAGCTCGTCCATACCTAGACTCGATACTCTTGTATATCTTGAATCCAGTGGGGCAAAGATAAACCCAGCAGCCCTTTCCTCTGTTTCTGCAGCAATCCAAATTGGAGAACCAGTTGTTGGTTTAACTACATCTGAAGAAATTGAATCTCAAGCATCAAAAATTGAAGGTTTGTCAAAAATTATCAGCGTTTCAGGAGACCAATATAAGAACAAATTAGCCGAAGAATTGGCTCCACTCTTCAAGGATATTATTCAATCAGATTCAAAATTCACCCATTTCATTGTTCCTGCATCTGCTGTAGGAAAATCTTCATTACCAAGACTTGGAGCTTTGCTAGATGTTCAACCCATTTCTGACATAGTTAAGGTAGAATCTAACAATACATTCGTGAGACCTATTTATGCAGGAAATGCCTTAGCTACGGTGAAGTCAAATGACTCAATTATCTTAGCGTCTGTTAGAGCTTCTGCGTTCGCACCTGCTGCAGCTGGCGAAAAGCAATGCGAAGTCGAAAAATACTCTGGCACCATTTCCGATTCCGGAAATAGGACACAGTTCGTATCTGAGTCGTTAATTACATCAGAGAGGCCAGAATTAGGCTCAGCTGGTAAAATTGTTAGTGGAGGACGTGGTTTAAAGAACAAAGAAACATTTGAGGCTTTAATTGAACCATTAGCCACTAAGTTAGGTGCTGCAATTGGTGCATCAAGAGCTGCGGTTGATTCAGGATTCTGCGACAATTCTTTACAAGTTGGTCAAACTGGTAAGATTGTTGCTCCAGAATTATACGTTGCTGTTGGTATTTCAGGTGCCATTCAACATTTAGCAGGAATGAAGGACTCTAAGACCATTGTTGCTATAAATAAGAACCCGGACGAACCAATATTCAATATTGCTGACGTTGGATTTGTTGCTGATCTTAACGAAGTTGTTCCAGAATTGACAAGTAAACTTTAAGCTTTTGGGCTAGATACGACCGAAAAATAGAAACTTAAGTAATTTGTAGATAAAGAATGCTTTTTGTTTGAGGAGCACAGTATAGGAATTGAATATAATGAACGATCTAAGGAAGATGATAAAATTACAAAAATTGAATGTAAAGACATTTCTACACGAAGGGATTCATGTTTTGAATGACAGAATAATTCATTCGAACAGAGGGAACATCTTTATAGTATTTACCCCACCATTTCACCACACTTTAGAATTGAGTTTGGGTGCAAATTGTACAGAATAACATGTTGATATTCCTGCACACAATAAACAAAAATCACAATACAAGAAAAAAATTGTCTCGGAAAAAAAATTAATTCTTTATCATCTAAGTTAAGAAAAGTTTGAACCTAAACAATCCACTTGAGTGAAATATTATCGACCTAACGCGGTATTTGCTGAATCTTCACGTTCCGTATTACAAGTAGATCCATTTCCCCACATATTTGCATTGATATTTGATTCATTTTATAATATTGCTGGTGGTCTTCTTTTAAACTTCATTTCCCCTCACGTGTTTTTTGGCGCTTGAGGTAACAGTCAATAATAATAACAGAAAGCCATGTCACTTGAAACAGATAAGGAGCGAGTCACATGCCTTCTTTTAATAAATACTCAGCTCATGAAGAAAGCTATCAACATTTATACAAATCTCCTAACAAATAAGCAGATACTACTGCAAATACCACCTCAAAATAAGCAGACTATAATGGAGCTGTATCAAAATTGCACTAGAAGAATTCATTGCAACTTATCCGTATTAACGTATATCAACGAAAAATATAATTCAGATGGTTCACAAGGTGCGAATAGCGTGCAACAAGGAAGACCACAGTTTCCATTTATAATGTCCGCACCACCTGATATGCCGGAACTAAACCAGTTGTATTCAAAACTTCAAGAGCTATACCCCGAAGCCCTTCAATTCTTGAAGATGAAGATTCAACAATTGAAAAAGAGCCAGGGCCAACAGGGCCAACAAGGACTGCCATTGAATAGTGGACTTGGGGCTCCAAATCCTGCAATTGGTGTTGCTTCACAAGGACCTGGTGGAGCTATGCCTCCTTCAATGACTGGAGCTGGACTCGGAGGAGTAGGCGGTCTTATAAATCAGAGTCCTGCTACCCAGCAATTCCCTCCACATCAAATCTCTCATACTCCACATCACCAACAACAATTTATGGTGAATTCGCCAGCACCTTCTAATGTTTCTGGCGATGCATCAGCATTCAAGTCGAATAACGACTTCAATGGTGGTGGTGGTGGTGGATTTTCAGGTGGAAATAGCTCCATTTACGATCCTAGTATGCTCATGCAACAACAACAGCAGCAACAACAACAACAACAATATCAACAGCAACAAAAATCTAGTATTTCTCCTCAGCTGATCTTGCAAATGAACCAGGGCAATGGAAATGGAGGCAATGGCAATTCCAATGGAATGTTAGATTTATTTTAATAGCGTGTAATATATGTATAAATAATTTATTAAGAAACAGGTTGTAGATGAGAGAAATTACAAATGACTAGCAGGGGTAGCTACTCAGAGGGAAATCCAAATGTTATTCTTTCAGTACTAATATTTCTATAAATTTTCTACTAAATAGACTGAAATTCTTGGTTTATTATGTCACTGTATCCACCGTCATCATGGCCACCATATATTCCTTGATGCTCATTGTTTGTGATTATTGTGCCTCCAAAGTCCTTACCTTGAGACTGATTCTGATTCTGATTCTGCTGCATATGTCCAAATTCTTCGGCAATATTTTGAGATGATTGATTATGAGAATTGCCAGGCATGTTCAACCAAACTGCATCGTTAGTGATCTCATTCCAAAGCTTTTGCTCTTCATCGAGATACGTCACACCTTCGATTCCAGCAAGGTCGGAGTTCATGTAAACGTCTCCACCTCCAAAGCTTTGAGCATGATCATTAATTCCATTGCCGCTTCCCATTCCCTGTGAGTAGTTTATTCCGCCGTTGGAGAAATTTGGAGGTCCATTCGTCGGTTGAACTGATGGCTCGATTTCCATCTCAAGACTCTCGGGAATATCACGGATTATGCCTTGATCTGGATATACACCAGATTCTTGCAGTTGAAATTGAGCATGAGGCTCAGAATCAGCTCCTTGAAATGCTGAGAAATCCAAGCCACCAGATGGCATAGAAGAAAGTGAACCAACACCTTCGTAATTTTCGCTTATACCTTCTTCGTTTGTATATATCCCTTCGTCATCATGTTTCTTTAATAGATCTTGCATGACCCCATTGAAATCTAATACACTGATTAACTTTAACAATTGCGATCTTCTCAAAGCAGCTGGATAGTTGCCTAATCTTTTCATCTTGGTAAATATCGTTAAAGCATGATCTAAGTGATCCTTAGTTGCATCATGAACACCAAAACTAGCATTAAACAATATTAAAGTCGATGCTGAAGTGAATAAATATTCCCTATCCATCCAACCAAAAAGAGCAACCATGTTTTCTGGTACAAGCGCCCAGATACACCTAATAGAATTTATCAGCGCTTGAAAACTGGCATTGAGCAACGTGAGCACGTTTTTCAGATATTTGGTCAAATCGACATATTTATTGGAATTTTCCTGTTGCTGCAATTCCTTCAACTTCTTGGTAGCAAAATGGAAAAGTAAGGGTCTCACTGCAAGATTGATACCTTGAAAGTATTCCGTCATGAGATTTACTACAAGACGAGAAACTTTCAAATTGTCCTCTTCTCCTGAAGGACCAGTACCTTGGAAGTCTACCTTCAAAAATTCAGGCAAGGCAGTTTTCCAGGTCATTAATTTTTGGACTAAGTCAGAAACCACAGGTAAAATGTTAATAGTTGGTTGCTTTGTATATAACGACAGTAAAATCATGGCATTTATCTGAGTGATTATTACACAGTTATTGATATATTCAGCAGGTGGGAATACAAAGAATCCACGTACGTCATTTTCATCCTTGGGAAAATCATCCAATGCCATACTGATATCGACTGGGAATTCAGTTGAGACACTGTCATCTGCAAAACTAAGTGGTAACCCTGCCTTCAGAGAAAGCATTCGCTCATACATGTATACAGTCCACCATATACGTCTTCGATGCTCAAGTTCAAATCGATTTAAATTCTCACTATCAGCGTCGACGTGCCAGCCAAGAATAAGGGTAGATCTGAGAGCTAAACCAAAGTAGAAGTACGATGCAATAGTACAGTCCGCAACTTGAAGGTAGAATGCATAAAGTAGCATAACCTCAATACCCCCATCTTTCACTGTGTTGTCTATAGCTCCGGAAGCAAATAAACCTGTGAAAAGTTCAGATGCTTGATAGAAGAATCCAGCACCAGGAAGGGTATTTTTGCTTGTGCTTCCTGAGTTATGTGGGTGGGAACTGGAGTTGGACTTGGGGGCACCCTTGGAGCCGCTAGATGCCGATGATCCAGATCCAGATTGGTTACTATTATTGGCCCTTTCTTGTGATCCGCTTGAGGAAACATTTGCTTTTCTATTCTTTCTATGTACATCACTCTCAGTTCCTAAGTACATTTCCCCAGTTGCAAAAATCAAGAGTACCTTACAGAACCACACTGTCTCCAATATTGTATCGTCATCGGTATCCTTCTTGATTGTATTTTCATCCACTGCAGGTCCCTTATTTGGTGATATGTTTCTTTTTAAGATTCTTTTGTTTTCTTCCATTTTCCCTGCGTACAAATTAGTCAAGAACTTCTTCACCAAACCTTCATTGAAAAAGTAGAAACATCCATCATTATAGTTGACGAATGTATCTACAAGAAGCATTGCATATGAATACGACGGAAGGGAGAAATTGATAGACACACCAGGACGGGTATTGGTCTTGGCAAGGGTGATCTTGTATGCGTTACCTTCCTTTTCAAGAATCTTTGTTTCTCTTTTGGAAACGCTGGAGCCTGTACCAGTAGAAGAATTCGGAATCGAACTCGTGCTGCTGGAGACGCTTCCCGGGGTGTGAACAGGACTATTGGTCTTACTGCTTATGCTAGGAAATAGTCTTGAACTACTGAAACTTGGAACCATATTTTGAATCTCCAAGCCGAACAATGTCATCGAAGAAGATCCCACATAGAGCTTCTCACCCGTACGCGACTGTATGAGTCTCCCATGTTTATCAAGTGAAGGGTGAATGACTTCTGTGAAGTTGCCCGACGAGGAGGAGGATGATGGCCCACCAATACCCACAGAGAAGTTCTGATTTGAGCCAAAAGTCGAGCTGAATCGGGAAGAATCTCCATTGTTAAATGATGGGTTAGTACGACCTCCCATATATGACGTACCAGCACTATGCACCGGTACTAGTCCGCCATCGCCTCCTATCAGATCTACGGCCGTTCCATCGGGGCCCACACTTGTCCCCGAACCCGATACTCTTACCTTTTCTTGCTTCAAGTTATTTCTTAGAGTAGCGTTGTCTTTCTTCAAGCGAGAGATATCATCATGCAATTTGCTGAGATACTTCATAGACACCACGATCTTCTTGTCAGCTTCTACGTATTCACATTTGGCCCTAGCCAATTGACATTTCTTACAGGGGTTTCCCCCGGGGCACCTGATATGCCTCGTACGGCATCTGATACAAGCTAGAGAGTTCCTCTTTTGTCTGCTGGGGCCATTACTGTTGGAGCCGCCTCCATTCGGTATGTTGGGGGTAGTTGGCTGGTCTGGAATAGATTGGACCTGCAGCAGCGATCCTAAAGAATCAGATTCCGCTTGGAACGGCGCCTGACTCATATACGGCTAATGTATTGATATATTACAATGGAAGATCCAAGAACACGGCTCTACCTACGATGTTTGGCCACGAATTCGTCTTGATATGCCCATAACAAGGGAAAAAAAGAAGGAAAAAAACAAAATGCGATAAATAAAACACCAAAAAGGAATTTGTGTAGGTGTTAGGGTGTCACAGATACAAATCTCATCTGGGGTATCGTTAGTTCAGGAGAGAGAGGAAGTGGGTCAGGCCCGATAAGAAGTTGGATCTCGAGGATGATACAATTGATTCCAGGTCTTTGCAGCGAGGGTACGCATCGAGATAATTCTGTGATGCTAACCCTGTAGTAACCCTGTGGTTGGGTATTGACTTTGCCTGATTTGGAAGAGATCTAAGGCGAAGGATCAGTTTTCTTCCCTAAGAGATTTTTCGCAGCCGTTAGACTCGAGTATTGGACGAGTCAAAATGTGTGAGGTATGGCGGGAAAAGGTGACTTCATAAGGAAAAAGGCAAGTAAGGGTAGTCTGAACCCTGACCCTGGTTTCAAGGGTCACAAAGCTGTTGAACAGCTGCTGAGAAAACGGAAGTTTTCAAGTCTTCTTTGATTCATCCTTGGCTCTCTTTTTTTTATTCTTCTTCGGTTTCGAGCAGTACTTGTTGTATGACCTCAAGCAGGCGGCGTGTATACTCTCTGCTTATATATAACCTGAAAATTTAAATTTTTCACTGTCTTCAGGTCCTGCTCCAACACAACACTATTTATCACAAACGAGACTAGGGCTCAACTGAATAGCAGAGGCTTGCTTATTATTACACTTGTAGCCTGAAAAAATACGAGGCTCGATCGTCGAATCCTGGGAACACAGTGCTATGTTCCATATCCGCCTAGAAATAACCAATTCCTGGAACGTACTTTGCAACTTTATCCTTTCGTCTACTGTAGTTCGTAAACTTGACGCACGCCTTCTGTACCGCATGCTCATCCATCGTATTATTTCCCCATATGCTGACATACTACCGGTGGACAGACAGACACACAGTTTTCGTTTTCCTATTTCTTTCTCTTTCCTTCGACTTGTACCAATGATAGCTCATTTTGACCTAGCTTTGACACTCATACCCCTCCTTTCACTTTGCGGCTCTACCTCAACTAAGGTTAGCTAAAAAAGGGCGGCACGATCAAATATTGAAGGTTATTCTTCGTTGATCAATTTTACCGAAGGAGTGTTACATACATTTTCATCTTCAACTCTTCTGTTAACCCGTAATACCAATGTCATTTAATAGTCTACCAGATGAGATTATAGAACACATTTTAAGTTTCATTCCCCCAGATGACTTATATGACCATTTCTTCAGATCGTCATTGTCTTCTCCTTCACCTTTACCTTCACCTTCGCTTGCGAGAGCTGATGAGTATTCCAATATACTAAAGATGATCTACTCAAGAATATTTGGCAGCAAGATGATAGTGAAAAATAAGGCCCAGAAAGTACGAGAATCAAGCTATAGACCACCGAACATAAGCATTCAGCCGAGTTCTTTACATCGTGATTCCATTGACAGTAATGTTGCAAAGAGAAACTTATCAACCTTTGAAATCGTAGATTTTCACGATGCTTACTCCATATTGATTCAGTTGATTACTTTCAATATGAACACAGCGATAATAGTATTCCCCCGGGAAATCAATTTCATCTTCTTCGTAGCTAATTATTGGGATGAAGAATTGGAACTATTCGGTAAGCTACTCGAAGTGTTGGCATTTGATAATTACTACTTCAAAGAGGATGCAATTCCAAAGATCAATGTAGAGATACGCTATGCAATGGCTTCTGATTCCATAGAGCTGGCTGCCCGAAATAACAAGATACTAAGGCGAATAGAGTCATTAAGAGAGAAGATGAACAAAATTACAATAGTGAACTTCTATTCACCGAATCAACTACAATTGAAGATGCGAGACAGAGAATTGTACAACTTCCATATATTACTGCCGCTGAAATTCAGGAATTTGACTGACATACATTTAATAAACAATGGGATAACAGGGAGTTTCAGGCAAGATCTCAGGACAACAGCTCCAAACTTGAGAGTCTTGGACATCAGGAGTAACAATGTAACATCTTTGATTGATCTACACTTACCACTTTCGATAGTAGAATTCCTGTGTTCTTCAAATACTTTAACGTCGTTAAACGGCCCAAATTATGCAGAACTACACAAGATGGAGATTTTAAATGCTTCTATTAATGCCATAAGCAATATCGACGATTTAATATTCCCTCCATTCTTGAAAACTTTGAAGTTGGACTACAATTCAATAGATTCGATAAGCAGTGAAGTTGAATTTCCACCTACTCTTTCTACCTTGCTGCTTCTGAAGAACTACAATTTAAATGACTTCACTAATATTACGTTACCTACATCATTAAAGGAGCTTTACCTTGATGAGAACAATATTAAAGCGCTCCCTGTGGATTTCTTTTCTCTGAACTCGTCACTCAAAGTTCTTTCGCTAAAGGGAAACAATATAGATGATCTTGATGACTTAGGCTTGCTTCCACCGCAATTGACGCAACTCTCCCTAGATGATAATGAAATTGACTATTTCAATTGGAACATCATATTGATGTTGAATAATTTGGAAGAATTGTCCATGTCATCCATTGGTCTTATATCTATCGAACATTCAGATAGTGCCGTTAACACCACAGCCGCTCTATTACCACCAAATTTGAAGAAGTTGGACTTCTCTTCAAATCAGATTGTTTCAATCGCTCCCCTCTTCAGGTCGCCATTCTCCAAGATTGCAGAATTGAAACTTAACGAGAACAAATTGGAAACGTTCCAACTTTCACCACATGTTGCTCTGAACGTCACGTTTTTGGATCTATCACATAACATGATTTCTTCTCTCGGCGATATTGAGTTCAAGAGCTTTCATAATTTGCAACATTTATCACTTAGTGGACTAAAATTGATAGAGCCTATAGACGACCAATTCCTCACTCAATTGTTGCCATGTTCTAATAGCCTTGTTGAATTGGACTTGTCGGACATCTCGTCTGTAGTATGCCGAGATTTCAACTGCAATAACGGAGTGAACAAGCAGAAAACTTGGTGTGCAAGGTGTACCGATGCATTTTACGAATTGAATGCAGACTTTTCAAAGTTTAAACAGTTGAGTGTATTACATTTGAACGGAAACAAGTTTAGTAGAATTGGAAGCAAGACGAAATTCTCAGATGGACTTGACTTAATGGCTATTGACTCTACACTAATCAATACGGAATATGAGGGCCAATTCAAGCAGGTGGATGGGTTCTTCATACCAGTTAGTAGAAGAGCAACAAAATCTGAGGCCAAATGGTACAAGTACTGCAAACCAACTCTTACGATGGAAGTACAGACATCGGAAAAGACTTAACACTGGGTATTCATATTATTCTTACTATTTTCTACCCAGCGAGACGCCAATAATCAATTCTACAGCATGAATATAATACTAGAATATACATAGCAAGTAATAGTACAGTGAAAACTGACTTCTTACATGTTGCATTAGTCTACGAGATATTTTTAAAACCAATTTGTATTCCGTAAATAAAGTCATGAGACGATGGTCAAACGTTAAACCACCCTTTTTTTTTTTTGCTTTTTATGTTGTTTGTTAAAAGAATTGAAGAAACTTTTAGCTAGATCATGTACTACATACTTAACCTGATAAAACATTTGCAGCAAGTTCACCAATGATGTTACCGGCAGTATCGTAGGAACAAATGACATAGTGACCCCAGTTGTTAGCGGAACAATCCTTAATGGCACAACCAAGCTTGGTGGTGGATTTCCAAATAACTTGGGTGAAATGATTGTAACTGTTGGCATTAGAGTAATCCCAGTTATCACCTTCAGAGTACCAAGCAGCTACAGCAGCTGGTCCATCGGAGTAACCACAGGCCAAGTTTTCACCATATTGACCACCAGAGTGAGTCAAACTTCCAGAACAGTCGTACTTGTCAGCATAAGCCTGAGCGTATTCGTAGACGGTCTTATCCCATGATAAATTAGGAGCTTGATGCTTGGATCTGTCAGTGTTGTGAGCATCTAAGATATCCTTAGCGAATGTAGCATCAAGATCTGGGGATTCAGCGATATCAGCGTAGATTCCTGACTCAGAAGAAGAAGAAGAGGAAGCAGCAGCTGCTACAGATGTAGTGCTTGCAGCGACGGTGCTGGTTGGCTCAACAGTTGTTGGAGTTTCAGCAGGTGCAGATGTCAGGCTCTGCACGTAACCATCACCAACGACGGTGGTGGTGTGAATTTGTGTGACGTATACAATCTTAGCGGATGCTACTTGCAAGATGGCCAAGGCTGTTGCTAATGGAAAAGAGAGTTGCATTGCAGTATGAATAAACCTGAGAGCTTTAAGGAACGACGATCAGTTGGAGAAGGCTTTCAATGAGGCTAAGTTGAAGTTAGCTAAGAAAGTAAAGTCCACTCTCCAGAAAAAAACAACAATAAGAAGAAAGATTTCACAAGGTATATATAAAAAAAAGTAAAAATTTGCCCACCAGTCTAGGCAACGAGGCAATGTAGTGCTAAAACACAATGCCAATAACCATTTTCCTTATTCACTAGGGTTATTTTCTGTTTCATGGGCTCCGATGTCGCTTCGTGCATATGCAACCCTCGACATGCAGAGAAGAAAGTGAAAAATCGCGTTTTGGGCCCAAATTAAACAAAGCTTGCGTCGCACCATGTGCCTACCCCTGCACGTTAAATTTTTCACCAGTGAAGGTGAAATTGGTTATGTATTGAGGAAAGAACACGATCTAGAAGTGTTATTAGCCCAAGCTGAATTGCCTCTTTGTATTAATTAGATGCTTGCCTATATGGGATTCTAGACTTCATTACAATTCCGCCTTCCTTTTTTCCATAGGAAGTTGTCGGATATATTGAATGTCTAGCTCCTGCTCCCCCTATTGCCTCTAGGAAGGGGTATAGGGCCGTCTTTCAAAATAATTTTCTTGGGTACCTTTTTTTTTTCTGCTCTGAATCGTGTAAAATCTTAAAATGCTCGAAAATGAGACGCGTATTGTGGAATGGTAAACATTCCAAACTCTATTCGGATTGTTTTCATTTCATTTTTGTTAGACAAATGAGTTGAGTTGACAGGTTGAAGTAGAGTAAGACAAGCACATCTTTAGGAAATTCAACATACTTTGTATCGTATGCCCCGATGTGTACATACTGGGTGAGGGCGAGGGTGAGGTTGACAGTAGTTCGTAACATAGCCTCTACCACCCTGAGAGTATTGTAGTAGCTTAATAAGTATTTAGTTTAATATTTGCCTCATCTCTCATTTTTTATACTTTCACCGTTTGGCACATACTCCTTTCAAACATATTTTAAAGTTTAGGATTTAGTGCCTAAGCTCTGAGTGAAATGTTCGGTAATATACATGCTCTGCCAACGTCTTTTTCGGAAGCTTATAATCTACAGTAGCACAATGCAGATCGATCTGCATGTTTCCCCACTAGTCCCTGTCATTGTCACACAAACTGCAGTGACGTCAAATGCCGTTTAATTTTAAAATGTATCACTTGAACAATTGAAACTAGGCTCATCAGATGGTCCATTCCAATTGTTATTGATCCCTGATCAACCAGATCATGGCACATTTTCCCCCGATACCATGCAGAGTTTGGGTGCAAAAAAATAGGCCCATCAGCTGAAAAATAGAAGAAGAAACTGTTTTGTCATTCTACATTCTACATCACGCGAACATCAAAATCAAGACCTACTTATTGTTTTGTTATGAAGTTACAAGTTCACCATTCTCTAGTAATCATCAAGTTGGGGGTACCTAATTTCGAACTCGTCCTCTGCAAACTCTCCCCAGTTTTTTAGAAACTGAACCCCACTTTTTTGCATAAGTTCAAGATCTCCAATGATACACAATTGTCTTTTCGGCCTTGTGATAGCAACATTTAGACGTCTTTTATCTCTTAAAAACCCAACCTCTCGGTTATCATTTGAGCGAACGAGTGACACAATTATCGCATCCTTCTCTCTACCTTGAAATCCATCAACGGTCGAAATTTCAATTACTTCAGAATCGGCATCGATCGACGTAGATTCATTTAAAGATTTTTTTAGCAACGATACTTGTGCATTGTAAGGTGAAATAATTCCAATATGCTCCAGTTTAACTCCTGAATTTAGGAGTTTTTCAACATGCTGAATGCAAAGTAGTGCTTCTAGTTCATTGAATTTCGAACCTCCGCTTCCAATGATATCATTGTTTTCATTATCGGTTGATTTCTCAGGAAAATCACCACCTTGTGTATCATACCAGATACAAACATTCTCGGTTTCATCTACCATATTTACGTTTGGCAATTGACTTAATGTAATATCAGCCACCGACTTATGCGCTTTTAATTTACCATCGTACAATTCTTCAGATGGGAATTTCATAATCTTGGCGTTCATCCGATATTGAGTGTCAAGCAATTTCTTGTACAAGTTTCCATCCAAATCTTGGACTAATCTATCGAATAAGGTGAATTCTAAGTCTGCAACACTCTCTTCTCCATTTTTATCCTTTATATTGAGTTTTGAAAGAGACAAATCTCCAGAATTGGATTTCACAGTAGGAGGTAACTGCATATTATCACCAGCAATAATCAATCGTTTCGCTCCTATATGGTTAATAATAGGTATCCAACATTGAGGTTCTAATGATTGGGAAACCTCATCAATGATAATAGTATCAAAAAGAGGATTGCTTTCGGAATCTAACTCAGCATGCGTTTTGTATAATGAGGTGAGTTCATAGGCACCAGCACCATGTAATGTCAGAAGAATTACTTTAGCTCCCATTAGAAGCTCCTCAGTGACCTTTTTCTCTCGTTCTCTCAAATCCTTTTTCAATACCTTTAAATCTGACCATAAAACTCTCCTTTCAGAATACCGTTTGCATTTCTTGATCTTACCAAGTGTTTCTGATATTTCTTTTTGAAGATCTAGCAAAATCTCTTTGCTATCGGTGTTCCCGCTTCCATAGTTGGTCTTTGAAAGCACATCTAATGAATGAGCAAGATTTGTGGGCAACAATCTAGCAGGATGCCCAATTCTTATGAGCTTTTCCGGTGAAAGACTCTTCTTATCACTGTTCCTTGATGATCTCTTCTTTTTAGACGTTTCTTGGACTTCATCATTAGTGAAAACAGCAGATAGTCTCTCTAATATCGTATCAACAGATATGTTTGATGGTCCACATACCAATACCCTTTCATTTTTATTAAAGCTCAACTGTTTAATTAGTTCTATAAGCGTGTAAGTCTTACCAGTACCTGGAGGTCCGTGAATAATAGTCAAAGGGGAGCTCAATGCAAATTCAATTGCAGATTTTTGAGAGTCATTTAAATTTGCATCAAAAAAGGACTTTACTGAAGGTGAAGATTGAGGCAATATATACTTAGTATTACCAAGTAATAAATCTATTATCTGATTTCCGCCTTTAAACTCGATTAGTTTATTTAAACTTGATATCATTCTCTTGTAAGTGACGGAGTTTGCCAACTTCACAATCCAAACTTTGGTTGAGTCATTGCCGGTATTGTTGTACAAATTGAGTATCTTCTCATCAGAACTATCTTCATCCACAGCAATGGCAATGAATTTAGAACTCACCTTAGTTACCACGGCATCTACATCCATCAAATTGTCTTTCTCATCTGATGATGTCTTTTTATTATCCATCTTGCTTAACTTTACAATATCACCAACTCTTATACTTCCAGGATTGATATCATCATCCGGGTTGGAGACTGCAGAGTCTACACTTAATTCAATTAATGTCTTACCTCCTAAACCAGTACGCAAATTCGAAATTACCAAGTTTACCACTGCTAACCCAAATTGAGCCAACTTTTTTGGAGAGTATTTCGCCAAATATTCATCTGTAGCCAACAGATCTGCCTTCTGCTCTATATTAATGGCATTTATGAACGAAGCCGCTAGTATGTTCTTCGAATCCATGCTTTTTAGTTAGTAAAATATTGCAATTTTATGTAATGTTTGAACCTGTTTTTCCAAAGTCCCATATACCATTTAATATGGGAATGGCATCAAAATTCATATTCATATACAACCCTACTGATTAGTCACTATACCATATTGATGGATGGCAGGAACCATGAATCAGGATTGTCTTTACTAAGTATGATACATACCTCAATCGATAATGTAAGTAAAGAAATAAGGAAGTGATGCAGCTATACAAATTTCAGCATTGGGAGATGTTTCATCAAAATGAGAATCGATGAGTGCTAAGAGATGAACCAAAGAGGATGTCCTACACCTGGCCCTAGTACTTTCATAAATTTTTTTTGTTATGAGTTCCAAGGAACTCTACAATTACATAGAGATATAAGTAATTTCACGTAGTTCTACTTCTGCACTCTTAGTACTAGTTACTGTTGAAGTGCTCTTAGTTTGGAAAGTAAGCTCTCACATTGAGCTTCCCCTGAATAGATAAATAACTACACCAAGTATCAATGTCAATTGTATTAATAACAACTATATATAATACTAATTATACCAATAATATCTTCCCAATTAAATACCTTAAGAAAACTCTTAAAAACTCTTCAATCCTTCTTTGGATAGTCCCCTAATTCTCTTCCAGTTTGCTCCTTTAAGATCTTACTGGCTTGATCAACATAATCATATACCAAATTTCTCTGCTTAAAATAACCAGTCATCTTTAACAAAGATATGGTTTTGTCATACATACTCTCACCAAAAGAGAGATAATTACCAAACCATCTTCTGATATCAACAGAAGAAAAGTTTGACGTATCAAATACAAGTCCGGTATTTCTGTGAATCCCTGCAAGAATAATAGAGATAAGGACTAAGTCGAATGAATAGTGAGCTAATTTTCCAAGCTAAAAGAGTAGTTAGTATATATTCAAATGAATATGAAAGGAATTAAGTCGCTTACTGGCATTACTAGAGTATATGGTGGTTATATGTTGACCTTATCAATGTTGTTGTGGCAAATTCATAGTCGAGAAATTTTGATGTACTGAGTTTTTTTTTTCTTCTCTGCATGGATCCTTAGGCTGCGAAGGATTCTGGGGTACCAGCTGGGAGAACAATGTACCGCATAGAACGAGTGGAAGTTTCAGATTTCTTGATCTAGTAGTTGTTTTTAATACCACTTTGCATGTACCCTTAGCTTTCGGGTGTTCTAGGATACCATATATTGGAGAATAATGAGCACCACATGATACTATTAGACACTACAGATTTCTTCTGGTAATTACTTTTATTTCTATGTCTATAGTAGAACATCATTGTTATAGATGTATTTATGTATGGATTCTCTTGATGTACTCACCGATATCATTGCCTGTCCATTCTCTGATTCTTTTATTTCCTCCGAGAGTAATGCCTAACCTAAGAACAAGTTCTTCGATATTGATGGTAAGTTGTTCAGCTACCAACCCTTGTATTTCCACAGCTCTTGTTGTTAATGTGGAGCCAATTTTCTCTACATTACACAACTGTTGTTCAAGGCTAGTCAAAATACCAAATCTAGTCACCAATAAGTCAGACCCTTCATTAATAGTTTGAATTTTGTACAAAACTTTGAAAATCAAGGTCCTTACCCTCATATTAATGTATGGAGAGTTCATCAAGTTAAGACACCATTCAATTGCACCACTGAACTTAAGTACTTGCAAATCGCTGGTATTTGTAATTCCATACCAAAACTGAGTCAATAACCAAGATATTTGTTTTAAATACGAGTCTTCTCCTTCTAATTCAGCGTCAGCACTCAAAGACATAGTAATACTACTGTACATCGGAATCATTGTACCCTTCACCTTAGGATGTGATAAGACGTATCTAAATGTTCTCTCGTACAAGAAATGCCCTGGATTTGACAAGATGGGGACAATTGCACCATGTAAGAACCAAATAAGAGGCGGTATTTTGTCCAGGTTAGTGTTCCTGAGAGTATTCAAGATGTTGGAGACGAAAACTTTAAAAATATTCTTATCCTTGAAGGTATATTCTGGATCACTACAGGTCTTGAGTATTCCTTGAAGTATAACTTTCAGAATATCGTGGACTTGTGGGATAGATAATCCATTAACGATGAATTGTAATAAATTGGAGTCAACCAATTTCTTGACATCAATTGTAGCAGATGGCTTATCCTTCTCGAACTTGACAATCTCTTCATTATTAACGATAAGCATCATGAGGAATTCTGGATCGTATATAGTTTTAGAGTAGGATTGGTCCACATGAAGGAAGTTTGATTTGGCAAATTCTTCAAGAGAATTAGAATCAGGAGCGAATAATTGCTGTTCAAATTGTTTTTGGTAATTCTCGTTAGAGTTTTTAATAAAGTTCTTCGCTAATGAGACGATAAAACCTTTATTATCTTGTAAAATCAATCTCTCTTCAGCTCCAACGACTTCCTTTTCATCATTACTCAATTCTTCTGAAAAGTCCCAGTTATATACTTGTGAAATCCAACTGTATGGCAATTTAGCTTCCACTTTTTTCAATATGCTTTTCAATATTAAATCTTCAATACGAATTGTTCCCAAGTACAACAGTAACAATTTATTCATCACTATTGACGTAGAACTCTTAGATTCATCCATTTGAAAAAGATTTAATATCAAAAGAGCAGCTTGAAATCTGTTTTCTTGCTGTGTTCTTCCAGCTGGTAATTCATTTAAAACAATAGCATCGTTGTTAATAAATATTTGCAACAATTTTTCAAATTGAACTATATTTTTCAGTCCAGTTGTAATAATTGAATTACAGTAGCTTATAGTAATGACATCCTTGGACCAAAGTTTATGATTCAAAATTACTTCCAACTGAGTATTGACAATCGCAATGGGGGTAACTTTCCAAATGGAAATACCAATGCTTGGTAAATGCTTTATAATTTTTTCCATAGATGTAATAAACATCTTGAAATTTGATGAAATTGTCTTTGAAAGGGCAAGCTTTTTCGTGATGAATAGAACAGATTTATGTAACCATTCTTCAATTTCTAAAGAGCAGCTGTCCACGGACTTAATTATTTCGTATGCGACCTCAGCAAACTCACTCATAAAAGCACCCTTTGGATTTGCACGTACGTAATTGAAAATCTTGGTAGATATTAATTGACTGACATCTGCCATGACTATTCCCAACTGGTAGCAAGTTGCTAGAATACTTAAAAATTGGTTCCATTCGTTGATATCGTCATTTTCAAGAACAATATTCAAAACTTTCTTGAAAAAGTTTACTATAACTTCATCTCGATCATTTTCATTTTGCTGTTGGTATGTAGACGCAATGGAATATCCGATGAAACATAATAACGAACTATCGGTAAAAGAAACCTTTGTAGTTAAATAGCGAACGACATCAGGGTGAGATTTAATAAACGGCTTCAACAAGATTTGGTTTGTTTCTAAAATTTCATCAACTTGTGCTTCTACTTCTGAAGTATTAGCAAATGTAACTTTATTCGATTGAAGAATTTCAGCAACGCTGGAGATAGTAGTAGTGGAAGAGTTTTTCGATCCTTTGATAAGTCTTGACAAAGTATTTGAATCAACATTCAAACCTCTTCTAATAGCATTTCTACATAAAGAAGTGACCAAATAGTCAGAATTCAAACTTTGAATCAACTCTTCAACTTGAGAACTAGTCAATATCCAACTAAGGTTGGAAATAGATTCTTCGTACAATTCCTGTTTGAATAAGCGGTATACTAAAGTATTAAAGTAGCTGTTCTCCTCAAATCTTATAGGTAATTGTTGAAAAATATCGTTAATCAATTCACTTACCAATAATCTCTTTGGTTCAACCTGTCCTTCACGAATGAATATATCACCCAAAAACTTCTCTGATTGAATGTATTTCTCAAAGATATTCTCCTCGTCATGAGACAATACGCTGAATAAATAATTACCCAATTTTGTTGTCAAATCGATGATGATATCGTCACTCTTGATGTTTTCGTCTTCAAGAACCAATTTTAATCTAAACAAAAGTGCCGCAATATCAAATTTACTCATCGGAATCTTCGAGCCGCCACCTTCCATAAGATTTTTGTTAGGTGTAGTTACAACATATTCGAAGAATGCCAAGTCTTGTCCTTTTTCTCTAGTAATGCTATCGTTGAAGTTGAGAGTGTTTATATAATCATCAAGTTTAATTATATCCTTTAAATTTTCATTGATTAAATTCAATACGGCATTCTGAGGTTCTCCAATGACAATTATCAACTTTAAAAACTGAAATAACCATCTTATTTCTTCTAAATTCTTCTCTCCATCTTTCATAATAAACTTAAACTGCTCAAGTAATACAAGGACAAATAAACTTAAGTCACTATACAGCCCATGGCTCAAATCAAGATATTTATATGGGTTTCTAACAGACCTCGAAATAGTCTCGTCCAATAAGTTCCAGATCTTATCAGAAGTAGGATTCAGTTGAATTATAGCGAAGATAGGACTAACTAATAGATCCTTATTGAATATAAGGCTATTAGATGTCAACCTCTCCAAAATTTTAAAATTTTTATAAACAAGCGATCCATTCAAACCTGACGTTGTGGAAAGTTTGATCAAAGAGGTGAAAAAAGAATGATCACCAGTTTTATTCCACCATTTGAAATCTTGATCGTCTCCCTGTTGCTGTGAAGTGATTGAGAGAAAATTATCCAACATAATCAAATCCATTCCACTTGAAAATGAGCTGCCAGATAATTGTAAGGAAGTGTTAATTTCTTGATTTACAAATTTCAACAAGGAAGTTGACGTTGACGAGGACGTTGTGGAAGATGCTTCAGCTGAAGTGTTAGCATTTTGAATAATACTTTCATACTTGTTCAAGATCACAATTTGGGTCAATTTCAAGAGTTTCAAATCTATATCGCTTTCACTAGATTCCTTAAATGCACTGAAAATCACAGCTTCACTGGGTAAATTCACAAAGACGCTTTCAACAAACTCTTGTCTTTGATGATGTGACAATTTAGATAAGATTTCTGAAGCTTTAGTCAATTGGAGAACCAAAATTTGTGAAATAAATTGTCTTAAAATATTATGTGGGGATTGGAGACATTTCACGATGGCATTTTTGGATAGTGGAGCAAGACACACATTTTCCATTAGTAATTTGACATCGAAGGTATCATGGTCTAAGTCAATGGAATGTTGTACTTTATGAGGCAATGGAAGTTGAAGAATACTAATATACAATAAACTGTGACCAACCCACCAACTACTCAAATTTGGATCATGGTATCCACCGCCAGATTGAACAATCCAATTCATATAAGGAGGAACTAACTCTAGATTGGATTCCAATATAGTGTTTACCAACAGGAGCTGGGTGTTTGATTCCCATGGCTTCAAAGAAGTCAAGAGTGTGTAAATAAGCTTATTATTTATACGGAAGGATTTATTATTAATTTGAAGTGAGCCAGATGATTGAGAACCTACATTAGCAATAGTGGACGAGTTCCATGGTTCTTGATTCACATAAGTCAACCCATAATTAACATCGCTTACCAATTTGTTCATGAAATCTATAAATGTTTTAGTAAATGCCTCGTCAGTGTTCCCTTCAATTCTGTTGAATATTAATTGGATTTTAAACATGAAATTTTCACTCAAAATTTTACACTTGGTCGATTTCTTAAAATTGGGTTCAGAGAGAATATACTTGTCAACAAATTCCAACATCATTCTTACACTTGGTAAGGAATCAGAGTCACCCATATATTTCCAAATATTGTTCATAATTTTGACACTATTGTTTATGAGAAGATCTCTTCTGGTGAATGCTGAAGACAACGAGGTTAAAGTGATCCAAAACTTTATGAAATTGTACCGTATCGACAAATGATCCTTAGAAGGATCATTTGGAGTCAATTGCAGAGCGCTGGAGGAATTTGTGGCGGAAACTCCGTGTGGTAACAATAACTTTGGCAATACGCTTAAGTTGAAATCGAAGTTATTGATCAAATCATCTGCGAGTAATCCTTGACTAAAGGCAATACTGTTCGTTAGTATACGCAATACTGGATTCGTCAATGGGGGCCTATTACTGCTTAGAGATCTATATACCACTTTCAAGTGATTATTAAGAAAGTCTTTGTAGAAATCTGTGATGATAGACTTCACTTCTAAGAATGCGATATTCAATGAGGTTGGCGATGAGGTTGAGTTCGATGCGTTTGATGCTACGTTGATAAAATTAGTGAACTTTGAAAGTTTGACCGATAAATCAATAAACGCAGAATGATCATTGGAAGTCGAATAGAATGACCAATTGGATAACAATTTCAGTAATGAGTTGTTAGCAGGTGAAGAAGATATAAATGCATGGATCTTGCTTAACTTTGTGTCATTGTCACTTTCAGACAAGATGGAAGACAAGTTCAGTAATAGTGCTGTATCCACATTAACTGAAGACGAGAAATGGGTCTTAGAGTTACTGGGTGCCATGCTATCCTTATTCCTATTCCAACAAGCTAAAATGACCCTTATATACTCTATATACCCTTCTGCAAGTATCTAAAGCTATGCAGTTTTTTTTTTTCCGCCTACGCTTAGCGAGATGCGCCATAGAGTTGATGGATGCGATGGAGGTGTGCATATAACTAGCTAATGAAGCTGAATATTCATCTGGGGATATATGCAGGTCCGTCTTCACAGTATAGTGACCACCAAAAGTTTAAAAGAAAAGTGCTTCAGAACTAAATTTAGGACTTAGGAAAGTAAGTCTGGGAATGTTGATCCGAGGAAATGTAATAGTTTATTACATTCGAAGCCTATTTCGCTACTTGATCCACATAATCCTGTGCAATTGAGTGTCCCTTTGAACGCTTAAAAATAGAATCTCTATATGCATCATCCTGATACGAATTTCAGCATCATGTAAATAGAAGTGAGGCATTCTCTTCGGAGCTGGATAAGCCAGTTTTATGACGTTGGTTGATTGAATTTCAGTACTTTGGTCACTGAAAATATACGTATTTTGTGGGGAACGGTTAATCCGAACAATGACAATTGAGGTATTCAAGGGTAGATGCCCAACCCGTCGTGAACACGATAACCCATGTATAACCTATTTTTAAAACTCCAGGTAATAAAGTGTATACTGGTCAAGTTCCGACCCACTCATCATGTGATGGGGTAAAAAATACTCCGGAAAAAATATTCGTAAAATCCAGAACTTTGTATGTGAAGAATTGTTAGATTAGAGATAACACCTAACAGTCAAAGGGGTGATTCACTTATGCGACAGTGGGGAAGAAGCGTTGATTAGATCGTCCGTAAATAAATGCCGTATAGAATACATTTGATGAGGCTGAGAAGTGTATGGAACAAACTAAGGAAAATAATAAAAGCTATCACAGTCTGTGAAGTGTGAATAGGCGTAAGCCCCGTGCCTTCTGGCGGAGTGTTTTTAAATTTAGGTGTCAATTGTATTGTAGCATATTCACTTCTAGCATCTAGACAACAGGGGGAAATCTACACTACATGGAAAGTAAGTCTGGGCCTGGAAGAAACAGTAGCAGCTGAGAAAATCTAGAATACAAGACAAACCTAGCATTCCGCGGCTACTTTCTGTTCTTGCTAGATATCAACCAACGCTAAGCTGTTCTCTTTGATAAAAGATAGCCATCTCTCACCCTGGCTACAGTATTAGAGTCAGCAAAGGTTAAATCTGCTGGTTAGTTGAAGATATAATATGAAAAACACTAATAAAAAAAAAAAAAAAAAGAAACAAAAACAAACCATCGAATGCGAAATCTAATTTCGTGTGAGAATTGTGGGGAATGTTTTAAATTAGATCTAACAACACATATCAACGGAAACTATTTGTTATAAACGCAAATCCAACCGCTGTAAGACTGGTTCTGGCTTTATCCTTTCTGGGGCAGCGTCCTACTACAATTAGTAAAAGCTACTTCTATAACATTTCTATCACATTGTTTGCATTTAAACACCCCTTTCCACCTCTGCCATTGAACTCAAATCCGATGTCTCACTAGCCTAACTCCACTCTATGTCCTATGACGTAAAATCTGCACAATCACCCTCGAAATTCAAATTTAGCTCTCCCCGGTTTTGGCTCCCCTCAATAAAAATGGTGAACAATTTCCTTCTTGGTTGAAAAAAGAAAAAAGAAAAAAAATACTAAAAAAAAAATAATAAAAAATAAAAAAAAATACAAAATCAAGCAAAGTAACTTTGTTAACATTCGATTTAGTTTCTACTCCTCTTCAGTATACTTATTCTCTTTCTTATCATCGAGGTATCTTCTTTATACTGTTTATATTTAATGATAATCAATAGAGACACTATAACAAAGCAATATGCCACTTTTACTGGTACGTATTTTAGAGGATAAAACAGGGCAAATGTAGAGAAATTGAGATTGAGATTGAGATTCCTTGTTATCATGGAGTAACTTGAGCCGGGCAATGTCGTGAGACTAGATGAACTACTCAGCGTTGTTTTCGCCGGATGTATATGTTGGAACGTATATGGGCAATACGATGTTCTAGATAGTATGAAAATTTCCCCGTGGAGCATTTCAAACTCACTGGTGGTACTCCTCTGAAGGAAGTACTGTTACTTTTCTTCATTGTTAGCACCACTTTTGATTACAGATATTTTTTCGATGCACTCCAAACTTCGATGCATTGGATCTATCGTGTTGTGGGATAACCGGGTGTGTAAGCTATGTTGGCTGCAATGATCCTTGACTCATTTCCGAAGTAACTTGGGGAAAACACCTGCTGCTGGTGCCTGATAGTAGGACTATGTCTTCCTGCCCGATCGGAGTTTTGAGTATTTTTTGACACACTCAAAATTAGTCCAATTTGGGTAGCTTGTAATATTGGTGCATTAAATTCATTCAAGTTACAAAATGTTAATTCGGGAACGTAACTGGCAAGCTTGACAACGCTTGCTGCTTCTTTTCCTTTATTTTTTTAACTGGCTTCACATACTGAGAGCAGTGTGTTGGTTTCTGAGCAGTTTTTTGTTGCATGATTTGTTGAGAGGGTGTTCAAGTACTATGCCCATATCCGCCGATTTCTCGTCTACTTTCTTTCGATTTTTTCACCATTTACATTCATTGCATACTAACAAGCAGAATTTCAAAAAATTATTTGATAAGCCAAAACAAAATGAGGACAATTCTGACTCTAGTTCCAAAGATTCGCTTAGATCTGGGAATATAACCATGTCTTCGCACTCCTCTGCGGAACCAAAGAATACAACACACAATATTAAAATTAACGGTGCAAGTTTCACCACTGGTGGTGAGAATGTAGCAAAGTCTTCATCAATCTACCCAGATTTGCCTGCCAATTACCAACTCCTTAACCTCCTAGGTGAGGGTGCATTTTCAGTTGTTTACAGAGGTGTGGATCGTACAACAGGAAAAACCGTTGCAATTAAAGTAATCAACAAGACTGATTTAAATCAGAAACAATTAAACAATATTAAAAACGAAATCGCTATAATGAAAAGACTGAACCATAAAAATGTGTTGAAGTTGATTGACGCCCACAATACTGAAGAAAACTGCTTTTTAATATTGGAATATTGTGATGGGGGTGAGATCTTCAATAAGATCATTGAATACACTTACTTCAGTGAAGAATTGTCAAGGCATGTTTTCAAACAATTGCTTCTGTCAATTGAATATCTTCATAGTAAAAATATTGTCCATAGAGACATCAAACCTGAGAATTTATTATTTGAAACTATCCCATTCAAACCAAGAGACAAAATCGTTAAAAGAAGAAGTGATGACCACACGAAAGTTGACGAAGGTGAATTTGAAGAAGGTGTAGGTGGTGGAACTGTAGGACTCATTAAATTGGCTGATTTTGGATTAGCCAAGCAATTGAAAACTGAACTGATGCATAGAAACTTGAAGACGCCATGTGGTACTGCTGGTTATACCGCCCCTGAAGTCATAACATGCCACGATGCCAATCAAGACCCACAAGGTAAGTATTTCGATAAGGTGAGTAAGAAGAATTACTATTCGAAATCAGTTGATATTTGGTCCCTTGGTTGTTTTTTGTACACTGTAATGAGTGGTTTCCCTCCATTTTATGATGACAATCCAGAACAACTCACATTAAAGATATTGAAAGGAGACTACGTATTTTTATCTCCTTGGTGGGATGAAATATCCAACGAGGCAAAGGATTTAATTAGTAAAATGTTAGTAATAAAACCTGAAGAGAGAATCACTGCTGAAGAGATTTGGAGACATCCATGGATAAGAAACAAAAATGTAGGAGATAGATCAAACCATTCTATAGCTGAGAGACAGCAAGCTGGTATTTTCCCTGACCATTACTTTGCCAATGTTGCAACTTCAAAGCATTCAATCGAACATATCGAATTCAAATCACCAGGTAACTCAGAAACTCCTGAACATGTTGAGTATTCTGAAACCTTCCCTCAAGTCCCAGCATCGGATAATGTAGCATTACTTTCGCCTAGAGCGAACGCCATTAAAATGGTTTTTAACAATCCTGCAATTTACAGTTCTACAGTCGCAAATGGAGGGGTAGTTCCCTCTGTTAGCACGGAATCGAGAACTGATTCCAAGGGAAGAACTCGTGGACTTAGTATCATCAGTGATGCCATATCTTCATCAAATGTAAAATTTACCGATTCAAACTTTAAGAAGAACTATCATTCATCTTCAGATGACGATGATGAAGCAGGTGCGAGTAGGAATTTCCCTAGGACTCCTAACCCGATCAACGTCAGTTTCAAGAATGTCTTTGCTAACCTTCAAGAGACCGATGAAATGACAAGTGAAGAAGAAGGAAATAATTTGAATAATGGCGAAGATGAAGATGAAGATGAGGTTGAGGATGACGTTAAAAGCTTGGTGGCTAAGACTAAACTGATGGTTGTTTCACCAGAATTTATTGATTCAGATGATTCCATTAATTCAGCTGAATTTGAAAAGGATACAAGGTCCAGCTCAATTATATCTGGACTTAATGGTGATTATAAATTTACCTTGAACTTGAATGATAGTAGTTTATTGGGTAGAAGGAAAAGTTCAAAGAGTAGTACTAAGGGGAGCCCAAATCCCAATGAACAAACGACTATTTCTATTGCTTGATTGAAATATTGAGTAATAGGCTTTAATCTTTTGTTGATTCAATTTTGTATGTTATTGTATTGCATATTGGTGTTGGTTCACTAAATGAACCGTTTATTTTTATATTATGTGAGGTTTCTGTTCTAGCTTTGTTTCTGTGTTTAATGGGGTACTTTGTTCATCTAGTATTTTTTAATGTTTTTGGTTTTATATATTGCATCCGTTTGGAAAGAAACGATTTATTTTATATATTTAATATATGTATATTTGACGAAAAGAATGTTCAAAAAAGAAGAGGTAGAAGTATTACTTTAAGTATTAATAGAAGTAGGAGTGTCACTTGAGGTAGGTAGAGATGGCAAAGCAAGGCTTGAGAAATTTCAAAATACTGGAACAGGTGAATTCCATGTTGTAGGCAGAAATAGAGTTTTACTTAGCCTCTTTAGCTGGTACACATATTTCAAGTCCGATCCTATATAGAGGGGATGGCGTGGCTCTTAATTCTTCATTACGCTCTAGAACTGAAGACTCCCCATACCCAAACTTTGATCCCTTGATCATGGCTTGACAAGATGCTACATGAAATTTTGGTCTTAAAATTCTTTTTTTTCTTCAATTTTCGCAACTATATACACACACTATTAACTTCTTTGAGCAGGTTTAACGTTAGCAGATGAATCTTGAGGTTCTTCTACTGGGACTAAGCAATCATTAGCTTCTAATAACTCAGCCAATTCGCCTGATTTGGCCATAGATGTAACTATATCGCATCCACCAACAAATTCCTTATTCACATATAATTGTGGAATGGTTGGCCACTGCGAATATTCCTTAATTCCATCTCTAAGTTCAGGATCTTCCAATACATTGTAGGCCGCAAATTTACTGGGGTCCACACCTTGTTGGCCCAAGATTTGGATAGTTGCTCTAGAGAAACCACATTGTGGAAATTCAGGAGTACCCTTCATGAACAAAACAACAGGGGAACTGTTGACTGCGCCATCTAAAGCTTCTTTTATTTCTGTAGAAATAAATCTTCTTGGTAAAATCAGAGTGGCAGGACGAGACTTATTCGTTAGTAAGGCGAAAGCTAAGGGCAGAAGGGGAATCCTACTATAGATTAAAGTTCTACTTTGGAAAAGTTTTAATTTTGAAGGAATTAATGTACTAAACTCCATATTCTTTTATACATACTACTCTTAAAATAGGGTTAATAGTCGTTCTAAACATGTTTTGTTGTGGTGAATTGAGTAATTAGTAATTAGAAGTAGAGGATTGATTCATTCAAATTTTTCGAATAGTAATGATGTCAATTTTGATTATATGCAGGATACACAATCGTATATATACTTGAAGCTTCCAGGCTGTTTAGCATTATTCTATTCTGCTCAGCTTATGTACATTGATTGGCTGCCATTTACCGTTTTTCATATATCAGCTTTTGAATTAAGATTGTGTTCGGTGAAAATAGATGATTTTCGATGATTTCAAACAAAACTATGACTCTATTTGTGCGGAATATGTGATTTGATGTTGCACCATATTGTCTATATATCCATTTTTATATTTGTACAACTTGCCTTCTGTGTCAAGAACTGAAGTCCAAGTACAAATATCACATTGGATTATGTGCTTATCTTTACTGATATACTTCTTTTTTTTCTTCTGTATCTATTATACCCAATACGTAATTTTTGGTTTCTATTTAGGCATGTTTTCTATTCAAGTTTTGTTAAGTATTGCAATGGCTGCGAAAATTGCTGCAGCCCTGTACGACCCATCGGCAGATGACGATTGGACTCAATTTAAACCTGAATGCTCAACATTGGCAGGAAGTCATGTCACATTGCCATTCCAATTTGGATTTGTGGTTAATCCATACTATGTCAATGAAGCCGGGGAGTATGAAGAGCCTATCGTTACTCCTGTTCCTAGACTGACTACCAAGTACTATGAAACTTCGAGGGTCACTACAATTACTACTCGTCATGGTACAACTTTCACAACCTCTGAAATAAACACTGTTCCTAAACCTACCAAAGCTGCAGTTATTCATCAAATATATGATGGACAAATTCAGAATTTTGACGAGCCTTGTGACGACGAAGTCGAAGAGCCCTGTGATGATTTCTACGAGGAACCGTGTGAAGATACTTATGATGAAGAACCATGTGACACACCATGTGAAGAAGGGGAAGAGGAACCCTGCGAAGAAGGGGAGGAGGAACCCTGTGAAGATGACGAAGATCATATTTATAAAAGGAACGACGAAGATTGCGATGAAGAATTTGTTTCTCCTGTCTATACCGTGGCCTGCTCTACCGACTCTGTACTCAAGATGACTTTGACAGGTTCGATTTTGAGAGATGGGGAAAATAGAATCGGTAGCATTGTTGGAAGCCGGCAATTTCAATTCGATGGTCCAGTACCTCAGTATGGTACCATTTATGCTGCTGGTTGGTCAGTAACTTCAGATGGCCAATTAGCACTCGGCGATTCAACTAAATTTTACCAATGTGCTTCAGGAGGGTTCTACAATATATACGACACTTCAATTGCAGAACAATGTAGTCCAGTTACATTGGATGTTGTTGAAATTATTGAGTGTGAAGGAGAAGCTGATAGTTATGAAGATGTTTACTAATTTTTGAGTGTATTTCCTGCTAATTTGATATCGTTGCCAAATAACAACATAATAATGATAGTAATAAAAATAATAATATTAAATAGTACTAATAAAGAATTTAATTCATAATCTAATCATAATAAACTTTCTGAAAGGAAAACCTTTAACTTCTGTATTTAGCCTTCACGTAAAGGGTAGCGACTGCAATGGCTCTATAAATTATCAAACATCCAATTAAGCCACCAAAGAGTCCTGGTAACCCTTTCTTTAAATTGTAATATTCCAAGACATTATCGCCTGTGCTTAATTCACAGGTGTCTCCTGATTCACAAGAGAACACTTGATCCTCAAAACCTAAGTTGGCGATTAGACCAACTGCATAACTCATTGGGTTAATGTAGTTAATACCTTTGAAAAATGAAGGCATGTAAACTGACATTGTTCCTCCCATAAAAATAGCAATAATGATAAGTGTACTTAATATATTTGTAGCCAATCCTAAGTGGTCAAACACACTATTAACAAAAATACCTAAGGATTCACCACAACTTATGGAAACAAAGCATGCAAAGAACATACTGAAAAACATACCAGGAGTTCTAGGTAATCCAACAACAAAAACTAGCATGGCAGCTAAAAATAGTACAGGAACAATCTCCATGGGTAATTCGTTAATCAAATAAGATGTACTGAATTCAATAGGTCCATAAATTCCATCTTTGTATTCTTGTAAGAAGATATCTCTTTCAATTGGAAAGAGGGTAATATTATTAATTAACCCAACATAATAGAGGTTTAGCACCTCCTGAACCAAACCTAACCTATTACTAACACCATCTTGAGTATTTCTCAAAGGTGAAAAGTATAAAGCATGTACTATGGCCAAGAACACGGTTTGGAATGCTCTAGTAAAAAGTACGTCTGGAGATCTAACGGAGTTTAATAGTTGACGTGAAGCAATTACTGGGAAGGTAACTGAAACCGGTAATTTGACTTTCTGGAACTTTTGTAAATCAATTGTCCTAAGCGTTTTTTCTCTTTCAGAGTCAACTACTTTCAAACTTTCCAATTTCAATTGTTCTTCCACTTGCAGGTGCCATGTACCAACTAAACAATCCACTCTCGCTTGAGTTTCTTCTTTGGTTTCAGCTAATCCTGATGAGACTAAATCTAAGAAGTAATCTGCTATATTAATATTTGCAGGGCATTTGAAACCCAAGTTTTCAAAGTACTCTTCAGCAGAAGAACTTGGGCCATTAAACGCAACTCTTCCACCTTTTGCCAAGAGTAAAACATTAGAAAATTTAAGAAAGATGTCTTCGCTTGGCTGATGTATTGTTGTAATAATAGTCGAATTTGACTCGCTCGCTAATTCGTTAAGTAAAGTCAAAATAGAGCATGCTGTAGTAGAATCAAGACCTGAAGTTGGCTCATCAAGAAACAAGATTTTTGGTCTACTTAAAAGTTGAATAGCAATTGACACTCTTCTTTTCTCACCACCAGAAATACCTTTCTTGTACTCGCTACCTATTAAGTTATCAGCACAGTCTGAAAGTCCAATCCTTCTGATTAGACTATTGATAATATGAGGAATTTGGGAGTGTTCACTAGGAGAGAGACGCAATCTGGCTTGGAAATATAAAGTTTCACGTACAGTCAAGTTGGGAATCAATGCCGTATCATGCTGAGTCACATATGCTGATATCTCACTCAACTCCTTGTTACTGACTATTTGATTTCCATTAAATTTAATTTCTCCTTGTCTAATATATTTCGATGACTTCAGAAGACGGCTAGATAAAAAATTCAACAAAGTTGTTTTACCACTTCCCGATGGTCCCATAATAGCATTTACAGTGTTTGCCGAGAAGTGGGCACTAATATCATTTAAAAGAGTTTTCGAGACTGTTGGAGCCTTAGCAAGTAACGCTAAATTACTTTTTCTGGCTAACGGATGATCCTTGTCTTTAACCATTACGTCCAATGTGATACCTTGAAGATTGATATCAATTGTGTCATTGTTAGATTCACACCAAGAGCTTGTATCCAGATCTTCAGTAGCGTTAGAATTCTCAATCACTTCTGGAACTTGCTCCTCTTCATCTTTTGATATTCTATCAACCTTGGTCTTGGCAAGCTTGATATTTGAGTTCCTGTAGTACAACCCAACACATACTGCAAAGTTTATCATGAAAAAGTATGCTACTAAAATGCAAATTGGAGCAGTAATCCAATTTTGAGGATATCCTAAAATACCTAATTGGTAATTACCGGAATACTCTGTACAATTATCACCTTCACAGTCACCCATCCAATCTGTAAATTGATTTGCAGTCAATGCACCAAATGCATACCAAAAAAAGGTTATATACTTCGTCCAACGAACATACACCGGCATAGTAGCAGCATTTATGAAGTATCCACATGCACTGTTTTGCAATTGATAATAAAGATTAATTATTGTAGCCGACACACCAAAGTCAGGAGTTAGTGCAACAACAGCTAACGCAGTCGACATTGAAATAATGTGAGTCAAAAATGTGAGTGCCAAATAAATGAAGTAATAAGATGAGGATCCATCTATTCTCAAGCCGAACATAAAATACGTTATTGTTGCAAATATAACTGGAAGCGGTAAATCTTCTAATAAAAACTTTCCTAGTCTTCTTGATATAATGAATCCTGGGATGGTGACATAATTCTCCTTGTATTCACGGAAAAAGAACAAAATGTCTATCATCCAAAGCCTTTCAATTTCAATAAACATTGGGCAAAATCCAACAACTTCCAACATAACATAAAGGCACGATATTAAGGATCTGATACCCGCAATGTCTTCCTTTGGCTTATAAAACATCCATCCAACGACTATTGCTAAAATTGCAGATCCACCATTCAAAGCTAAAAGAGAAGCTCTATCTCTATAAGAGAGAATAAAGGTTCTTTTTGTTAAAATAGTAATTTCTCTGAATAACGAATTCTTATTTTCAACTTTTGAATCATCAGAAAAGCTTTTTAAGTTACTTTCGAGTCTTTTCTGAGTAGTTTTATCATCCTTTAAGTAAGCAGATGTGGAGGTAAAGACAACACCTGCTTGCAGATTCTTCCATGCCTCCACCAATTTGTTGATTCTTTCTATTGACTCTAGTTCCTTTTCTTCAGTAGAAGTTGTGTCCTTCACGCTCAAATCCATAATATATTCCATTACATTCCTAGTGCTAACATCTTGAGAAGTCAAAAAGTCAATCAGACTGAAGTATGCCCAACTATCAATTAAATTTCCATAATAAACCAACCTTCCTCCTCTTGTCAACAAGCAAATCTTGTCAAATAAAACTGATATTTCGGGACGAGGTTGATGAATTGAAAGAATGATAGTGACATTGAACTCTGGCGAGGCTAGCTTTCTCAAGGTATGTACAAGTTTAAGAGAAGAACTAGTATCCAATCCAGTAGTTGGCTCATCTAAGAAAAGTATGGAAGGCTTGCTCAAAAGTTGAATTGCCAAGGAGACTCTACGCTGCTCTCCACCTGAAAGATTCGTCTTTGAGGAGGCGAAAGTACAAACAATTTGTTGCTTGAGTAGCTGAAGCTCCAATACCTCGAGTAATGATTCAATGAGAGTCAATTTTTCTTCTTCAGTGGTATTAGAGGGCATTCTTAAATCAGCTTGAAACTTCAAAGTTTCCATAACCGTTAGACCAGGCAAGAAGCAATCTGTTTGCAACATGTAAGCGTTTTTAACAAACAGAGGCAGTTGGTTTTGATCAGGACCTGAAGTATATTCTATTTCTCCTGAAAATTTAAGATCTTTATTAGTATAGTTAAGTCTCTGGGAGAGGGTATTCAACAACGTAGTCTTACCACTTCCTGATCCACCCATAATGGCCATCATCTTTCCAGGTTCAAGCTTCAACGAAACGTCATTAAGTATTTTGTTTCCTTCACCTTTCAGAACAGAGACGGTCAAACCACGGACGGAGAGTCCTATCGCATCCTTGGGTTCCACCCGGAGAACTTTAGGCGAAATCATTTATATCGATATACGACCAAGAGTACGGCTAGCACTTAAAAAAAAAAATTACTTAGCAAGACGTTAAAAGGAGAAGCTTAACCTTACAGTAATCGATACACAATAGTAAGCATGTAATATATAAGGCGCCTAGCAACAGAGGCAATGAAGGTGGATTTTATATTCCCACAAACCCTTGGGTGCTAGACCATATTGGATTACAAATTGGAAGTTAAACTCTATATCTTGGCCAATATGTCGCCGAAAGAGGAAATTGCGTGCGAAGAATTTGGTTCCGAGCGCAATTTTCATGATGAGGACATCAGCTATGCAGCCGTACTGATATGACTCTTGGTTGTTCTGAAACGGAATGAATCCCACCTAAATTTGCAAATATTTGCCTCTGGAGGATGATTAGGGGGTCAAAAGTCATTTCCTAAAACTTTCTTGATACTTTGAATTGTATCAAGAGTTGCACCATAATCAACACTAATTACGCTAACGCTTGTAACACACTTATTTGCTAAATATATCTCATAGTCAGATTGCAAACTGCAATCTCCCTTTGTACAATTATAACTCTCTTCAGTAAAATAGGTGATTTGGACCAATTCTAGTAACCCTGAACTCTCATTGTAAGTTATACTTGGTGCAAAGAAACCGTCACCATTCAATCTACTTAAGTCCCAGGCCGGGTCTACGCACGTAGTGTTCTGAGGAAATGTAACCACTAGGCCAGTCTCTGAAGGTATAGCATAAGTTGAATTTAGTATTAAATCAACCAATTCTACAACCTTCTTAGAATAAACATTCGAAGGGTCCGAAGAATCGTTGCTCAATGAGTCCTTAAAGAATGAATTGTTCAATGTCGAACCACTGAATGCTATGGCCGGAATTCCTCTGTATATGGCATAGTATGCTGCAGATTGGGTTCCAGAGACTGTATAATAACCCAGAGATAAGTTAGGACCTTCATTGGGACCAGATACGACAAGATCTATTGTCTTGTTATCATAATAATTTGGCAAAAGGTAATCTAATGCAAATGAAACACATGAACTTGGGGTCCCATTGAAGTACCAAATATTACTGTCGTTGTCCTCATGACCCCAAGAGGGTGCACCAGCCTTAACGTAGCCAAATTCACCATCAGTAAGTAAATCCTTAGTCAGAGGAACATCGAACCTACCGCCCCAGCCGGAGCGTTGAGACACAGGAGCGGCTAACACAACATCATATCCTGCAGCAGTTAAGTCTCTATATGCTGCTCTGATGTTTGTTGAGGCCCATCCGTCATCATTCGTAAGAAGAATTGTCTTCGCAACGGTTGTTACCAAAGTGCAAGCTAAAGTAAGGTCAATTCTCATTACTGTGGAGAAACCAGGTTAGAGAGAGAGAGAGAGAGAGAGAGAGAGAGCACTTGTCCATGAAGGATAGCTACAGTTTTATATAGTTTTGACTAACTTTACTAGATCATTACGTTCATTTTTCTGTTAAGCTCTCTTCTTGTTTACTGTTTTATTGTTGTAGGTTTGGCGTTTCATTGTGAAGCAAACAAAGAACAATAGCGCAATCTCATCGCGTAAGTTCAAGGTTGGGATCTTCTGAAACATCATTATGGGAACTAAAGACGCATATATGTCCTATTGTCTGTTCAAGATCAGTTTGGGCTCCACTAAAGTCTCATTATCGGAACGTAGGATATTATTGTCTCCAAAGGGTCAACCTATTATCTTACTGCGCAGTAACATTTAGTCCTGAGGAAGCTGGAATAGTTCTGGGCTTTCCGTTACCATGTAATCGTGTTGTTCAGGACTCTTTGTTACTACGTACAAATACTATTGTCTTACTGAAACCGCTATGTAAGTCTCGAGGCCATGTTCCTGATTAAGATACACGCAAGTATGTTTAACTACAAGGTGAATCTAATTATAAAACTTTTATTGTTAATACTCATTACAGGAATGGAGAATGTATCGTTTAGTTTATGCGATGATGCGAAGTCATCTATATGCTATCTTATTGAGCGAGTCAATAAAGAGAACGACAAACCAAAATAAGGTTTTGGTCATTTCATGCTATTTATACTTTATGGGCGGTAAAGATATTTTGTGGGTATTATGTGGATTTTTCCTTTCCTTTGACTTTGACGAACCAGCGATCATGTTTGACCAAGTCTTTGTTGATGTCGTGGAAATAATCCCATGGGTCCTTCCTCAGAATTGGCAAGCTTCCCAATTTCCCGATATTATAAGACACGGGGGTATCTTGCTCGTCTTCTAACGCTATGTGACGTTGGGAACTTTCATAGACTATTTGATATTCATCTTGTAGCTCAATGCTGTCACAAGCACCCTCCAAAGTTAACCTTGATTTGTCTCCTAGGACAAATCTTGGATCCGTTAAGTGCGGGAATTTACAAATTCTATCTGGCACCCACATATTCAAATCACTCTGGTAGTTGTGACCTTTAAACTCTTCTTTAGTGGTATATGATTCTCTTCCGTACTTCCTGTCTAAAATACGGGAAACTTGGTTTGGAATAAATGAGGGGCCACCTTCAAAGGTCGCATATTTGATTGGTAAGATTTCTTCAATCAATTGCCAGTTGAAATTCTTACAATTCACTGGGATAACCAGTTTAACTTCCAGTTCTGTGAGTCCTTCAAATATTTCGGATGGAGGAGGATAATTGGTCTTGGACAAGGCCAGGATATCAATGTAAAGTCCAGAGTTCACCTCAATGAATCTGGCATCAATGAAATTGTTACTGTTTCCCTGTCTAATGAACAGCGGAGAAATATCAAACAAGTACTTTGCATTTCCAAAACGAGGATTTTCAATCACCAAGGTATTGTTTAAACCTCTTCTGGTCAATTTAGCCAACTCGTTAATCGGCACTTGAATATCTACATCAGTGTCCCATGGCATATTAACTCCATTGTAAACCCATCCCAAGAGTGAACCGTAGTTGATCCACAGTACAATATTATTGGCTTGGGCAAATTCGAACCAAGCTCTAGACATGTGGTGTACTACACTTTGTCTCTCATGGTCACCGATGTATCTACGGAAGAATTTAAATTCCAAGTGATGAGCTTGACCTTTGAAAAGATCAGAGTAGATCCATGGATACTTGAAATACTTAGGAGCTGTATCCACATACAGATTAGCATATTCAAGGAAATCCAAATATTCCATGTCCTTCATTTCGAATTTCTCTCCATCGTCTTTTGATGGGGTGTCCTTGTTGAGTTTTGACTTCAATTTGAGGATTTCATAGTCGGGGTTGAATACAAACTCCTCGGTATTGATTTCTATGGTTTTAGGGAACTCTTCGAATGGAATAGTCTCTATGAGGGACTCCTTCTTCTTATCCAAGCTGCTTTCAAGTAGAACCATCTTATTTACTAGTTCTTCCCTGCTATAAGGTGTGTTACCAATAGCTAATCTCTCTTTAGAGCTCACGGGAACCTTAATTAAGTTATTGTCTCCCATGAAAAATATTTGCTTGGGGATGGGTAAGGTGCAGTAGGAAAACACCAGACTACGGAGTAATTTCTTATGGTGCAGTTCCATCCAGAATGGATTAACATTTCCAAATTCCTGCAAGCTTGAATCACATTCTCCTTCTGGGAAGGTCTCTCTATAATCGTTCAAAATGGAATCGCCTGGAGAAAGATCGATCCAGTCATCCCAGTGGAAATGGATCCCCCTGTGGCCACCTCTGATTTCTTCCTTGTCGGACAATAAACTGTTTGACATATACTCAAGTAAAAAATTGGTGGATGCTCTTGGTTGGAAAGTTGATTTCTTGTGGAAAGTCATAGCATCGTCATAGTTTTTCTGTTGCCAATATTCATCACTTCTGAAATAAAAATAAGGAACAAAAAGGCCAACCAATACTATGACAAACAATATGCGAGCAATCCATTTCAGTCTGGAGCGACCTGTGGGTAACATGGTATATTTAGGTGGTGGTATAGTTTTTGTGCCTAATGTTTAGTCTAAGGTGGTGATGATAGCCGGTATGCTTGTAACTTTATGCTAGCCCAGTTTGCTCTGGGCGGAGTTTGAATAAAGGACAATATGTACTTTAGCTGACTTCTTTGCACTAAATACTCGTGAAAGGTCTAATGTACAAATTTATAGGGGACGATTTTGATTAATCAACAACAAAAAAAAAAAAAAAGTTCCACTATCTAATACCAAAAAATTCAAAAAGAAGATAGCCCTACTAATTTAAACTAAATTGATTGCTACGGTCTTGTGGTTTTTAACTATTATTATTTTTTATCGTTATTTTCTTTTTTTTCTTTTTTTTTTTCGGTTTACCTTTCTGGCTCGTCGGTGGGTGGAATACTTGTTTTGACTATTGATCTTGTGAAGTGAAGCTAACCATGCGGATGCATCACACGCGGCTTAGAACAATAAAGAATGAAAATAGTCAATAAAATGGCATGGCTATTTGGAATATGTGATGGTTGCATGCAGAGAGCGGGACACTAGTAACTTTAAGGATAGCAATCTGTAGAAGGTCATATCGTATCGGTGTTGTGCCTGACAGAGAAGTGAGAGGAAAATTAAGTAAGGGGGCATTAAAAGAGGAAATAGGCGCCAGGTGATAGATGGGTGACGAAACTCGCAAAACGAGGGGAGCTTGGCTATCGTTTGCTTCTTAATATGGTTTTCGTATATTCGAAATGTTTTACTTGTTTCGGGTAGAGATTCGATACATACCAGCGGGCTCAACGCAAGACACTCACTACGTTGAGTTCTGTAGTATAATTGTAGGTGAAGCGTAGCTATGTTATTAATTCTGGGGTGTAGGGCGTGGGGAGATATAAGGGCTCAAATGTTAAAAACTATCAAAAAGAAAAAAAAAAAAAAAAAAAAAAAACATAAAAAATAAAACTGAAAGACTTCAACGAAAGAGAGTTTATGAGGTGTTCTTAGAAATAGGGGAAGCTGTGAAAGTCTGTAATTTTGGGTCATTTTGGGATTCTGGTGACAAGATTTTCGTTTCTCAAAGTCAAAATTGCTATTAAATTGGCTGGAGCTAGCAACATGTAGAGCAATTTTGATTTCTTTAAAGTTTGTTGCTTCGCCTAGCTAATAAAGTGTCTAATTTTCAGCCCCAATAACCTCAGCCTTAGCGATGCGTGACGTCTTAAAAGAAATGGACTATGTGCCGGAACGCGCAACAAAATATCGAAATTTAAAAAAAACAAAAAAATATCCTCGGGGCTTCACCAAAGTTCTGATGTGGACTTCTCCTATAATATAGGCTTAACACGGCAGGTAGGAGAAGCAGGAAGTAAGGATTGTTTCTGGATAGGCTTGCATTTCTTGTTTATTGTCCTGTTTTAGACATTAGATTGGCTCATTCCCTCTTAAGTGACGAATGTTTAGCTTTATTGTAGCCCCACTGGATTTTTTTGACTTACGTATATTACGTATATGCCAAGATTTTTAAATGCATCTCTCTGGTCTGCTCTGGGGATGTTACATATTCTGAATAATTGGTATGGATAAGCTAAATCTGGCACTCTTACCGTAGGCTCAAAACATAATAAGTGTATCCAATAATAATAAGAATAATAGTCATAGTAATAATGATAATAATAATAATTCCAAGTAAAAGGAGATGATGTTAGGCCGGCGTTTCGGCATTCATTGTCTTAGTAGGAACACATTTAGCTGTGGAACACCTGAAATTTAATAAAGGGAGCATGCCTCACCAATACTATCAGAGTGGGGCCCGAAATATAAATTTTCAAGGAGTTTTATCCTTTTATCAGTACTCCTCGCTTGTCTTTAGCAGAAGTTTGACCTTTACTAAGAGCATAATAGGGCAGTGTAGAATCAAAAATTGTGGATCAATGTAGGCTTAGAAACTCCGGTTGTTATCTCATGAGATGCTCGCTTTTATGAAGGCAAGGCTTTCATGTCCACGTTTTGTTGCGCATCTCATGCATTTACTTTGTTTGGGTCTTAACCAACCAATGCATGCGTAGATTTTATTAACAATGTTTTCCTGCAATATCACGCTTTCAGTGGAGCTTTCGCTAATCCATTCCTAGCACTGGTAACCTCTGCTCATCGCGATTTAGGGTACGCGAAACCGTTTTTTGTTCTTTTCTTGTGTTGACATTTTTTTTCACGTTTTACGATTGAGAGTCGCGTTGGTTTGTAGTGCTGAATAATCTGATACTCTCTTGTGGAAACCTACATTGTATACTTTATGTAATTACGTCATCGGAATCCTCGGCAGATGCATTCATTCATTGGAGCTTTTAATCAGACTATTTGTATGCCTGTATCATACGAAGTTGAGTTTGAAAGCTCAATTGCTGCGTTGCTTTAATCAGTGTGTGCATTCCTTTCAGACTTCTTACAACATGGCGCTTTTTCTACATGAGGTGAGACGTACCTCTTATTTAAATATGCATTATATGATGAATGCAATTTTCTGTATTGATGACTATTAATTCGATATGTCTAACGAGCTGAAATGTAGTCTTTGCCTGAATAACTAATAACCCTTATTTGCCATTAGTTATAGTTTTTGTCGTAGTTTTTGTCGTAGGCTCTAAAAAAATTTAAAATTTATTAAATAGTTAGCATAACGCAGCGGTGCAAGGACGACTCATGTCGATAGCATTGTTTAAATATATAGCAACATTATTGAGTTCATTTACAAGTCCTTACAACTGGTAATTCCGATTTTGTTACCAACTCTTACTAATATGGTATTAATTTAGGTTAATGAGATTTTGCAACATACGTTATGGCCTGGGGCCGAAAAAGGAAATTTGAGAAAAGAAATATCCTGTCTTACCACATACAGTGCTCTAAGCTTTCTCTAAGGTGTCGAAGTTAACGTGACCTTCCTACGAGATAAAATTATCTACTATGCACTAACAGGAATACAGTTTCAAGAAGCCTCGATTATTTTCACCAGTTGTGTAAAGCAAGTCGGCAAAGAAGAGGCCCTTCAGTCATTTGCTACTTGTTAGCTTTTGAGTCATGAAGCTTCATCAAAGCAGCTTCTAACCTCAGTTGAACGACTGACTTTATCGTGGCAGACTTATGGATAAGTGTCGACATGCTCGTGATGTTGAAACATCTAATAGTATATTAACTGGCGATAAGTAGCTAATTTCAGTACTAGTTCGAAAGAACTGGAGTCAACTGGAAAGTCTTCGGTGTTTCACGTGAAGTTTGATCATCAGCTGAGATGCATTGTCTTGGAGAGTTAATTTCGCAGCAAGCCAAACATCAATTAGTTCACTTGGCCCAGTTTGCTCAGGTACGGTGCTAGTAGTGCCGAGATCAGCACTCGATTCTACTAGGAAACAACCTATATCTTCCTTGATGCTCCACTTCTCTCTTACGTGCCCTTATCCACCTTCACAGTATAAATGTGTTTCTGGGAAACTTGTTCTCGTCTTGCCCATCTAGGCAGGTAGGCAAAATATGTGTATTTTACCGACCCAATAGTTCATCGGCGCGCGGTTTTTAGTTAATTTTTTCTTTTGTTCGCTTGTGCCTGAAAATATTCCGGGAGAGTTGACACAATTACTCTCAATAGCCGTAGCAGTTCCACAATGAAAATCTAAGCAAAGGGAACTGTGGAACTGTTTGCCGTTTAATTTGGGTTTTAATTCACCTTCGATCGTAATTGAGAAAATATTGCCTTAACATCTCCTATCTGAGGTTGCAGAATTACGCAATAAGTAAGGTGTGATTAATTAACTTGCAGAATATCTTCTTGACTTACGAACACTCCTGAAAGCTAGATCCTAGTAGTACTGCTATTTGCAGACTATGTAAAATTTCCTCACAATGCGTACTCGCTTGCCAGAGACATAGAAAGATGAAGCACTTTATCCATGATCTTATAATATCTTATTTTTGATGTATAATGAATACTATTTCGTAAACAGTAAACTCTCGCGAGCCAAAGATATGGAAAAAAACCTAAAATAATAAAAAGAGAGCTTGTTCATAAGCAAACAATATTGCCTACACCGTATTCACTTTTGATAGGTTAAACTAATTACCACTCACTTTGTTTTTCACCACATAGGCAACTTTAGCTGAAAATGCCGATTTCACGGCTGCAGAAAAGATCCCTGCGTTACTAGTGCGCAAAGAACCGTATTTGAAGTCTACTCAGATAGCACCATCTCATCAATTCTTATTTCTATCTGTTTCTTTCTAGCTGTTTTCTTCCCCTGTCTCTTCCCATACGGTCGAATTCTTCTCCTCTAGCCTTAAAAGAATGCAGTTCCCCATATAAAAAATGTTTTACATCTCCAGTATTTAAGAAAATACACTGCATGTTGAGATTTTCAATGCATGCATGGAAAAATCACTGTGGTTCAGAATGACTGATCTTCGTAAATGTTGAACCTATCATATTGAAAAAAAAAAACAAAGCGAAGAAAGATGTGAAGAGATTCCCAAGTATATAAACTTTATTCGGTTCCTGTAATTATTCAAGATCTCTGTACTAATTGGTGTATAGTGATCTTTTCTGACTAAAGATTATTTTCTACTAAGATAGTCGCTGTACAGATCTTGTTGCTGCTTTAAGTTTTCGCGACTGGCTGCAATTTACGTAGTGAAAATACACTTACGTTAAAATAGATATAGATGGACAAAGAAATATTCACAGTCAAATCTGCGGAATCGCAGCACAGACCTAAGTCCTATCTTTCTAACTCTTCACATTATGGAATTTCAATATCAAACTCGAGGATTGTCCCTTATAACGAAAAGAGAAATCAATTATCTCTGGATTCAGATGCTGCCTTCAACTCAGAGACTTTGGAAAGAGGTCTTAAGTCTAGACATGTGCAACTTATTGCCCTTGGTGGGTGTATTGGTACAGGTTTGTTTGTAAGTACAGGTTCTGCATTACTGATCTGTGGTCCAGCACCATTATTGATCTCTTACACGATTATGTCAGTCGTTTTATTTTTCGTGATGAACATGATGGGTGAGATGACTACTTTCTTACCTTTGCCTGGTAATGGGCCGCAAGATTTCGTCACTAACTATGTCGACTCTTCTCTTGGATTTGCAACTGGTTGGAATTATTGGTATGCCTTCGCTATGCTTGTTGCGTCTGAAATTACGGCTGCCTCCATTGTTGTTCAATACTGGACCACTAAGGTTAATGTTGCAGTGTGGATCACAATTTTCTTGATAGTTATAATTTCGTTAAATATGAGTTCCGTTAAATACTTTGGTGAAGCTGAATTTTGGTTCGCAAGCATTAAATTGGCTGCCATCACTGGTTTAATTATACTTGGAGTAGTCATCTTTTTTGGTGGTGGGCCAACGCACGATAGATTAGGCTTCAGATACTGGAAAAATCCTGGTGCCTTCAAAGAACATTTAACTGGTGGTAACACTGGTAAATTTCTAGCCGCTTGGACTTCCATCGTTAAGTCCAGTTTCGCCTTCGTCTTTGCTCCAGAACTTGTTTCAATTTGTGGAGCTGAATCTGTCGCACCAAGAAGAAACATTCCTAAGGCAGCAAATAGATTTGTCTTTAGATTGGCTACTTTCTACGTTTTGGGTACTTTAGTTATTGGTGTCATTGTTTCCTCCAATAACGACAGATTACTAAATGGTGGATCTGATGCTGCTGCTTCCCCATTTGTCATCGGTATTCAAAACGCAGGAATCAAGGTATTGAACCACATTATTAACGCTGTTATTTTGACTTCTGCAGCATCTTCTGGTAATTCATTCTTGTACTCATCTTCAAGAACTTTGTTTGGCTTAGCTACTAATGGATTGGCTCCTAAATTTCTAACCAAAGTCAACAGAATGGGAGTTCCTTATTATGCCGTTGGTGTCTCCTCTCTTCTTAGTCTCTTGTGCTACTTGAACGTTTCCTCCGGTGGTGCTAACGTTTTCAATTGGTTCACAAACATATGTACCATTTCCGGTTTCATTTCTTGGATCACTGTAACTATAGCATATCTTAGATGGAGAAGAGCCATTGAATTCCATGGATTATCCGAAAGAGTTACTTATAGGACTATTTTAGAGCCATATGGAGCCTATTTTGTTCTTTTTTTCATAAGTATCCTCACTATTACGAATGGCTACGCAGTTTTCTTCAACTTCAATGCTGGTGATTTCGTTGCTGCATACATTACTCTACCAATTTTCCTCGTCTTATACGTTGGTCACAAGCTTTATAACTACTTTGCTTTAGGGAAGACTGAGTTTGTCATTCCAATTGAACAGATCGACTTGGTAACTGGCTTGGATTTAGTTGAAGAAGAAGAAAGAATGGAACCGGAGAGATTACCATCTAACTTCTTGGAAAAAATTTGGTATTGGATTGCTTAAAGTGCCCAGGAGGCTGATCTATGAAAGGACAATGCTGCAATTGAATTGAAATACATGTTTGATTTTAACTGGCTGCAGAATTTAGCGATTAGTCTTATGCTAGCCCTCAAATAGAAAGTAGAACCCAGTGAACATGTTCAGTTTAGCGAGTTTTTGCTGCAATCATAGATATCTGAGAGAAACACGCTTTATGAAAAATCAAAAATATTTAGCCAAAAATGTTCTAAAGCTCATTGATATTATTTTCCTAACTCTGTGTAAATTTTCATGGCTATCCAGGTACCCACTTACAAGAATAACTACTACTGGAATAGCTTCGGACTTGCTGCATTCTCTTAATCCAGGTGTACGGATGAAGAATCACTAATGCAGATCATCTGCCAAAAAGAGCACTGAATTAAATCAACAACGTTGATGGTGACGTGGAGGCAGCAATTCATGATAGAATAACACCATCTTTCAATTGCAATTGAAGAATAGATATAAAAATAGACCGAATGTACTCTGTAAGAAAGCAATATCTATATTTTATTACGAGCATTGTACTACAAATGTACTGAGACCAGAACTGCAAGTTAGTTAGTAAGTGCAAAACGCGCTAGAATAAATACTCCGTGAGGCTCATAAAAGAAATGTAAACAAAAAAAAGAAGCTGAAAAGTACAGCTATTCATTGATCTCTCGATAGTGTAGTAGATAGATACATACATACAAATTAGTATTTCCCTGAGGTTATGAATGTGTCAAAGTCATATAGAGTGAAGCCTTCGGACAAGAAACAGGCGCAAATCTCCAGCTTCTTCCAACAGAAGCCTAGCACTAGCGTAAAGTCATCGGGTTTAAAGACAACCCCAGAAAAAGTCCTTGCATCACGCTCTTCGTCGTTTTTATCAAGAACTAATAGTACATTGAATAGTACTAAAGATGCATTCGAAGAAGTTCCATCCTCTGATATATCGTTTGATTCGCCAGAGATAAATAACTTTAAAAATTCCAACTTGGCTAGATCCTTGTCTACTATCAAAGATGGTAAGACATCGGACTTAAATGTAATTGATTTGACACAAGATGAGGAGAATATACCTGAACCAAGAAGCAGTCCACTAGCAAAGACTGCTCCAAGGAGGACGACTAATATCATGCCTGGCAACAAAGTAAATCTGGTTTTAGTGAAAGCTGAAGGTGGTACGGCTGGTACTGCTGGCACGGGTGGTACAGGTGTGAGTATGAAAAGGTCCCATTCGGCTCTTTTGGATCACTTAAATGGTATCCCACGGAAAGTTCCAAGACAAATATCCAGGGTTTCGACGTCTTCATTTAACTCCAATTCGTCTTCATTTTTAGATTTCTCAAACTCTCCTATAAAACTCTCTGATGAACAGAAACAGGTCATTACCTTTATCGTTCAAGATGGATTGAATGTATTTTATACTGGTTCTGCTGGTACCGGTAAGTCAGTGGTTTTGAGAGAACTTGTGACCCGTTTGAATTCGAAATTTTACAGTTCGAATGTTGGCGTTACTGCATCCACTGGTTTAGCTGCTTGTAACATTGGTGGACAAACCATTCATAGATTCTTGGGTATTGGGTTTGGAGAAGGTTCGGTGGATTCTATCGTGGCATCGATAAAAAAGAAACCTGCCGTTTTGAAAAGATGGAAAACTTTAAAGGTTCTTATTATTGATGAAATTTCTATGATCCAGGGTAGATTGTTTGAGAAGTTAAACAATATAGGCAAGGTCTTGAGGAATTCACCAAATTTACCATTTGGTGGGATACAGATTGTTTGCACAGGTGATTTTTTCCAATTACCCCCAGTAGTGAAAGGGGGACCATCTGAATTCTGCTTTGAGATGGACTCTTGGAAGGAAACTATTCAGAAGACTATATTATTATCAGAAATTTTCAGACAAAAGGGTGACACTGAACTTATAGACATGTTGAACAGTTTGAGATTTGGAGATTTAAACGATCAAATGATTGCAAAGTTCTCCAAACTCACTAGGAAAATTAAGTATGAAGATGGATTAGAACCAACAGAATTGTTTCCATTAAGAGAAGATGTGAAAAGAGCTAATGATTACAGATTACAGCAGTTACCTCTGAACCCAATAAAGTATTTGGCAATGGATACATCTAAAGATCCATTCCATCAAAAAATGTTAGAAAATTTAATGTGTGAGCGAGAATTGACATTGAAAGTGGGAGCCCAGGTGATGTACCTTAAAAACTTGGATGATGATATCGTCAATGGATCAATTGGAACAGTGTTGTACTTTTTGACTACTCCCCTTTGGGATAAAGTTAGCGCAATCTACGGAGATGACTCGATCGGATTAGATGAACAAGTTAATAATGAGATAAGATTAATCTCTTCCAAAGTTGAATCTCCACTGACGACATGGGATAATCCTGAAGACGTAGCATTATATGAGAAAATCCCCTTGGATAGAAGATCTAGGTTTCAACAGTTAGTTGCATTTGCAATCAATGAAAAGCAAATGAATTTGTATCCAGTTATTAGGTTCAATATTCCTAGGAAGGAACCTAAAGTAATCTTAGTGCAGAGAGAAGAATTCAGGATAGATTCAGCCAGGGTTTCCGGTGTGGGAGGTGGAGAAGATAATAGACTTTGTAGAGTTCAATTGCCCTTGCTTCTTTCCTGGGCCCTTTCCATCCATAAAGCACAAGGTCAAACAATCAGCAGGTTGAGAATTGACTTGAAAAAGGTTTTCGAAAAGGGACAAGTTTATGTGGCATTATCAAGAGCCACGAGCAAAGAACTGTTGGAAATAGTCAACTTTGATCCTAGAAAGATTCAAGTTGCTGATAAGGTCAAACAGTTTTATGATAAGTTAGATAAAGGGTACTTTAAATAAATAGAAGATAGAGGGATTAAGCTGCTGATAAGATCGAACAGTTCTGTGATAAATTAGATAGGGACTACCTTAAGTAAAATATAGTATTAGAAGGAAAGTCGTATACTACGAAAACAAAACCTTTATAAGCAATACACTATTTACGCATTAAAATTAACTAGTACGTACTTATCTATAGTCTATCATTAGATAAAGGTTTACTTTAAATAAATTGGAGGATTAGAAGGAAGGATGAATATCGTAGAAACGAATTCTTCATAAGCAGATACCCTTTTAAAGCATTGAAATTCATAGTTCTTCCTTATTTCTTCAACTAATGAAATCTTTACGACTAGTTGCAAAAGTGAAGATAAATCACTGAATTTTTTATGCTGCTTTGGAAATGCGAGGCATGATGACGCACAATTTTTTGCCATTTGAAAGATTTTAGTATTTTTTTTCACCAGTAATTGCTATCACAACATCAAGTTCTGTATGTCTAACCAAGAGAACTGATATGTTTGGTGAATCTAATGGAAAGGGAGATTTGGGCTATAATGGCTTTCCAATATCGTTGAATTACTTTACGGCACTTCCAGATCCATCGCTAATGCAAGATGCTAATGCTACCATAATCTTTAAGTCTTTGCTGAAAAAAGATGCAATTACTAAGGAAAAATCGTTAAACGACTTACTACAATATATAGATAGCAGCAATAAAACTTCTGTAGATGACAACTTTTTAATGGCATGGTTGCAAATATATCCAAAATTGGCCATAGACAATGCAAGAAATGTTAGAATATTATCACATCAAGTGGAAGCAAAATTGCTTGACACTTTAGGTGGAAAAGCTTTCAGTAAATACTTGAAAAGCTCAATTCCTATTTGGTTGTTAGGAACTTTTGACAGCGATAATTTGGTTTCCACCACTACATATAAGGCATTGTTACAGAGCTTCCAAGGAGATACTGATAGAGTAGAAAAAGTATGGACTCTTTTCAATGACTCTATCTTAAACTTCGTAGAAATCGCAATCAAATTAGAGACCCACGAGAGTTTGTCAGATACAAGGTACACGAAGGAAGATGACTCTGTGGCGAAATATGATAGAGTGTTGAACGGCTGCTTGACAATGCTAACCAAGATGATTGGTATATATAAGGTAAATGATTCGGAAGAGAAATATGTAGACCAGATTCTTCAGATTGAAGATTTGATAGGCAGTGAACAACTTTGGGATCGATTTGCCACATGTCTTGAAAGTAAAACTTTAAACTTGGCATTATTTAAAACTTTACTTATAGTAGTCAAAGTTGTATTCCTGTCAGAAGCTATTACGAAACACTTCCTGAACGTAAAGCTGCTATACAAGTTGATATCCAAGAAGTTTCTCAAGCACATTAAATTCAAATCGGCTAAGACTAGTACTGGCGGTGTTGTGTACTCAGGAATAATTTTACAATTTTGGGATACTCTCATAACTTTGACAAAATTCCCACAAGTAGCTGAACTTTCAGGTAATAAAATAAAGAAAAACTTCTGGGAATTGGGGTCCAGTGATGACAAGAGTCAAGAAAGATTTATGAATTATCTTAAGTTAGGTCACTGTCAACTGAGCCCAACGTATTACAATATCGTGGGTCAGTTGATTTTAATCTTATCTTCTACTGATTCTTGTAAATTTTTACTTACTAAACCCAAGGAGATACTACAAATTCTTAATGTATATACTAATGCAACTTTGCCTGGATTTAGGGAGAAGAGCTTGATTTGTGAATTGAAAGTATTCACAGCATTGCAAGAAGAATTGACTGAAAAGCTGATTGAAGTACTAAGAGAGATCATATTTCAAGTTATTGATTCTGTACCTTATCGGGGCCGTGGATCAGATACCTCCATGGCGTTAAGCAAAGTATTGGCTAACTTCTTGGCCCAGGAACGCGATGACCTGGAGTCGATCTTGCAACCAATTAATGACGTTTTCGTGGATTTGGCACTTGAAAGAAAAGAAGATAAACCATTATACATATTCACAAGTGCATCATATTTGGATAGCTACATTCACATTCTCGAATCCGTTCCATTACCTAACGTTTTGAATTCATTGACTAGCCGAGTAGTCAATGGACTTACCGAGTCACCTGAGCTTTTACGCCCAACCATGGCCTTCACTATCCTCTCAAAAACTATGCCAGTTCTGTCTTGCGCTGAAGATGAATCTAACTTCATAGAAACTATTCCTTCTTACTTGGAGTCAGACTTCGTTGAGCCTCCGTTAATTTTATTCTCAAGATTAATTGATAGATGTTCATCTGACACTATCAATGACTTGTTCATAAAGTTGACTATGTGTGCTGAATCAAAAATACCATTTTTTCTTGATCTTATCAAGGACACTGTTGATTTAAACTCATTCCCGGAAATTATGGAATATATTAACAGTCTTTCTTTGAAAAAGGGCGAACTTTCCAAGGAAGAACAAAGAATTGTTTTCAAATACCTTGAGAATGATTCAACGTTGTTTGACAATTTATTTTCTCGTGCAACTAAATCAAAGCAAGATGGAGTTAAGTTTCTTGAAGCATTGGTCAAAAAGAATAGCAGTGAAATCGTAGACCTTGACCGTGAAGTCTTATATTCAATTTGCTGGAGAAACGTTTCTTCTACAGCTGCAAAAGAAATTTTGCTTGGATTTGATATAGAAACTGAATTCGTTCGCCGTTCTTTGCTTGAAGATATCACTTCTAAAGGTAACGATCATTCTCATTTTTCTTCTGTTGCTGAATTTGTTGGAAATGGATCCGAAAATTTCACTAGGTTCTTTCCATATCAGCATATATTGGATATTGTAGGTGATCTGCTGTCTCATAATACGGACCTTCTTTCCATTGCAAATCCGTTGGAACAGAATATATATTTGACTGGCGAAAAAGAATTGCAGGTTCTGGATATTGCAAAGTTTATTTTAGTTGGTAAATTTTTGCTTTCTGTGTCTGAAAGTATTTCTCATGACGATCTTACCATCTGCGCTGGATTGATTTCGGAATACTTATCTGATCACATCTTTTTAAGTTCAATTAAAGATGATGTTCATGACGACCTTATTCAAGTTCAGATGAAATTGCTGAAATTGTTTGCTGAGAGATCAAAAACAAGTTCATTGGAAATATTCGACATAGTAAAGAATGGAGGCAGTGGATTGGTTTTTAAAATAAACGATCAAACTACATCCATTTATTTTGCACGTCTATTCAAAAGAATTCTTAGTAATGCTATTGAATCTTCATCCATAGCAGATTTCGAGATTGCATTCTCTCCTATCGAAGCCGATTTAACGAAAATGGCATCATCTTCTCCGCTAAAATTGGCTGTTATCTTATTATCTTGCTCAAAGTTCTTCCAGTTGACAAAAAAATTTGATAGAATTAGAAACTTTTTGTTGGCTGAGATCCTTGGTGTCAGAGATGAAAGTAAAATTTTAGCTGATGGGTTAAAATGGTTGTCATTAAGTATTAACTTCCTAAATGTGGATTCAGATGGGGAAGCAGATGAGCTATTACCACCGCATAGACTTGGAATGATTATAAATACATTTTCTAACTGGCTCGATTCATCATTATCTTATGATGAAGCTTTTATTCCTATCAGAGCATTGTTGTCTAGGTTCTTAGCAGGATATTTAAGTAAATTTGGCGATTTACAAAGTACACCTGAAAAACTCTTTGAATTAGCTGTCCAACTATTGGAAGACAACTTATCTATTATTTCCACAGAACCAAGACATTTGGAACTTAGATACTTTACTTTTAAATTGCTAATTGTCGTTAACAGCAAGAGGGAGCTATTTTTGGAATTATGGAAAGAACATGAACAACTGATTAGTGAAGGACTTTTAGAGATTTTGTTCAGTGAGGAGATTAACGCAATTGATACAGTCCTTTGTAATCAACCTGTGACTTTATGCCATGAAATTCTACTGAGAATATTCGATCATTACCCAATATCTTACAAAATTACCAGCGCTAAGTTAGACCAATTGTACGGGCTCATCAAGTCTGACTTTATTGATATTCAGAGAATTGGAGTGAAGCTACTCAAGGAGCAAATTCTTGTGAGTCAACAAGAATTCGTGGTCGAATATGAACTTCAAAAACTGAAGATAAAGGATGAAAATGAGGATGATGTCGAGAAATACGACGCCAAGCTACCCGGAACTCTTCTTGCTTTAATTAATACAAAATTTGAAGATTATATTGAATTTGAAGATCCAAGTAAAGTTTCTCGGTATCTTTGGTCTTGGTCTTTAATTTTTAACTATTTTGAGGACATCACATATTCCATAAGGAATTCATATACCGATGTGTTGAAGAAATCCTCCTATATCGAATCACTTTTAGATTTTATTTTTCAACAGGTGGACGTTAATGACGAAAAGATTCTTTCCAAATTGGGCGATATAGATTTGACAGATAACCTGACCCATTTCTTCAGTTCTGAATCTTTCATAACTGAGATGAAATTAACTTTGATACACTTATACTATCTATCTTTGGAACATTTCGGATCGGAATGTTCCATGTGGTACAATAGTATAAGAGATCGTCAGTTGAAGCTTAAAATTGAAAAGTTTACTACTAAGCATATATCTCCTTTATTAACTTCGCAAATCCTTAACGAAGTATCAAAGTCAATTGACAAGCTTGGTTCTGAGTTAATGACATTGAAAGTAAATAAAACTACGAATGAAATAAAATCCATATATGCAATTGATGATCAAACAATGGAAATGGTGGTCAAGATTCCACAGTTATATCCCTTAAGTAAGGTTTCGGTGGAGGGACCATTAAGACTAGGCGTGAAAGAAAACCAGTGGAAAGCTTGGTTATTGGCTTCTCAAAGGGTAATTTCCTTGACAAATGGGTCAATTATCGAGGCTATTGAACTTTTTAATAAGAATGTAAATTATCATTTCTCTGGCTTTGAGGATTGTGCAATTTGTTATTCTATTTTACATCAGGATCATTCATTACCATCTAAAACTTGTCCAGTGTGCAACAATAAGTTCCACGCAGCATGTCTCTATAAGTGGTTTAAGAGTTCAGGAAGTAGTACATGTCCTTTGTGCCGTTCTACGTTTAATTTTACAAGAAGATCATAAATTTATAGACTTTATATATAAAGCGATTAAAAAATACTAGCTTATTCACAATCAATGAGGCATTTTATAGCTATTCTTATGAACTTATCTTCTGGCCCAAGGCGCTCCTGTCATAGAGATGTTTTTCCTTGTAGTCATTACGCCGGTTCCATTTAGAAAGTCCGGCTCCAATGGCGTCTCTTCCTCTTCTTTCTCAAAGACAGGCAAGTCCTTGTTTGTATCAATATCTCTCCAGGGATACATGATATTTCCGAACCAGAAGTGTTGCACGACGGGGAACTTTCCAAGAACTTCAACTTCGTACATTTTTCTTAGACCTTGTAAAACTTTTGACCAAAGTATCACTGTCGTGTGTATATCATAGATAATTGGCGAATGCTCGTTGAAGGGGCCCAGCTTGATCTTATATATGAAGGCAATCCCACTGACATAGAGATTTCGAAGCTTAAATTGATCAATAACACGCAATGTTAGTACCAGCGATACCGGAGGAGTAGCTAGTCCTGTGGATGCCTTTCCCGTATTCTTATTTTCGTTGAATTGAGCAGCTCCTAGTATATAAATAAGATGGAAATGATCATCTAGCCCCCACACCCCATGAGATCCCGCAGGTTCCAAATTGTATTCTAGGATTAATCTACGAACAACATTATAATACTTAGCAAATATTGTTAATAATTCTGGACCAGTCAATGACTCTACAAGCCCATCTATGCATCCTACAAAGGCCAAAAAGGAAAGCTCATGACCGGTTCCAAAGTCAAGCCTGAGCGACAGGCCAAAAGCTTCCTGTAGGTAGTAGGATGTCTCTACTATTGATGCCGAAGGAATCGATATATTTTCTTCTACTATGGTAGACAATCCTTCGTTTACTTTATCATGCCAAATCCTACATGCCAAGTTACCAAATCTTCTGGGACCCTCCTTTGGAGGTGTCTCGTCGATCAATGAGTTGAGATGATTCAAGATTTTGAGTATACCGTTGAAGTTAGCATTTTTCAGTGCTGGCCGATCTTCAACAACACTTTCAGGTGGAGGGAGTGTTGTCGATGTGTTAGCTTCCGTATTCCTACCTCTATTGGGAGTACTTCTTGGAGTTTTAGTGATCAATTCCACGTCCAATATTCCCGGTGGAACCTCGCAACCTTTCACTTTCTCAATCACCTGTTCAAGAATCCAGTGAATTTTCTTGTATGCAATTGACTTTCTGAATCTTACTAAATCGGAGCTATCGAAGATTTTCTTCGAAGGGGAGATACCTTGTGGCATTTTGAACTGTTATTACTATCAAACCCCAATAGGGTATAAGTTATTGGGTATAATTCATAGAGTCAGCAATAAGAATGAAAATTCAAACCTCATATATGGTTGTGTGCCCTGGCTGTATGCATGAAAAGGTTGCAATTCAACGAGTAGCCAAGTGAAGAGACAATATGATAAGCCAACAGACAGCGTTACACTCTCGCTAAGTTAATCGAACCTTGCTTATGACAGATTTTCCATAAGAAGCAATAAGTAGGACGTGAAATTCAAGTCTACTCAGAATTTTTTTTGACCATATTTCGTACATTCCAATTGACATATAAAATACTAACTTACTATACAAAAATTTCAAGGAACCACTTATTTTATGTCGACATACCTATCTTTACGCCTTCGAAGTGAGACATAGTCAAGTGGGCATTCTTTTTTGGTGGATAAACATCATCAAATGATCTAAGTTTTGGAAATTGTTGAATCAAACGGATAATTACATAGCTGGCTTCGGTTAATGCAAATTGTTGACCAAGGCAGATTCTTGGACCACCATTAAATGGCAAATAAGCCCACCCAAGTTTCTTTGTCTCACCAGTGAGCCACCTTTCCGGACGGAAAACATTATAATCATCACCATACCAGTAAGGATTTTTGTGCATTCCTGATACTGAGTAAATAACATTCATTCCCTTTCTAACAAAAATTGGCGATTGGAAATCCTTCCCACCACCCTTTGGTAATGTGGTGTTCTTTGTGGCTATTCTAAAATTCAGCGGAACAGAAGGGTACATTCTTAATACCTCATTCAAAATTGCTTTGAGATAGTCGCATCTTTTCATGGATTCAAATGTAATATCATCGAGTCTGGAATTTTCACCAGTACCGAAATTCGTCTCAATTTCATCACGTAATTTTGCCCAAATGTTAGGATTTCTAGCAAGTTCAAACATTGTAAAAGAAAGTAAACCAGCAGTGGTATCTCTACCAGCTACTAAAATATTCAAAAGTTGGTCACGTAAAGTTATTGGGTTTCTTGTTTCCTTAACTAGTTCATAAAGGAAAATGTAACTATCTTTTGACTTTTCCTCTAATTCAGAAGAGGAAGCATTCAAGGCCTTTTGAACAAAAAACTCTGCAAATGTATGGACCTTTTTGCAATTTTCACGGAACTTCTTAGAGTCGACCAAGAAATAAAACTCTTGAGCTAAAGATCTATCAAAAAGAGTCTTTTGGGCCTCGTTGAATGCATCAGCAAACCCGAGTTTACCAGCAAAATCCAACTCATCAATTTCTGACTGAGTAGCGACATTAAGATCAATTAAGCTACTCACTGATTCTCCAAATAAAAATTCAGTAGAGCTATCCACGGTGAATCTGAAAAACAATTCTTGGATATCGAATTCTGCTCCTTTGGTATTCGTAATGTGCTTACAGAGTAAGGCCACATGTGGTTCCAAGGATTTAATATGGGAGATTTGATCTCTAGCGAACTGAGGTCTTAACATTGCTCTAGAATGCTTCCAGCCATTACCGTCTAAAGTGAAAATACCGTCACCAAGTAAGGGAGCAAATTGTGCATGCCTAATTCCTAAACTGAAATCATTGAACTGTGTTCCCAATATAGCTTTAATATTTTCCGGGTCTCTGGTAGAGATGATAGGCATACCTGCCACCCTAAAGGTAGCAGTTCCTCCAATATTAACATCCTTTCCTTCTTCGGTACTTTCTAAATAGGATTTATTAAATTTATCAGTAATGTAGTCTATCAAGGTACCATTCTTTTGCATTCTTAATGCTTTGAACAAAAATTCAAATCCAAAGAATCTTTCTGATCCATCTACGAAGATTGGCTTGCATCCTGCTCTTCTCATTTGATACTTGAAATAGAAGTAGTCCAATACTTGATATACAGCGAAAAATCCTATCACATAAAGGAAAACTTCCTTAACGGTGAAGTCTGTTAAACTCATCTTAGTTCTGTGTTATAAATTATCTTTAACCTAAAGCTTAAAAGAATTGATGCAATTTATGGAATATATGTGCTACAATGAATTTCTGCGCTGAAACTTAAAAATAATTGTAAGCTTGATAAAATAAAAATTACTGAGCCATTACAAAATGATCACTGTACTGAAATGAGACAGAGGGAATAGTATATACTTATATACTATTAATATACATAAGAGGAAATTATAATGAAGGTACACCTCGCAGTTAAAAAAAAGTGGGGTTGCATTTGCTAAGAAAAATAGAACCTAGTGCTCAATCATTTGAAAGGTATGTTATATTATCGAAACTCCGATCCCCCCACGGAGTTTTATTCATTGCCTGCTGGTATGCAATTCTGAGTCCTCGGGATCTCTCGTGAAGATCTTTTCACAAGATTCTCCGCTGATTATTGAAGTTACTTTTATTGTTGGGGGGGAGAGCAAAATAAGCAACTACTAACCATCTTCACATGATTGAGTATTGGAGTTCCAAAGTGGAAATATGCAGAGTTAGCCTGAAAAAAAAAATACAAGCAACAAATAAGGTTGGCTATATGCAGTCTGAAGTTCGATGAAAGTTATGGGCGGTCCCAGCGATTAAGGTGTGTAGTATAAGCGGAGTTTAATTGGAGTAAAATGTTTACATGGGTTACATTTTTAGTTTCTGTGCGTATAAGTAGATGAATTGGTCAGTTACATAGAATAAAATTCAATTAAATGGAATGCTGCTGTAACGCTTATTTCCTGAAAGGCTTTGTGCGAAAGCATTCCTGTTACTGTGGTCCCTGCTTGAAAAGTCCGAGCTTGTTCTCTGTCTCTTTGTCTAAACTGAATATCTACTCTTACATGAGTCGGATTTATTGTCAATTAAATGTATTTTTTTTTCTTTCTTATGTAATATTAATCTATGTAAACTCTGTTCCTCTGTCTCAATCCCTTAAATGAAAGTAAATAGTTTGTTTAAGCATCTGGACCGGCAGCCTTAACTTCAGTAGTAGCTTGATCAGAGTACTTCTTGAAGTTTTCACTGAACTTACTGGCTAATGATTTGATTTCGTTTTCGAATGATGCAACACCTTCAGTCCAAGCCTTGGTAGGGTTCAAGATTTCAGATGGAACACCTGGACAAGACTTTGGAACATTCAAGTTGAAAGTTGGGAAGTTTTCATATTCAACCTTGGATAATTCACCAGAGTGAATAGCATCTAAGATTGCTCTAGTGTACTTTAATGAGCATCTCTTACCACCTCTGGCAGCAGAAGCACCAACCCAACCGGTATTCAATAACCAGGCGTTAGCATTGTGTTGAGAGATCTTGTCAGATAACTGTTGAGCGTACTTCATAGGGTGCAATACCAAGAATGGTTGACCGAAACAAGCGGAGAAAGTAGCTTGTGGTTCAGTAACACCTTCTTCAGTACCGGCCATCTTGGAAGTGTAACCAGAGATGAAATGGTACATAACTTGAGCGTTAGACAACTTGGAAACTGGAGGTAATACACCGGAGGCATCACAAGTCAATAAGATGATGTTAGTTGGGTGTTCATCAGCCATACATGGAATCTTAGCAGATGGGATGAAATCGATTGGGTATGCACATCTAGTGTTTTCAGTGATGGTAGAGTCATCGTAGTCGACAACCTTAGACTCTGGGTTGTAAACAACGTTTTCCAAAATAGCACCGAATTTGATAGAGTTGAAAATTTCTGGTTCCTTTTCGGCACTTAAATCCAAACACTTGGCGTAACAACCACCTTCAATGTTGAAAACACCGTTGTCGGACCAACAATGTTCATCATCACCAATCAATTTTCTGTTTGGATCAGCTGATAAAGTGGTCTTACCAGTTCCAGAAAGACCGAAGAATAAGGTAACATCACCCTTGTCAGTACCTTGGTTACAAGATGAGTGTAAAGTTAAAACCTTGTGCTTGATTGGCATCAAGTAGAACATAACGGTGAAGATACCCTTCTTCATTTCACCAGCGTATTCAGTACCTAAGATAACCATTTCCATATCCTTGAAGTTAATTTCAACAGATGTGGAAGAAGTCATACCCTTAGTGTGGACATTGGCTGGGAATTGACCAGCGTTGTAGATAGTGAAATCTGGTTCACCGAAGTTGGCTAATTCTTCTTCAGTTGGTCTGATTAACATGTTGGTCATGAATAAAGCGTGGTAGGCTCTGGCACAGATAATTCTAACCTTGATTCTGTATCTTGGATCCCATCCGGCGTAAGCGTCAACAACGAACAACTTTTCTCTGGTTCTCAAGTAGTCTAAAGCTCTTGATCTAGAAATTTTCCAGGTTAATTCGTCAACTTGCTTGTTAACAGGTCCCCACCAAATATTTTGAGAGGAGGTTTCTTCGTCAACAATTCTTTTATCCTTTGGAGATCTACCAGTCTTCTTACCAGAGTAAGCTAATAAAGCACCAGTGGAGGAGATGGTGGTTCCCTTTTCCAAAAGACCATCTTCGTACAAGGTTGGAGGTGGAGCATTATGTCTGATAGTAGTTTCCTCACCAAGAGAAAGTTGCTTCACCAATGGGTCTTGTGTAGTTTTTATTTTGGAGTGACTTCCAAAATTGATAGAAGATTCAACTGCGGCTGGAGTCATTATGAATAGATATGTATATATGTAAAATAGTAAGCGTTAAAGTTAAAATGTGAAACCTTTTTGTCTTACTTAATGAATTATAGGATATTCATCTTAGAATTTTGTCAATTAGAGGGGGGTTTACCCTCCCTTATATACTTTGCTTGTGCTTGTGCATTTGCTGTTGCAAATTTTTTTACTAGTGAAAATGCAGTAGAAAAGGTCCGGAGCAAAGGAACTCCTGCAGTGAATAGGCTACGGCTAGTTCCAGGAAAAAGTCGGGACCCCAGATTTTGCAATTCCTAAAGCTTCCGGCTGGGGAAAGTATATCTGATTACCTAAGAAATTGAAAATGTTATGTAATTCCAGTTGCTGTGCTTATGTAATAGCCGCCGGGAAAACGTCCCGGCAGGTGAAAATCCCCGGCCAAATGGAAATCACTCATAAACGTCGTAATACCTTTAAAGGAAACTTCCCGAATTCCGGGGTAAAGGCCAAATAAGCTTGTTGAATAAACCTTAGGAGCGAGTTAGTGAAAAAAAAAAAAAATAGTAGTAAAAGTTACTTGGGTGCTGGGGCTGGGAACAGCCCAGAACGCCTTACCAGGAGGGGGGACGGTCAGCAATGAGAGTGATCATAATTTTTCAGAAGTGGTGCTGCAATGTGCTAAGTGTGTTTACATTACTATTTTTGTTCTTGAGCCAGTAAAAATCATATCAATCGTAAGTAGAATGGGGCCATGAAATTGGAGTGTGTGATCCCTTTGTTTACTTTGATTCGTTGAGTCTTAGTATGTCTATTTCAAAAAATCATGTCTAGATTCTCGGAGTAGTTAGGAAGCACAGGCGATAATTTTTTTTTTTATTTTGATGTTGATTATCGCTGATGAAACGGCATAAGCAAGCTCAGGATGAGGAGGGGAGTGGTAGGGGCATAACGAGGACGAAAAACAATCAAAAAAGAAAAGAAATGAACTGAAAAGAAAAGCTTAAAACAAGAAACGTACTCAAATCCGATTGCTACGGTGACGTCTCAATGCAATCAAATGATTGTTCTATTGTATTGGACGCTTCATAGGTAAGAAATAATTTGCCTGATACAATTGAACGTTGCTACGAAGAGTTGCCTGTCTATCTGTAGTTGTTACTTCTATCTCTGTTCTTTCCATTTGCACGTTCATTAATATATATATATATATATATTGCCTTGTCTACATGGTTTCTTTGTTTTTTCACTAATTTATACATTTTGGTCTTTATCTTTTCTCGTAACCATGGCCACCTCTGGCTACTAAGCTTAATTAAAGTGAGTGAGCTTGAGATTTTATGACGTACATGCATGATTGCAACTGTGCAGTTTCTTCCCATCATAAGCTATTGTTAAGCAAACTGGTCAGCTCTCTTTTTCTCATAATAATCATAGTAGTGTTTCCACTCTTTGAAACCAATGTCTTTAATTCCATTAACGTTGCTACTATTTTGTTCATCTATACCGATTATAATACATTGATCCATTTTGTTTGTGGAGTCGGTATTGCTGCTCTTTAAAAATGTGATCCCACTACATACCAAACCAAACTTGAAAATTTCTGTAAGATTGGAATATGATGGATCGATAATTGGCCCTATAATTCCTCCAATTAATGGCTCACCGACAGTCGATTCTGCAGCAGCCTGGTTCATAAATGGGAAAAACTTGGAAAGCAATGACCTATTGTTGAATAATATAACACTACCAATGACATTTTGGTTAGTTGGTTCTAAGGCAATAATAATCTTTACTCCATTACTTGAATTATTATCCAAATACTTGATTGCCTCCATGTACAATGCCTTGACCTTATCTTTTGCTTGCATTTCTTCATCCAGAAATTGATTTAAATCTTTATCTGTGTCTGCTGCTTCATCATTCTTACCATCTTTGGTATCGTTCTCAGTCCCTTCACCGGTGACGTTAGTATCTTTATCACCTTCAGAAATCTTCTTAACACTGCTCTTATTAATCAAATTCATCAATTTTTCCGGATCGGAACAAATATCAAATCTCACTCCTACAATCATTAACTCTCTAATAATTTTCTTTGGAACCAGCCAATTGCTCAAATTATCTAAAATCATAATATGTTTCTTGATTTGTTCACCTTCATTTCCAATCAAATCCCAACCAACATTATTAAAGAACGAAACGACCTTACTGTTTTCGGTAATGGTCTTGAGATTCACCAAAGATATTAAGGGAAATGAACATCCTAAGGTGATCACTTTACATTTTTGTTCCTCAACTAAATATCTCATGGCTCTGGCATGAAGGTTTTTTCCAATACTTTGAAATCTCTTGGATTTATCAACAATTAAGTACATTATAGATCCAACTTTATCTGACTCTCCTGCAACTTGCTCTCCAGATAACAGCATAGATTGGTGTTCATTTACCCAAGTCAATACCACTCCGTATAAAATGTTTAAGGAAGCATTTTTAACAACAAAATGTTTCTGCGTTTTATTGTTGGTTCTCAATAAAAGATATAACATCTTGTAAAAGGAATCACTCTGATAGTTTATTTCTTCAGCTCTTCTGTCAAAATGAAGATGATCCGAATCTTCTTCTTCGCCATTCGAATTATTTTTCCATAGCTTAAAAAGTGCATTCCAATCTCTCTGTAAATCAAGCTCATCAACGAGCCATCTTCTCTTTGGAGTTGGATTTCGTTTCACGATCCGCTTTGCAGAGTTACTACTGTTCAAACCCAAACCTCCCATTCCTTTTGCATCTAGTTGTTTTCTCTTCTTTGAACGTGCTCCGCTAATATATTTTTTTTCTCCTGGTATGCATCCTTCAGCTTGAATGTCTCCCATAAGTACTCCGACCAATTGTTCTAAAACATTATCGGTATAATCGTAGCAACATAAATATGTACTTCCAATGCTCTTATTGTAAAAAAAATCGTATGGTGACAGAGTTGCCACTATAACTAAAGGTTTTGAGAGCTTGGTGTTAGTTCCATTGCTACTGAAGCTATAGGGATTAGCACCACATAAGATAGAAATGTATTTCACAATACCTATTTGGTACATGTTTCTTGATGCCTCAGAAGTCAAAACGATAACAACCTGGGAATTCTCAATAAGTGATTCGTGAAGTGAGGTAAGACCATTGGCAGTGTACGTGGTATGCAAAACATTATATGGTGTTTGAGACTTGGAATTAAACGGATGGTTGGCAAGTAGTTCTCCAAACTTCTTGAAAACATCCTCACCAACGTACAATTGCGGTTCTTCAGAATTATCATCTTTAACTGATTTATATAGGGGATTCAATAGCGGCGTAAGTATAAGAATATTGTTATTCTCAGAGCTGGTAGATTGTGACTGTGCCGACGATGAGGAAGCTGACGCAGCGGCAGCGGCTGCTGCTGCCGCTGCAGTTCCTGAATTTGGGGATATCCATTTAGTAATAGGCAACGCACCATTATAGTCCCGTACCAACGTTACTGACTTTTTATATGCCAATTCACTCAATCTTTGGTGATTCTCCCAGGCTTCAGGAAACTTCTCTTTGAATAATACAAGTCCATCTCTAGCCGATTTTTCACCCTCTGGAAACATTTCTTGCCATGTTGGTAATCTTTTCTGTAACTTATTTATCCTTCTCAAGCTTCCAGATACAATTTCTTCGTCCAAGTTCCCATTTTGAAGTGCCTTCTCCATTGATTCTATAGCCTCATTTTGCAAAGTCAAATTATGGCAAACCATCACCAAGTCGCAGCCTGCGTATAATGCTAAAACCACACCCTGACCCAATCCAATAGAATGGAATAATGCATCCATTTCCAAACACTCACTGATCACCATTCCGTCAAACTTTAGTTCTTGTCTTAACAACTGGTTGACAATTATAGGAGACAAACAAGAATGGATTTCGTCAGGGGAAATTGTGGGCACCGCACAACCAGCGACACTGATTCCATCTAAGATACCCTCTTCGATTAATTTAGCAAACGGTTGAGAATTGAACAGCTTTATTTGCTCTAATGAATCGGCCATCATGGGCAATTCCAACAACAGATCCACTGATGCATTACCTATCCCTGGGAAATGCTTCCCCACCGTGAATAAGCCACCATCCTGCAAACCCTTGGCTGCTGCCCTGCCAAATTTCGTCACTTCTTCGGGCGTCGTTCCAAAACTACGAACCCCGACCAATTGGTGGGACAATTTTGTAACCACATCCAAGACTGGACCTAACAATATTGAGAACCCGATCAACTTCAATTCCGACGCCAACGCCTTCAGCACATTATATACCAATTCTGTATCGCCCGTGGCAGCTAGGGCCATCGCACCGGGAAACTGGGTCAAAAAGTCCGGATCAAACAATGAATTCATCATTCCACCCTCCTCATCAACGGCAAACATGAGAGGATATTTGTACCCACCTTGGGTCATCGCTATATACTGAAGGTCTCTGATGAGCTTGGTTATCTGCTGAACAGAAGTGATGTTCTTTTTCAGCAATATCATCGAGGAAACATGGTGCTTGACTATTAGATGGTAAGCCTGGGGAGTGACCGATGTTCCCTGAAATCCTCCACAGAGTAATTGACCGACCTGCATGGGATATATCCAACTAACGGAGGTTTTAATGGAGGTTTTATGAACTACAGAAGTAAATCACGCTTCAAAAGAGTGAATTGCGCTATGCTATGTTGTCCTGGCTCAAGCTGACTGATATCTGTCTGAGTCCGTGTTGAAGCGGTTGGTTGAGTGCAAGATGCTCTGACCACTGGAGATATGTATGTTATATGCAGGATGATAAAAGGGAAAGAGCTAGGCAGTATGGGGGAAAGGCATAATCTGGGATCTGAGATTTTTTCGGTGGGGAATGCCCTGGCAGCAGAGAGATGCAATGGGCATTAGCACTACGTCAGTATCGGCAAAAAAAACAATGGGTAGAGAACAAATGGGCAGTAGTTCAGCAGTAGCTCACACCCGTTAGTCCTCATTGCACTCTCGAAATCTGAAAAACGGTACCTCACTGACGTACATCGGTGGAGTTACTGCCTAACTAAGTCCGAAATAGGCAGCATCGATTGCAAAAACGCAACACACTGAAAATTAGGAAAGCGAGAAAATATCTTTAGGTGAGTTCAAATAGGTTGCCTACTGTCGATTATAGGTAAATAGATAGCTAGAGAAAGGGTTCTAGGCTATATGCAATGGGGATTAACGACCTATGGGCTGTACTATCGCCCGGGTTTAGCGAAAGAGTCGCATTCCCTCTCTGGGTGTCTAGGTTTGTAGAAGAGTTTAACAGACCACCTAGAATTGCAATAGACGGATTTATGCTCCTCTTCCAATCCAAGCACCTGGCACTTTCAGAGTGGACAGATGAGGCAATAATAAGAATGTTTTTAGCAAAATTGGTGTATTTCAGCTCGTATAATGTAACATATGTAGTTGTATTCGATGGGAATGAAAAACCTTCGAAACATGGGGAGAACTTTGTAGGAACTGATATGAATGCATTGGATGATCTCGGATGCACCCCGCCATTTAATAGTGACATACTATGGAAATTGAAAGCAGCATTGGTGCAATACTCTATAAGCTTTATTCAGTGCCCTGGTGAGGGTGAGGCTGAATGCGCTATGCTTCAAAAGACGCAGGTGGTGGACTATGTAGTCAGCAATGATGTCGATAGCTTGGTTTTCGGCGCTACCAAAATGTTGAGAAATTTCAGTCGGTTCAAAGATGATAAACCTGCTTCTGCTGCAGGAATTGATGGAGGTGCTGGTAACTTTTACGTTACTCCTGTGCATATGAACTTGGTAGGTGAGAGAACTGGTTTAGATTATGCTAGACTTATACTTATTGCAACAATTCGAGGTGGTGATTATTCTAGTGGTGTTGACAATATCGGAATTGCAAGAGCTGTAAAAATAGCATTGTGTGGCACATCATTTGCTTCCTTTTATCACCGATCACCCACCAAGATAGAGGCAAAAGAAATCAAGAAAGGGATATCTATGATACGGTCTGATCCACTACCTGATTTTAGTAGGATTTTATTGGACTGCTTTGTTGATCCTCTAGCACCAGGGAGAGTAAGGCCCGCAAATCAGAGGGAGGCAAGGGTGGAGAAATTCTTGGAGTTATTAAATTGGAATATATTGGAAAGATCGAGGGATATTTTCGAGAGAAAGGCTTCAAATTTAAACAACTTATCAATAGATGAGTCTTTTACAATCTTGTACTTATTCCCGAGTGTCTCAAAGTCAAAATATCTATTTAAACCTGATCGATATAACTATGGTGACGAATCGGTGAACCAAGTGATTCCGTCTGATAGGTTCGATTTCAATATTAAGTACCTAATTTTAAAGCTTTTAAGTCATTTCGAAAGAGTTTCTGAATTGAAAGAAACAATAAGGATTGCAAGAAGTAAAGTTATTGAAGGTTCTCAGTATGTAATGGTGAAATATCAAGCTGCCAAAATTGAAGAATTAATTTACCCCAGTATAAAGATGAGCCAGAATGATGAAATATTAGATAATCAAGTCGAAGCAGAGGAAGAAGATGAAGGAAGAGCCAAATTTGGAGCAGAAGTACTTGATGAAGCGAAAAGAGCGAACGAAAAAAGTATATGGATTCCCTGTAGTCTAGTAAACTTAATCAACCCTAGTCTCTTGTCGGATTATCAAATTGACCTAGATAAGAAAAAAGAGAAAAGAATATCTCCAAAGAAGACAGCTCCTCTCCAAAAAACTACACTTGACCTGCTATTCAAGAGAAGAGAAACTAGCACAGCGAACTCCATCAAATTTGAAAGTCAAGAAGTAATGACGGCTGATGAGGGGCTGAAATCTCGTACTGAAAATATAATTACTGACTTCGATTTTAAAAAGGAACAAAGTCTACAGGATGGAGGGATTATAAATCGTCAAGACCCTCAGAAGGAGGAAAATTCTAAAACAGAGCTGACAAAAGCGGCATCAGTTGCTCGTAAGGTATCACCAGTCCGTAAGAAGAGAAGTCCAAGAAAGAAAATATTGCTTCCTGGTCAATCTTTGGTCACATCATTTTTTTCAGCTAAGCAGGAAGAGCAGCAGGAGTCAAAGCAGGATATACTAGTGGAAGAGGATCCATTTTATTCAAAACCGCTCTTCATTGATTCTGATTCTGATGACGAAATCAAACTTAGACCAATGACCGCTCCTAGTTTAGCTTACAGCATTCCATCACTTAAACCGAAGAGACTTATTTCGTCAGCTGGACTGGCAGAAGTAAGTCCATCTAAAAAGCAACACTCTCTCCAACTTTCTCCTGATAATTCTCCTGAGAAAGCTTCAAAAGAAGAGATTCCAACAGTTACGATTTCTCCTCTTAAAAGGAGGAAATAAAGTAGCATTATATTAATTGCAGTATAGTTATTGTAGATTTAGGCTAAAAGTAGGCGAAAATTAATATACTACAAAGTAAGATCACCTGTAGTTCACTAACTAGTTCTGAATGTAAGAGTCAAAAACACATTAGTAAAAAAATCCCTACAGTGATCTTCACGTAGCTCAGCTCGATGATCCTGCTCTGTCCCTTTCATTAATAAGTCGGGAGTTTGTCTCATGTATCAACCTCTGTCTGTTGGGTGCAAAAGAATGAACATAAGAAATGGTTGCGCACCTATCCATACGATTACGATACCACCACCAAAACACATCACAATACGATGTCATTAAACGAAATAGAAAACAGAGACAACTAGTTTCCCAGTGGAACCCACATCAATTCCTCCCCATTCATCTATACTTCTCTCTAGGTCCCTGCTCTTCTGCTCCACTTCTGTGTCCTTATGAGTGCATACCCATGACACCCTGACACCAACAACAGAGTATATGCAGGAACATCAATGATATTTTTTCTTTAAATTTTTGGATGTTTACATGAAAATTGTCCAAGAAGAGACAGAAACAGCAGCTTATTCGTTAGATCTCTTACTTCCATTCAGTCGGTTCGGTATGAAATTGAATTGGGCCACCGAAACGTTTCTGGATTGTTACAATTCAATAAAATATAATGGAACTGTAAGTGAGGCAAGCTTGAAACCGATCCAAGATGATTTGATGCAGCTTTTGGTTGTGCCTGCCAAGAAGGAATCAGACCTGACCCTCCCTGAGGAGGTTGAATTTACAGATGGGAAATTCAAGTTGAACACGCAGTTTATGGAAGCTGCCACCATCTTGTCACTGGAATTGGCATTGCCTACCTTTGATACCGCAGAATTACTTCATGAGGCAAGTACCATAGAATTTCAATCTGGTGTAGACTTCATGGATAGTGGTAGAATAGCATTTTTCCATAGATTCCAGTATATATTGAATATTGTGGGATACTTGACTGCCACAAGGCAATTGCATTTGATAACCAATGACTTCCAATCAATTTTCCTGAATTTAATAGCTTCATTCGAGTCAATTTACACTAGGTTGAATACATTGAATGAACTCATCGACAAGCAGAAGATCACTGGAGATGTAAATAATCTTCAGTTTGTAAATGCTTCACAGTACAGTAAGCTGGAGATCTTCAATCACCACGAACTTCTAGGTTCCATTTACTTCAATTTGATCAGCAATTATGGTGACCATGTGGCCACTACTGCCAATTATGAGAGAGTCATTGAAGTAATTACCAAGAATTTGAAGGATGAAGATATATTTACAGTGCATTACTTGCCAGGGTTATTAAAATTCTTAACGTCATTCGAAGAAATAAAGGCACCAGAAGTTGAGAAGTTCCATAAAGCTGTCACCAGCAAATTGACCGCTGATTATTCGAAAGTTTCATCAGTGTCAACAAGTGCTTCTTCATCGTCAGACAGTGAGATTGATGTCTCTAAATCAGCACTTCAACCATTGGAAGTTCTTCTAGCACTTATCGGTTATACTTCCTTCATATCATGGTGTAAGATAGATGAAAAGAGAACTTCCCAATATAGCTTCCAAGATGACATCCTCAAATACGTTGAATGGTGTATTAGTTATGGAGCTCTTGAGAAATTGCTATGCATAGCTTCAGACACAACATACAAGGGAGATCATCTGAACTTCTCATCAATATTTGTATATGATTTCCGTTCATTACTTCAAAAGACATTACCTTCCCTTACCCCTATTAAAATTGCGTACCCTGGAGCAACCGAGTTACTAAACATTGCATCAACACGCCCTGACTTATTATCTAATACTGAGGCGTTGGTGAGCACAGACAAGTTCAAGATTGGCCAAGATTTCAATAATGATTTGGTTGGACCTTTACTCCATAATTTCTTTAAAGCATTTGTTAAAAATGCTGCAATTATTTTAACTCTGTTGAGGGACAGTGAAGAAGACTTTTTGTTGAGTGCATCGACCGGGAAGGAGGAAGAAAGAGAGGAGAATATTAAAAGGACAAACAACGACACAAACTCAGCTTCAGATATTTCTTCTTCAGCAGGCCATCGTGGTGATTCTTCCGACAGGGATTCCATTGATTTGGATGATATAGCCAGTAGGTCTGACTTAGAGAGGTTCTACTTGGCATTTGCCTATACGCATCAGAATAGACCTGAGCTTTGTTCATTATTTTGGAATGAAGAAAACACTGTCTATGAACTTTTGGGCTTAATTAACTGGGGGTTAACAAACAATACATCGCCCTTAATTACAGCAACATTCTGTATTCTACTTGGTTCATTAACATACGGAAATGAAAATGACGACTTTTCTGTGAAAATATGGGAAATCTTGATAAATAACAATAGCACCACCAGTACAAAAAGAAATGATTATTCAAAAGTCTCAGTTGATTCAATCTGTGAAAGTTTATATTACTACATTGATATGATGAATAAGAATTTCAAAGAAGACTTACAGTATCAGCAACAGCATCAGAGGAATTTGTTACAGGATATTTTGTTACCAACGCACACTGCAGTAGGTGCTGGAAACAGCTCCTCAATACATCATGGTGGTAGTGGTAGTGGATCTGTTTCGAATTCGAATGATGATTCAGAAGCAATAACACCAATAGTCATAGAACTTGCTGAAGACTCCGTGGTTTTCATTTCAGGGTTCATCCAATTATTGAGTAGCATTGTAAAGAACCTCCCAAGCTCTTCAAATCCAAGATCAAACGAAATAATGAAATCCATATTCGCTAGATTTCAACCGATAATTTGTGAGTTTTTAAAATTTGATAATTTGATTACAAATTCTAAAACTACAGTAGGAACATCTATATTTATTAGTGATGATAGTAGGGTTATATTAATCAATTTAATATTTGATTTTCTCGGGGCATTTGTTCATGAAGACCTCACTTTGAGATATAAAATATGGGATTTTGTTGACAGATGGATTTTTAAAGGTGGTTGGCCAGATGCCGCCACTGTCAATTCGACAGCGTCGGCCTCAGCATCAACTATGACAAAGACAAATACTCTTGCAGGAAGCAGTGGTGATTCGAGTAATGATATTGGAAGTGGTTACAAATCAGTGAGAATTGTACAGCATTTCCAAAATACCCTTACCCAACTTTCTCAGGTTTCAAATTTCATCATCCTTTTGAAAAAATTACTTCTGAATACGAACCAAGATGTTAAAGCATTCAAAAAGTATAGATTGTTATATCCAGCCGATTTAGGAAATGGCTATCGAAATATTGGTATTTGGCCATACATTGAATACCTCTTACTAGAAGTGTTCGCAAAGTCTGAAAGTTTATCCGAGGAAAGGTTAGATATTCAGTTACCTATTCTAGAGATAATCTTAGATTCTTTAAATGAAATTGATTGGGTCTTCTTGAATGACATTGCACCAGTAACGATAAGAAGATTAGATTTGAATCAATGCGTAGAATATGAAGGTGTTGGCTTTACGTTTGAGAACTTCATAAAACTTCATCATTCTTTGGCAGTTTTAAACTATTTGTTTGACGAAAATGTATACAAAGTCTTATTTAAAATCTTAGAGAGAGAAGGTGAAAGCGGAGAAGGTGAAGGTTGGGCCGTTGAATCTATTTTGAAAATTACTCAATCCTTGTTAGAACTTCAAGACACATTTATTAACAGTTTATTACCAATTATAAGAAACAAAGGAGGGGATAGTACAGAGAATAATACTGTTGGTAACGGTAGATCAAATGGAACTTTTGCAGGATACGGAACTAATATGAGTATTGTACTTTCGACTCCAAAAACAGTTTGGGATAATATATATTACCCTAAAAATATTGGATTACAAGGAATTAGCAACTTTTACGAGATTTTCGTCTTTAACTTGCCTGTTATTGCAATGTTTGGATTATTTGTGGGCTCATTTAAAGTGTCGATATCAACGTCTTCAATTCAAATTTTAAAAGGTATTTCCCAATCGAGCTTCTTCACTAATTCAAAAGGTAATGTTTTGAATAAGAATAGGTTATTGACTACTTTCGAAAGCATCAATGAATCTGAGAGAATCAAATTTGCGTTCATGAAGCAATTGCAGAGATCAATTGACACTGAAGAGGACTTAGAGGTGAAATTTAAAGTATTGCAGTTCTTAATTGAAAATATTGAGCCTAGTGATGCAAGCTTATCTCATTATTTACTAGGATATGAATTCAAGGGAAATTCAATAACATTGGAGGAAAAAGGAAACCAAAACAGCTTGCTTAAGACCTTACTTCTTTTGTTAGACTCTTCTTTGAATTCTATTTCAGACATTGACTATAAGAACGGGAATGTCCACATAATAGAATTCGCACCTGCGGCTCTAGCATCTATGATTTTAGAAATCTTGGTTAAGTTATGCAGAGACTTTATTTCATCAAAGGTGACCCTTGATTATTTAAGAGAGGAAGGAGCCTTATTTACAAAGTTAATTCGATGCCAGCCTAATATAGACTTGTCATCTATATGGGCTACGAAAAGCTTTGATGGTGATTTACAGTCGACACATCAAAACTCTTTCACTGATGGAGAATGTATTGTGACCTTATTTTCGTTTATACGTCATAGAAATATGATCCTACAGTACCTTTCTCTCGAATTCCATGCAACATCTAACCAAAAATCAATCACGAGAAGCGAATACTATATCGATTTATTATTAAATGACAACGAGTTTTTAAACGGTTCTCCCAAGGTCTTATCATTCTTGGATATCTTGAATTTTAGATTAGATGATTTAGATGTTTCAAGTTATGAAAGCTTTGATCAAAAATACAACTTATCAAATGTTTTAAGTATTATGAAGAGAGATCACAAGGGTAATGAGGTCTTAAATTTAGAGGTCATGGAGAAGATTTACAAAGTGGTCTGTAAAATGTCTACCATCATCAGCAAAGAGCTGAAAATGTTGTTCTCACAAGAAATTATGGATGAAGGTAATCACATAATTGAATTCTTGACTAAGTATGTGGTTTACGAAGAGTTTAGGTCTACACAATTGTCATGCCTTCACTCTTGGACTCAATTAATCCAGGTTTTACTTACTGATGGTAAAATGACGAAATCCAAAAAGTCAAATTTCATAATGGAAGTTTTCCAAATTATTTTACCGAAGATTAACGATTACTTGGAGTCTGATATTCTTTTCGCTAAGGAATTGATTTCATTGAGTGTTTTGTTATTTGATTTCTACGACAGAGAGGAAAATAGTAGAAGCGAGGTATTATTTCCCCTTTTTCAAACATGTATCAATGGAATCTTATCATCATATCTGACTTCGGAATTGAGGTCCGATTTATACGTATTGGCAAATAAATTTTTACAAAAATCATTTGAAAATAAAGAAATATTGAAGGATCTCGGAAACTCAATCAAATCGGTTGATAAAAAATTTGTTGATATCCTTTGCAATGATTCCATTTACGCTGAAGGTTCGCAAAGAATAACAGCACTTATATTATTGGAAAGTTTGATTCATTTGTCTTCAATTAGTAGAATTAACTTCGTATTGGATAGTATTATCAAAAACAACTCATTGTCTCTACTCGTTAGATCATTGAAAAGGACAGATGAAATTTTCAACAGTAATGGAGACTCTGGATTCAGCTTAAACAATTTGCTATATGAATTGACTGCTTTCAAGACAACTTTATATTTGTTACTTAGAATAGCAACTACTAGATCAGGGGCTTCACAGTTAATTCAATGTGAATTATTTCCTATCATTAAATCTAGTAAATTCCTAGCAATTGATCCAGATTTGGGTTTGAATTTGAAAATTGCAAGTTCTGTCGCATTCGGTACTTCAGGAGGCGTTTCAGAGAAGGCAAATGACAATAATAACTTCAGTGTTCACTTATCTCTCGACACTCCATTATCGTTAGCTGGAAATTCTGATTCTAATTCTGGAGACATTTCATATTTCGAATTTTTGGTACCAGTCTTCCAATTGATAACAGGTGTTTTGGTATCTATGGGTCCATCATATAAACCAAGTATTGTACAAGGTAAAGAGCTCCTAAAGCATTTCCACCAACTAATCGTTGGAGTGCTCAAAAGAGATGCGTTAATTGAGAGTAAGAAACTGGATTCGAAGAAATTTTCACAAGTCTATTCAGAGGAAAGTATCTCAAATGTAGGATTGAGAGAATTGGTGAAGCTAATAGTCTTATTGGATTCGTTAGTTTCCGAGCATGGTGAATCAAAATAGATATGTATAGATTAAAAATAAAAAGAAATATAAAAGTTAAAGGAACAAGAACAGCAAAGTTTCGTAATCTTTATTTTACTTCTCTCCACATTATTTGTTAAATGGGTAATGATAGTCATTCAGAAATAAGAGCCTGTCCTATACGAAAATAAACTTTCATGGGGCATTTTTGCACCTATGTCCAACCAAGTGGAGAGTCAAGGTTCGAGCAGTAGTGATTCGTTCGATGGCTTCGTCTCTACGGGATTTATCCTTATAAGGAGGGTTTCAATATAGTGAAAACTTTTATCGCTGGGATGAGGGGTTTTTGATTGTTACATTTATCAACGCTACAGTGCAATTCAAAAATATTCCATAAAAAGAAACAAAGAGGTGGGCATACTGAATATGCATCATTTCGTTCCATCCAAACACCCCCACTTCATTCACTTCTTTAGCTTTCGTGTTTCAATGGTATATTCATCGGTCTTAAACGCCCATTATCCTCTGAGCTAAATCTGTGTTCAAAATTGGTGCGTGACGCAAATCACCCAGTTTAGCATGTTGATGGTTTGTGGAGTTGTGCGCAGAACATAGTTCGATCCTAGCGAAAATCATAATCTTCTGTTTCTGTGGGATTCCCTCCAGCTCGACATACTAGTATATTACCGAGAACATGTGCTCATACTCTTTGAATAAGCGAATGGAGATAGAATCAAAAGATAGTCGTAATAGATTCTGTTTCACATTTTTTGTATATATTCGAATTCTTTTGGTTGCTAGTGCATGCACGCTAGCTTAGGACAAGGCTCCTACCCAATTGCATACATAACTTATTCTGGTACTGGGCTAGATTCAAAATATCACGGAAAAATATAAATCCTCTTGTCCAAATGTAGACCGATAAATTTAGCCATCCTTGGAGTCAGAAGACAAATAGAGATTGATAGTAGTCGCATGGTACCTGCACCCATTCATTATAAACCAGATTAATCTAATGCGGAAAATATTCCCAAATACTACAATGTGCCAAGTAGTAGCTTTTTTTACTTTTTTTCTTCAGTTTCTTTTTTTTTTCTTTCTATGGCATTTGGTTATGCAGTGCTAAAGCTTAATTACATCATAGTTAGGCAAATTTTGTGAGTGTCTTTCTCTATTGAGCGAGATTTACGAAATAAACCTCCATTACCAGGCCGAACTATGCTACCCCATCCTCCCACTTTCTTTGATTTTTGTTCATCTACATCCCACGGACATGGCCATCTCAAGCATCAAAATAAATTTTCAACTTCATATATAAGTGCTCAAACGCATCATGTATTTTTAATACAATAACTTCTGATCAAGACCGTTTTCCTTTATCTTCAATTTAGGTATTTGATTTTTATTTCAATTTCCATCGTCCTTATCTGATTCCCGCGCATCATTCGCTAAAAGGGTAACATTTTCCAGATAGCTAATCTTTAGAGCCGATATTTTGGCCTTTCGATTCACTACATATTCGTCTCCCCACATAACGAAGTTGCCAGAGTCAAATAGTTTATCTATTTTCTTATCGTGCATTATTGTTAAAGGACCCCTCCCAAGCATACTCTTATATCTAACACACACATATAAGTATATATATACTTAATAAGTGCTGCCGTCTTTCGAATATTTTTTCACTAAAGATATTTTTTGGAACTTGCAAGTGCAGAGAATATTTATTTTGGAACCTTCTAAGCATATCATACTAAGATGTCAAACTTATTTGAACGTGCTTCCAACAAGCTTTCCTTCAGCAAGAAGGGAGAAGAGAAGCCCATAAGTAATAACTACAACAATAATGCTGCAGAAAGTTTGGATATCTTGCTGGTATCAGGAAATCTGACGCTGCTGCTGTCCCCCGCTGAGAAGCGAAATTCCCCCCACCTTATGCAAAGAAAGTTAGAGCTGAGACATGTTCAATTAATTGCAATCGGTGGTTCTATCGGTACAGGTCTTTTCGTTACTATTGGGTCCTCCTTGATTAAAGGAGGTCCTTTAGGATTATTATTGGCATATACCTTCTGGACGTCTATTATTTTACTATTAACCACGGCGGTGGGTGAAATGGTTTCATTCTTACCCGTAGCCTCACCGTTCGTTACCATGGCCGGTAGAGTGGTGGATGAAGCTTTTGAATGCTGTGCTGGGTACAACTTTTTCATTATGGAAGCATTGTATATTCCATTTGAAATCACTGCGGTTAACGGGATGATCCATTTCTGGAGAGACGACTATTCACCAGCTATCACTTTATGTATCCAAATTGCCATCTATGCATTAATTAACCTTTTTGCTGTTAGATTATACGGAGAGCTGGAATTTTGGCTTTCAATTGGAAAGTTAATTTTATGTATCGGTTTGCTATTCTTCACCTTGGTTACAATGTGTGGTGGTAACCCTCAGCACGATGCCTTTGGGTTCAGAAATTGGCATGTTGCAGGTGGACCAATGGGGGAATATATAACAACTGGTAGTTTGGGTAAATTTCAAGGGTTTTTGGGTGCATTATTATCAAGTGCTTTCACCATCGTTGGACCTGAATACATGTCTATGGTTTCCGCTGAGGCCAAAAATCCAAGAAAAACTATGCCAACTGCCTTCAAGACCGTGTTGTATCGTTTGTCATTATTTTACATTGGAGGTGCTTTGTCAGTTTCGATCTTGATTGCTTACAATGACCCCAAGTTCATCGCCCTTTCAGCAGATTCCTCAAATGCTGCATCTTCTCCTTATGTTGTTGCTATGGAAAACTTGGGTATCAAGGCTCTTCCAGATATTGTTAATGCTCTTGTTTTAACTTCGGCATTTTCCGCCGGTAATTCTTATACTTATTGTTCGTCAAGAGCATTATATGGCTTGGCTGAAAGAGGTTTTGCTCCACCATTTTTTAAGTATTTGACCAAGAATGGTGTTCCACTTTACTGTGTTGGTGTTTCTATCGCTTTTTCTATGCTTTCATTGATGCAATTAGGTTCACTGGGAGCTACAGTATTAAACTATATGGTTAGTTTATGTACTGGTTCTCAGTTATTGAACTATGGATTTATGTGTATTACTTACATAAGATTCTATCAGGCATGCAACGCTCAAGGTTTAGATAGAACTACATTCCCTTACACCTCGTATTTCCAGCCATACTCCATTTACATTGCTACCTTCTTTATTTGGATTATGATTGGAATCTTAGGTTACACCGTGTTTATGCCAGGTAACTGGGCCGTTGATACCTTCTTATTCAACTATGTCATGATTTTCGTATGTATAGCTATTTTCATATTCTGGAAGTTGTTCAGAAAGACTAAGTTTGTCAGTTCAAAAGACGCAGATTTATTCACTGGAATTGAAGAAATTGAAGAGCACGAATATGAATATTATGCTCAGCTAGAATCTGAACATAAATCCGAGAAAGGATGGTTCAAAACAGCGCTCCACTGGTTATTTTAGAGTTTTTACAGTACATAGCTCATTCTTTAATATGGAATTTTTTAATAGTTTGCAATGTAGTTAGAGGGTCTCAAGAATAAGAGATAAGTTAGAAATCTCTCTAAAAGAACATCACCTGCTCGTCAAAGTATTCGGTTACATCGTTATTACTTTAAAATACTCTAGTTTCACTTTTTATCAAATTTTGTCCATTTTCCATTTTATATAACCTACCTTAAAAGAATAATACTATAGATATCTACTATAGAGATGTACATGAATACACGGCTATCCATAGACCAATACTAAAGCCATTCCCAAGTAATGTCGATTCTTCCCAAATCCTTGTCTGCAATTTGAGAAAAGGCAGTTGGTGATAAATCTAAGTCATGTTCAGCACAACCCATACATTGATCGACTACAGTAACATCAACGGAGTTATCGCCATAGTAGGCTCTAATCTTTTTACCACACAATGGATTATTGTTCGAATTGCCGTTAACAATCTCTGGAGTGTAAAGGATGTGAGAAATTGCGACAATATAGTCTGAATCGGTATTCGTATTTCCGCATGCACCTAAGCCAACATCGTAATAGGTCCCTTCACCAGAAAACCTCGAAGAAGAACTGGTTGGAGCCGATTCACTAGCAGAGCTTGAAGAACTCAGACTAGTGGTTGGGCTGACAGCAGCGGTAGTTTCAGGAGTGGTCTCAGCAATGGGAGTAGTTGTTGAGGTGGTGCTTGGGAGGGAAGTGGTGCTCGCCTGTTCAAGCGAAGAGGTAGTGGTTGGAGCTGCAGCTTTGTCTGCTACAGGAACAACAGTAGTAGCTCCTCCAACGACAGTTTCCACGACAGTTTCATAAGCAGTGACCCAAACAACTTTGATAGCCGGAACTGGAGAAGCCATAGCGACACCTGCTAAAGCAAGAACAAATGATAATTTCATAGTCAGAGTTTTTATTATAAAAATATATATATATATATAGGGAGTGAAATGTACTAGATAAAGGAAGGACTAAGTACAGGTAGTAGAGGAGACTCTGAAATTAAACACGCTAAAGGAGTGAATGTGCTTATTTGTCTTGATTAGTCTTAGTTTTTTCAGCCTCTACAACATAAAAAATGAGAGTTTAAACTGTTCTTATATGAAAAAAGTCAGAATATGATCCAACGGGGTTCTCCAACGTGCATATCTGAAACATGAAAAATTCGAAGTAGCCAACTGATCCTCCCCCCATTAAGGTTTTGATGAGCGTACGAAATTGCAGTAATCTGCAACCAAACGCGAAGGCGCGAGAAAGGTTTTCAACGATTTTTGACCACTTTGGTCGAAATTGAGTCTCGATCTGTACCAAAAAATGCCCCTTTCATGCATGGAAAAAAAAAAGGTCAATAGCTGTTACCGACAACCAAACACCTTTGTTTCTGGATTGTTATATAATGGGCGGGACTTCGATGTGTTGTCTTCAATTATACTCTGAATGTAGGTATCACAAAAGATCAAAATCATTTCGTATTGGAAAGGAATCAGATGAAACCACACCTTTGAAATCCTTCCTTACCCCTGTTTTTGATTTAGACTTCCTACATAAAATTTTTATTACATGCATGTAATTTGGGCACTCAATCCAGAGTGAAAACTGCTCAAGAAAAAAAAAAAGCAAAAAAAGAGATCCAATGAAATATGATCCTACATCTGCTTGCGTTTACGATTTTGTTACAGTTCACAACTGATCTCTCTCTGTTACCAAAGTAGTTCAGCTTCTCGCTTGCAAGTCCCCCTGCATTAACTTGCAATGATGCAAGAGCGAGTATCGCTATGTTTTGCTCAGTGCTAAATGTACCTACATTGTTTTCTTTATGCTAAATGTATATTCATGCTGAAAATGTATACTCATGTTGAATGCTAGAAATTGATCTTAATCTTTATGCATATTTGATCTAGTTCCCACTTTGAAAATGAATCGATTGATCTTTCTTCCCTCTTGAATTTTACTCTTGAAAAAATAATATTCAGTCTTCCAGATTTACTGAAATTTCTTTCTTTTCTTCTAAGCTTATGATTTTCTTTTTTTGACTCGTGATGTCCAATACTTTCTTCAATCAATGCAATTATCTGCAAATATGCTCTCTAATATGCTAAATAGTCTGCGACTTTGAAAACTTGTGAGTCCAATGGTCTTTGCACGAAGTCTCATATTTCTGTCATCTGTAATTAAGATGCAATAACAGAAAATCTTGGCAGATTTTGCATCTAGAACTACTTTCTTATTTGCATTTAGATTGATATTACCTGGCCCATTTATTGGAACGTTTAAACCTTTCATTAACTTTTTTCCAATTTCATCATGTTCATTTACGGAGTTCAAAATTGTCTCATCTACCGAAGTCCTCCAATTGGAGTTATTTTCGAATTCTGTAGTTTCATTAATATCAGATGCAACTGTACCATCAAACCTTAATGGTAGAATTTCTTTACTTAAATATAATTCTCTGATTATAATTACAGATCTAGTAGCAGAATCCGCAATAGTTGCTTCGGCGGATTTTCTCAATGATCTAAGTTCTTGAAATACAATCAATGGAATCAGGATCTTGAATATTCCATTTCTGATACACTTAAATACTCGTCCACAGTGCTTGAGCCAAATATTTGTGTCCAAGGTAATATAAGTGACATTAGTATCCATTCTATAACCAAGATTACCTTCTAATTGCTTATCGGAACCTCCGTAGCTGGAACCACCAGTATAATCTTGGTCAAAAGATTCTATATCACCTCCATATCTTCTAGTTGGTTGATGAAGTTGATGTAATTGTTGGTGTTGCTGCAGATGTTGAAGATGATGATACTGCATGGGATCCACAGAATTTATTTGCTGGTTGTGGAACTGATTATGGTTAGCTTGGTGTTGGAGATTTTGATACTGTTGTAGCTGTAACTGCCTCAAATTCTGTTGTTGTTGTTGTTGCTGCTGATTCAGGTTTCTATCATCGTACTCATCATCAAATTCACTACCTACATAGCTATCCTCATCTCCTGCAAGATCTTCATCTTCGTCATCTTCTAAATCATCGTCTACGTCTTCACCGACAGCTCCAAACCATGCCTCATCTTTCTGTCTGGGATTAAGTTCATTTGGAGACTTCTGGTAAATATTCTCACTAGAAATTGATTGTAAGAAGTTATTTTGCATAAATCTTCCATCACTCAATAAGAAGTTTTCCATATATGGGAAGACCTCACTAACTTCTAAGTTATCCATATTATCATATGTGTATTTGTCAAAGGCAAACATCTCTTCTGTTCTTACTAAACCGAAATCGTAGACATCTGCGAGTCTCATTGCTAATAAAAGGATTCTTATAATTCTTTCGTCATTAACTTCTTCTTGCAGGTTTTTTCTTTTACTAGTACTAGTACCAGTACCAGTACCACTTAAGCCTCCATTGCTATTGTCAACATTGATAATTGGGCTAGTACCACAAACTGGTAAATCAAATAAGTTTTCATTGGTAACACCAGCTTCTTCTAGATTTGTATAATCAACTTTGGTTGCAATGAAGTTGTACCACAAAGTTCCCCAACATTTCCAAACTTCAGGTAAAAATTCATGTTCATTGAAGTAATTCAAACTGTCTTGTCCTCCTTCAAGATTGAGGTAACCTCTCATCATTGCTTGAAGCTTTGAGCTAGATTGAGTTATTACCAAAATTGAATTCAAGTATTTTATTAATGAGTTCCAAGGAATCAACTTACGGAAAATCCATTGCATCATAGGAGCCAGATTTGGATGTTTGTTTATGGCTTCTCCAACACTTATGAGAAAGTATAGCCATACGATAATATGACTAGTAGAAGCCTGTTTTGGCCCAATCAAATAATGGTGGAAAATACGGATCGACAATTCCAAGACTGATTTGTTAATGAATTGAAGACAAACAAACCAATCACTTACAGAGAGGTCTGAGGCGGTAATAGTTTGACCGTCAACTGCCCCATTGGCAATTGTCAGAGAATTAATATTGGCAGCTTCTTCTTGGACTGCATTTGATGAATTTGAGGTGGATCTACTTTTTCTTTTTCTGTCTTTCTTATCCTTCCTTTCCTTCAATGCCTCAGGGAGTTCAAATAACTTGGCAAATGGATTCCTTGCATCTCCAAATCCTACTAAATGGTTAATGTTAGCAATAGCAAAGAGTGGGCCCTTGTTGAACCAGAAATTTAACTTCTCTATGCTATTTGAAGATTGCATTCCACCAGTGGCTCCGGGAACCCCCTGTTGCAGCAGCAGATGCAATTGCTGGTGCTGTTGCTGATGCTGTTGTTGTTGGTAATATGGGTGATGAGGGTCATTAATGGCGTTGATACCTTGTGGTGCATACAATTCTTTGGTGAAAAAGTTGTATCCATTGGGATCGGAACCGAAAGTTAAACCGTATCTTGTAACTAAGTCAATACCATATTGAAGCTGATTGTCTTGGATGCTGCCATTGTTTCCCAATCCATGGCCGTCATTATTACTATTGGCGCCATTATTACTGCCATTGGCTGTACTTGTACTATTTGAGCTGCTACCTCCGTTGGGGTAAATAGTCAATAACACTTTATGAATTTTAATAAAATCGATGCTTGGTAATTCCAATAAACTTAATATGTTTCTCTGAGTGCAGATATTTTCTACAACAAGTCTTAAATACTGTTGGGTGGGTACAAACGGGTCGTGACAAAATACACTCTTCCCAATATTGACTAATGCATCTAGATTGTCCTGTTGAACTGTGCACATGTGATAATAGATCTTTCCATGACCATACAACGATTTCATGGAAACTGAATACCAATATTCAGCACTTATCTTCCAGTCAATAAATCGCGACAGGTACAAGGCAATAGCCATTCTTGACAAGTCACCTAACTTTTCACCCCACCATCCTTCCATTTCCAAGATGGGGTCTGTTAAATTCAGAATGATGTTGAAACAAAAGGAAATAAAACATGAGCAAATTTCATGGTCTTGGAAGATGTTCATGATATTTTTGAGCACCTCCAAGAATCCCACAATACCATAGACCCACATTCTCCTTGGGATCTTATATAAGTCCACAATATTTTTACCTGTTTTGAAATGAGTCTGGTTCAGTGATGGCTTAAGAGCTGTTACTAGGAAGTCGTAGTAATTGTCAAGAAGGGTTATGTTGTGATGGTACACAGTCCACAAGTCATTGGATAACTCTGAAGTTGTCTTTGTGATGGTAGATGAAGAAATTGGGTGCGTCGACGATGTGGATGAAGACATCGAATTCAAAGATGACAGGAAGGGACCAATACTAGATGTCTGCATTTGAAGCAATTGCGCCTGAGCCTGGGCTTGCGCTTGCTGTTGTTGCTGCTGTTGAAGATGAGTAGATTGGTTTATCTTGATCGTCAAATCAATGCATGCCTTTTGAACAATTTCTTCATAATTGACTATGTTTTTGTACGTTTCCTTTAACTTGGTGGCCAACTGTTGCTCTTCATCAGACATGGTGTGCGCTGTGGTACGTTGTTGTTGTTGTTGTTGTTGTTGTTGTTGATGCTGATGCTGCTGTTGCGATGGTGGAGTGGGTGCAGTAACGAGACTTTGGGCCGTGAATGATTTCTGCAGTGGCTGTGTTGGCGGTTGGGACAGAGACTGCTGTCTGGGCTCTCTACTTTCAAACTCGTTGGAGTCCGGCAGCTCCGAGTTGTTCTGGACCGAATTAATTTGAATGCTTGGACTTGAGGGGACACCGTACGTCGAAGGAGTAGGTGTTTGGCCGTTGAATGCTGACAGTTGTTGTTGTTGCTGTTGCTGTTGCTGTTGTTGTTGAATCAAATTTCGTCTTACAGTGTTTCTCATAATACTGTTGTTTGTACTACTGTATCTGGGAGACAGGGGCACCGTAGGCGTGTTGGGGTAATTGGAACTGTTGTTGGTGGCGGCGATACTGGCAGTCAATTGAGGATTTTGCTGTTCCGCTATGACACCCACACCCGATTGATTCACGTTCGCTGGCCCGCTTGGATTAGTCGGTTGCCGCTTGTTGGAATTCTGAATCAAGTAGCTCGATAAAGAATTCTGACGTTTTTGCTGAGTCGTGGTCGTAATGGGTTGTATACTATTCTGTGACACAATGGGCTGCTGTTGACTGGCTTGTATGGGATCACTGGAATGACCTGTATAATCCATCAATCCATGCGATAGATCCATAAAGATATAGTATACGAATATATCCTAAAAATGTCCAGGAATAGTTGGAGATACCTGTTGTTTTTTTCTTGCTAGCGTCTTTGATTCGGTTTTCGATTTCTGAGCGAAAAAGTGCGTGGTTTTTTTTTTTTTTTCTTGCCTATTAGGTTACAAATAGTATACGAGATTGACCAAGGCTAGGAGAAGGTGAGTGCAAACTGGTGAGACAATTGATCCGGGGATTGCAAGAGCGACAGAAGATTCGGCACGAGAGAGTGAGGGTGAGTGAGGGTGAGGGTGGGCGGAGAGGGAGAGTGAGAGTGAGAGGGAAAAAAGAAAAGGTACAGGGTAGCGTGCGAGTGGCCTGGTGTAAGTGAGTGCAAGTGCAAGAGCAAGAGCAGGAGTTAGTGGGTCTGGGTGCATGTTTCTATGCGATTGTGTGCAATTCAAACTGGGTGTTGTACATTGCGTAAGAGACTTCGTTCCTTTTTGTTCCCTCACAGTTTATGGAAGTCGAATAAAATAACGCCGGTGAATAGTCATCAGAAAATATAAAATATGACAAATAGCGTTTTCTACAGTATGGAAACTCCACATGGCCCGAAAGGGAACGAAACAAAATTGGAGGGTGCTTCTGGTCTTATTCAATTTGTAAAATATTACTCAATTTATACCTCTTACATCCTATCTCCATAAAGCAGGCTGTCTTCCGCTATATCCCTGTGCAAATGTTTCACGTTTATGGAACACATATTTCCGGGGCAAGAAAATAACTAATCTGTTTCCCCAAGTTTGGGGGAGGTCAGAGTTATGCGCGCGAGATTTGGGCTACTCCATTGTTCTGGGAGCAGATTACTTTCACAGTGGTCCTAACAAACCACGGGAACTCAAAAAGTTAAAAAAATATATGTATAAAAAAAGAAAAAGAAAAAGAAACAGATAACACTGGGAATCTTCTACTCTTTCAAGTACTCAATTAAATGGCAGCATGTCTGATTTCAATTGAGATCCTTTCTGCCCTTAAAGGCGTAAGCTTCTCCATATTACTAAAATTTAGTCCCGCAATGATCCAAAACTCGTCACCGCTGGGATGATGCGAATTTCGTCATTCTGAAGGTAATCCCGTATTGTGCATGGCGAGAATAGAGGGTGTAAGGATAGTGAACAGTACCATGAAAGTACCATGAAAGTACCATGAAAGCAACATGAAAGCACCAAGGAATGGACTAGTCATACTACTGCTGCGAGGAAATCGATACTGCCTTAAGATGACACTTGGCTCTACTCTGTGGCCCTATTTGTCGCATCGTTAATACGAAAATAGATGCTTCATGATGACAGGGTCACGTGATCTCTAACTCCTAAACGGGCTCTTGCTCTATTTCTTTTCCGCTTACTAAATTATTGCGAACGTTCAGAGTACCAGATAGTAGAATGGAAATGCAGATGAGTATATCTGTAACCCCGATATGCTTTTCATTATCTAAAGTTGAATATACTTACTAGCCTGGGAAATAGGGCCATCTCTTCGACAACGCTTCTCTATCTGAATTTTGATTCCTTGATTTTATTTCTACAATCTGACTACTGAATGACTATATCGAATGCGAATTGACTGACATAAAATTCTAGCGCTGATAGCAAAACAATACAGCTTGAACAAATGGTTTCAAAGTTGCAAAGTAAGTGTCACAACCTCTGCATCCCCTGTATTCATAGGGTCGACAGTTCCATGATGAACCACGCAGTATTTCTTTTACGCATACATATATGTGGTTGTGTGTGCATGTTTCTTTCTGTCTTGCACTTTCTTGCTTTCCTTCTTTTTGTTCTTTTGATTCATCAAACTTTCATCATAGGTATCCTTTATCAGTCCATCATTCACATTCAACTCACTCATTCAATAATCATATTACTACAATGATATTTCGCTTCAAATCTGTTTATCTTCTAAACGTATAAAAGCATTTATTTAACAAAAAACTAGCACCTTTTTGAGGAGTAGTTTCCCAACATATAAAATAATACCCAAAGCATCTATTTCAACTTCTTCTTTGGTCTTAATTGGTTGGTGTGTCCACACTTTCTCTTACGACAGTTGGTAGCTCTTGGTGGCAATCTAGCGTAACATTTACGACAAATAGACTTTTCACAGTTGTACTTTGAGGCTAAAGCCTTTAAGGATGGTTCAATCATCTTGGTGTATAAATGTGTTGAATAAAGTGTTAAGTGTGAAGTTTTTTCTTTTTTTTGGTTTTGAAAAATTTTGTTTCAGTCGAAAGTTTCGCGGGTGGTGGAGCTGCTGAGGGAGCGGGTGTAGCACAAAAGGGGACGTGATATGAGGGCACGAGCCCTAATAACTACATATTGGTGGAAAGAGTGCGGTGACTGTGTGAAGTTACAGCGAGGTTGAGTGTACCTGCAGGACAGATGGACCACAGTGGGCTGGGACAGCGCCACTTGGGCGAGCAAATGCGCACGTGACAGAAATTAATTTTTAAGTGTTGCAGTTCGATGCAGGCAAAAGGTTATAGAGAGTCAATCTGGACGTAACAAAGGGGAGAAATGAGACTACCTAGTGTAGAGAATGAGAGAATGAGAGAATGAGTGAATGAGTGAAGCGCAAGACCATTGTAAACAATTTTAATTTTTGTCTGTAAATGCAGTTCTGCCTCTTCAAAGCATCCTGTGAGGACTGTCCAGCGCTGAGCAAGAGCTTAGCTGCGCTCCTCTTCGCTCTCCGAAAACCTCTATTTAAATGCGCTTTCTGCTCTCTGCATACCACTACGCTTTTCTGTTTGACTTTCAAGCAAGCTCAGGCATTTATCGGAGATATAATGGTGCTAGTAAGGCTGGCTCAATAGGTTGCAGAATCCTGCATGGTAGAGATACCAGAGATTCTCATCCATGTCACTATATGCAGAACTCATACCCCATGCCCTGGCTAGCTGCTGAAGGTTGCAGGCGGAGAGTGGAACAGAATGTATAAACCACCCCAGAAAAAGACTGCTGGAAGAGCTAGATTTCGACTGATCGGAACGGATGCATACTAGCAGACCTACCTAACTGCGAGATACCTTCTTCTTTTGTAGACCTCTTCTGCCTTTCCTTTTTCTCCCTCGTACTCTTCGTTATCGATTGTTATCAAATTACCAAATCGAGTTGCATAGATCCCGCACTCTTCAAGCTGCTCAGGCCAAGTCCAAAGCGGATTTTCCATGACACAAAACTGCTACCACGCAAGAACAGAAAAATCAGGAAAAAACCCGCTGGCTAGGCAACCACAGACTAGATCGCTGTAATTGCACGTTTAACTGTAAAAATTTAGACTGCAGTGCTCATTTTTTTGCTCGTTACACTGTAGGAACCATGAGTGAAGAGAACGGGAACCACCCGGACGAAAATAAATATGGAATTGACGATGGATTGGAAGAAGTAGTGCAGCTTGAAGATCAGCAGCGATATGATCAGCAGCAACTGGATCACGCAGACCCAAAAGAAGACGAACAAGAGCACTTTCAAGGCATTAATTCAGTAGCAGGGGAAGAGGTTGAGAATGCCATTGGAGACATACAAGATGAAAATGCCCCCGAGCTTCACGCCCAGCATGTAGACTTGTACGAGCCGGAACCAGTAATAGAAGAACTGGTACCAGTCGCAGAGGATATACAAGATCCTGTAGAAGTTGCTCAAGTGGCTGCTCAAGAACCAGGTGCAGCTGACCAAGAACATCCTGCTGACTTAGATATAGCAGTAGCTCAAGCACCTATATCAATTGAGGTTGAAGAGGTGGACACAACGCAACCCAACCACATCAACTCAGATTATGACCAGACACAGACTGGCCAAACTGTTGCTCCATTTCAGAATTTCACTACGCCACTGAAGTCACTCCCACCACTAAAGGATATTGAAAAGATTTCCACACCCAAGTCATTTTCAGTGGCACGAGATGATGATTCTATAATGGAGTCGTCACCTATGCACCAGCACATACCGCTCCATAGACTTGCGGAGGAACCAGAACAACAGCAACAGCAACCAGACCAACAGCAGGGACAGCATCTTGTGGTGGATGCTAATAATTCAGTACTCGGGGAATCTTCATCTCCCAACATTGTGCATAGAGAGTTGCTCAACATCCCTCAAAGTGAGTTATCATCGCTCTCAGCTTCATCTTTAGCACTTCTTCAATCTAAAATAGCATCTTATGATGACATGCTTTCAGAAATTTCATTAATGAAAGTTAATCAAGAGCAAATGGTTCAAATTCAAGATAAGAAATCCAAACTAATTCAACTGAAACTCCAAAAGTTGACCGAAAAGAACCTGAAACTTCAAGAAGAATATGATAACCTCCATTCCATAATACCTGGCCTTCAGCACTCAAATGATGAATTGACTTCAACAAAGTCTAGATATGAGAGAAGAATCTCTGAATTGGAAGAGCAAGTAAAGGCTGCGGAAGAAGAGAACTCTAAATTTTCACAATCTAGAGACTCTGAACTCACCAAGATTTACGAACAGAATGATTCTTTGACCAAGGCTAACTTGGATATGAATACCAAACTTGGACAACTTTCCAAAGAACTTAACGATGTAAGGAATGAAAAATTCGATATTCAGTTGAAATTGAACAAAAGCAGCAACGAGTTGACCTATACTAAGACTCAAAAAGAATGGTTCCAGAAAGAATTGAAGTCTGTCCAAGAAAGATACACTGAATTAATTCAAAAACATGAAACAGAATATGTTATTACAAACAACAAATTGACAAGAATAACTGCTCAAGTAGAAGGATTGACCAAAAACAACGAATCACAAAAAGAGCAAATATTACAATATCAAAGAGATATAGAATCCAATGTTAACAAAAACATTAAACTAAGCAATGAATTGGACGCTCAAAAGAGAAAGTTTGTAACTGATCTTCAATCAAAGCAAGAATTACTCGAATTGACTCAAGTTCAATCTGAAGAGAGAAGTAATAGAGTTGAGCAGCTAGAAAGCTATGTTAAAACGGTAAAGGAGAAATTCACTGCCTCTATCGAACAATTGGAATCAGCAAGCGATGCCAAGCTGCAAAAGATTGCCATCTTGACGGAAAAATTAAAAAGAACAGAAGAAGTATTGGATGAAGAGTTACGTAAGGAAACAGAATTACCTAAATTGCTGGAGCTGGCAGAAAAATTGGCTGCATCTTCTGGTGGTGGAATGTCATTATCAGCATTATATACTGAATTTTCTCATTTAAAGAAGCAGTTGGTTATGGAAAGAACTCAAAAAGAAAAGTTGTCTTACCAGTTGGAAACTTTCATTGAAGAATTAGAGGCCAAGAAGCCGGCAATTTCGAACTACCGTGAGCAAATCAAATTTTACGAAAATTCATTAAATGATTCATTCAATAAGATTGAAGCGATCAGAATGGAAAAGTTGGATGTTGAAAAATTCTCTAAGACACTTAGCAGTAGAGTCAACGGATTGGAAGGAGAGTTAGTTAGTATGAAGATGCTTTGTAAAGACTTAGGAAGACAACTATGCTTCTATTTAATTCACTCTAGAGTGAGAGATGGTGATGAAGAACCTTTGACTGTTGTCGAAAGGAAGGCCATTGAGAACATTCTAGCTAAAAGTAATGCAAATAATGGAGTAGGAGAAGAGGAGAGTGACACAGACCAGTTAATATCCGAAAGATTGGTAGGTTTCGCATCAATTATTGATTTACAACAGAAGAATCAAGAATTGTTGACGGTTGTTAGACAATTAGGCAAACAGTTAGAAAACAAAGATGAAGAATTTTCTAAGGATATCGAATCTGTTGCTATTGATGAAGCTAAAGAAGCAATATTAACCTTACAAAATGAATTGGAAAGTGTTAATTTGAAGCTAAGCTCGGTTGAGAAGGAAAGAGATGTATTTAAAGGAATGACAGAATCGTTTGGATCTCACGGAAGTGGAGTTTCTCAGAACGGCTTGCTAAATGGAAGCAAAAATGGAAGCGTTTCATTCTTACAAGATTCAAATAATGATTTGAAAGCCCAGTTAAAGAACCTTGAGCAAACTTTAAACAATGTTCGTACACAATCGGAGGCTCAAATTAGAGATTTGAATAGTAAACTTCGTCTTTCCGAAGAAGAAAAGAATTCTTTATCGTTAAAAGTAAACAATTTGCAACATAATGTCGATTTAACTGAAACGAGATTAAGAAATAGTGAAACGACCTTCAAGAACCTTCAACAGGAATTAAATAGAGTAAAAGAAGATGGTGAATTTTGGAAACAGCAAACATCAAAACAAGAAACAGCATTTATTACCTCGTCAAATAAGTTGAGGTCAAGTGAGTCCGACGTTAATAAACTCACAATTGAGTTGAAAAACTTGCATAATGAAAGAAATATCTGGAAGTCTCTTGAGAAGAGCTTAGAACTGGATATTAACCAATTAAAGATAGACAAGAATCAACTCAATGAATTTGTGACAAACTTGCAATCTCTCTTGAAAGATCGTGAGACTTCCTCCAAGCAATTTTCAGATAGATTGAACCAATCTATAGAGAACTATCAAAAGTTACAAGAAAGACTTAATGAAAAAGAAGAAAGAATTATGATTTTATCAAGTCAAAGTGAACTCTCCATGAAAGCTCAGAACACAAAGTTGGAGCAATTGCATGAACTAAGTCTGTTACTAGTAGATACTAGAGTCAAACTAGCCGAGAGGAATGGTGAAGTTGAAAGACTAGAACAGAAAATTGAAGAGCTTTCTACTGGTAGACTATCACAGGTACCTGTGGTCAATGGTGCTACAGTTGGTAACTCCTCTGAGGATGATGAGAAAATATCTCTTGAATTAGATTCACTTCGTAAAGAATTGAGAATATCAGAGAAGCAAGTAGATGAATTTTCTTCGATCGCAAAATCTGCTGAAGAAGCATTAGGTAACTTAACTTCAGCATTTGAAGACTATAAAGTTGAATCTGAGAGACAAAGGAGAGATTTGTTGGCTGAAAAGACTAACTTACAAAATGAAATACTGAACTTAAATGAATCGCTTAAGCATGCTAAGGATCAGATTTTAAGTCAAAATGACAGTCATACTAAAGAGTTGGACGCTCTCAGAAACGAGTCACAGGGTTTCAAATTGAAAGCTGATGCGTATGATGAGTTACAGAAGGATTACGAGGTGAAATTGACTAACATTGGTAATGACTTGCAAGTTCAAATTAAACTAGCTGGTGATTTCCAAACTAAATTCCAACTGGAATTGAAAAAAAACGAAGAGTTGAATGAAGTAATTGCTAAATTGAAGAGTGATTCGGCTAATGTCGATGAGCTTATTAATAATTTGAAGAGTGAATTAGATGAGGTGAAGACTGAATTACTGGACAAGTTGAATGCAATTGAAGAAGTCAAAGAAAATTCACAGGCAGAAATTGCTAAGAATGCAAGCAAATTGCAAGATCTTCAAACTCAAAATCAAATTTTACTTAATCAACTTCAATTACAAAAGAATGGTTCAAGTGAAGGTGTTGATGCTGATGAAAGTGAAGGATCGTTGAGACAGGTTGTTAATTATTTGCGTCATGAAAAGGACTCTGCGGAAGCAAAATTGGGTGTTAAGGTTGAAGAACAAACAAGATTGGAATTAAAATTGAAGCATATTAATCTTGAGCTTGAGTCAACCAAATCAGATTTACGCAAGGCATTGAGCTCTTCGAATGAGCTTTCAGATTTGAGTAAAGAACACGAAAAATTGTTAGAACAATTACAGCAATTGAACATTTTGAGAGAAAGTAACACTACTTTAAGAAATGAAAATAATGAAAACATTGGTAAAATTCAAAAGCTAACAGTGGAATTGGAGATTGTTAGAAAACAATTGGACCCGTTGCAGAAACAAATCGTGTCTCTCAAGACTGAAGGAGAAGTTAAAGATCAAAGCGTTAAGCTAATTTCAGAAGAAATGGAAAGACTTAAGACAAGAGTCAGCAACAATATTAATAACAACAATCAAAAGAGTGATTCAATATCCTCCACTGAGTTTGAAGCACTTAAGAATGAAAATGAAACCTTAAAGAAGAGCAATAATGAATTGGGACAGACTATTAAGGAGTTGAAAGACAAAGTAGAAAGTAGTGAATTGGAAGTTAAAAATATGAAAGAAGAAAACGAAAAGTTAGATGTGAGATTCAATAAGCTTAAGGTAGAAGCTCAAGATAAGTTGAAGAGAAGAGCGGGTGAAGTGAAAGATTTGAAGGATACGATTGAGCAATTGAAGGCTAATTTGGAGAAGACAGAGCAACTGTTGATTGAGACACAAAAGACGCCAACTGAGGGTGCGACCAACGCATCCTCTTCTGCTGCTGTGGAGGAACTTAAATCTAAATTTGATGAAGTTGAGAAAGAAAAATCACGTCTCGTTAAGGAAAACAACGATTTGAACTTAAGACTTAAGAAGGCAGAAGCCTCAACTGCTGAGTTCAACAAATTGAAGGAAGAATATGAAGCTAAATTAAAATCAGCTAATGATGCTTCAAAGGATAACTCAGAGCAAAGTAAGCGATTGGAGCAAGAATATCAAGCTAAACACGATGAGTTGTACCAGACTATCAAAGAAAAACTTGAGAAAGAAAATGCCGAGGCATTGAAGGAACACATTTCCAAGATTGAAGGTAGTGATGCAGTCCGTGAAGAACTTAAAAAGCAATTTGAAGAAGAGAGTCAAAAGTTAAAGGAAGAGTTTGCCAAGGATTTAGAAAAGACTAGGACTGAAACAAGGAAACTCAGTGAAAAGACTACTGAGTTGAGGGTTAAAATGTTAAATAAGAAAATTGCGAAGTTAACAGAACAGGTTTCTGGATTGAAAAAGAATGCTCCTTCATCTCTCCCAGCTACTCCACAAGCTCAACAAGGAAACAAGTCGGATGCCACGTCGGTTGTCAATCGTCCTGCAATCGATAGAGCTAATACTCCTGTTCATCAGAACCAAGGTAAGCAGTCAAACCAACAACAACAACAAGAAAAGCAAACTCAACAGAATACCCCAAATGCTCAAAATGCACAAAAGAGACCATTTGGTGGTAACAAGTCTCAGGTCTCAAACAAAAGACCTAAAGAGTAAACTTAATGTATAGTATAATTTTAATAAAAGTATAGAGATAGATAAATAATATCTTGTATGGGTTGTAGCAAACTGAAAATTTCCTCCTAGGGAGGCATAACTTAACGAAGGACAGAGCCCAATTGACATTACATAAGTGCCACAGGCATTAGGGAGTCCCTAAGAGTGACAATATGCAGGAATCAACATCTATGCAACAAAAGCACCTTAAACATATGTCTTTGAGCTACAAAGAAGAATTCCTTTACTACTTTAGAACGTTCAAAATACATTCACCATGTCAGAAACGTTAAATCACAAGCTTGTGCTTAGAATACCCTTTGAGACCAATAAGCAATCCGAAATAGCATGCAACTCGTTAAATCCTGACCCAATATTGAAATCTCGAGAACTTGATGTAGAATTTGAAATTGATAAAAATACTTTGGTGTGCAAATTCTCTGGAACAAGCGATAGAGTTATAAGAGTTGCGATAAGCAATGTCATAGACAATATAAAGACAATAATAGAGTGTATGGATGAGTTTGATGAGAAGAAGGAAGTCATATTCACCTAATTAATGAGTACGACACCCTGTTTGATGTGCACATTTCGTAGAGTTAACTTTTTAAATAAAATATTCCTGTATATGTTGTTCGAAGGAAGTCAAAGACATCCCTTAATAATAGAGAAGTTTTCAGTATTTAAGATCTAAATATAACCAAATCACTTAGCATAGACACAAGATTGTATATCTTACCTCTTTTGTTAACCTCTACTATATTTCCTTACCTATTTCTTTCATCTGAAGGAGTTCAATCATATGATCCGATGTTCCTGTATATAGTCCCGATATGAATACATCTTCGATTTTCATAGCTACGAAAGAAAAAGAGGCAGAGACTACTAAACACTGGGTTGTCTGTTTAGCCTTCATCTTTGTACTATGATTGGGCGTATAAAGCCGATTAGTATCCTGATTGAATCAAGGAGAAGTCTATTTTCGAAGTTTAAAAATGCTGCGAAGACAGTTGAAGATTTTAAGAAAGATGATACTTTCCATCATGAATACTCCATTAGGCCAGATACTTTCGCTTTTAAGGTGTCTGGTAAAAACGAAATGAGTAGATCTCTTACAACCAGAAAGCCGAGGAATGATAAAGATGCAGCTCCTAAGGAAGATGAGCATTTAATTGGTCGCCATCCCTTCCAAAAAAAAGTTGCATCTAATAAACCTGGCTTCAATGTAGTCGACTTTGTATATAGAAATGCTACAAATTATCCATTTGCAGACAAAACCCCACAAGAAGTATTTAACTCCTTTCCTCTGATTAATTCTAAAAGGTTGGGACAAAGAAAAGTACGCCCTCAAAAAGTGAAAATGCTCACTTCAGATTTCATTGAAGACTCATTGTACAACCCACACTATGGGTATTTCTCGAAAGAGGTCGAAATTTTCCACCAAGATAAACCATTTGATTATAACAATATTGACGACGTGGATGATTTTATGGATCATTGGCAGAAAGCATATGCAAAGTATGAAGACCCAAAGGTAAAAGATGCCAAAAGACAAAATGCTGAGAGGAGTGATAGAAGTTCAAGTAAGGCAGCTGCAAACTATGTAGCATCTGAAGCAATTGCAAGGGAAGCTGCTGCAGCAACTAACACGAATTCAAAGTTTGCTAAAAGAGCACATAAAATTCAAGAAAAGGAGCTTATACAGTCTGCTCAATTCCAACAAACGAAAAATTCGATGCAATTATGGCATACGCCAACCGAACTTTTCTCTCCTTACTATGGTGAAGCATTGGCAAGATATTTACTTGTAAACTATAAACTAAAGGGCGACTATCCATACCATGACCTTATCATATATGAGATGGGTGGTGGTAATGGTACACTCATGTGTAACGTTCTCAACTATATCAAAGTAAATGAACCTGACGTGTACGCAAGAACTAAGTATAAGATTATCGAAATCTCAAACCAGTTGGCTACAAAGCAATTCAATCACGCAATTTCTGCTAAGCTTATCCTGCAAGGATTAGATACCCTGAAAGTTGAGATCATAAATAAGTCCATTTTCCAGTGGGATACCGTAGTCAGTGAGCCCTGTTTCTTCATAGCATTAGAAGTATTTGATAACTTTCTGCATGACTTAATCAGATATGACAATACTACTGGTGAACCTTACCAGGGACACGTATTGATTGATGAGCATGGGGATTTTTATGAATTCTTCACTCCAGAATTGAGTCCTTATTCTAACGCCTTCTTACAATTGCGTGAAAATGGGAAGCATCTGGTTTTACAGAGCTCAACAACTACTGCAGGAAAATTACAAACTTTAAAAAGTTTAGTTCCAATTTTAACTGACAAAGATGCAATTCATCCGTTACTTCAATCATCTCTGAAATTGCGTTGGAAGCATACCCTCTTACCCTTCAAAGATAATTTAACTCCAGGAGAATTCATCCCTACAAGACTTTTGGAATTTTTCCAGATCTTGAAACATAAGTTTCCCCAGCATCTGTTATTGTGCCTGGACTTCCATTACTTACCAAAGGCTATTCCTGGCTACTTTAATGGACCGGTAGTTCAAACTGTTCTACAAGATACGATGGTTGATGTAAGTACCTACATGTGCCTACAGGGATATTTCGATATCATGTTCCCTACAGATTTCCAATTAGCAAGCGAAATTTATAAGCAGGTTACAGGTAAAGTAGCTAGGGTCGAGCTGCATAAAGAATTTTTGGAAGAATGGTCAGAGGTGGAAATGACAGAGACTAAAAAGGGTGAGAACCCAATGCTTGATTTCTATGGAAATGTAAGCTTTATGTCACTGTAGCTGATTAGTTCGGGAATTTTACATTTTAAGCTAATTTCCGAAGAGATCAATTAACTGATACCCACATCTATTTCTTAATCGTGTATATATTCACTAATTACATTCTACATTCTTTATAAGCAGGGCAGACACTCATGTAGCAGCGATTTATCATTTCAATGAGGTATATTAAGAGAAATTTATTTACTTCAGCCCAATTGAGGTGATTTTCTACTAAAAAGAGCAAATCCACTGGTGTAACCTGATTTAATGCATAGAAAGAGCTTATCAAAATGAAGAACGTTGGGTTTCTTTGAGTTTTCAAGAAATTTTTGAAGAATCTTCTAACGCATTGAAGGTAGAGATAAAAATTTCCAAATTGGAATGCTGTATTCTCCGATTGCTGGCAAATACTTAAAGAATCAGTCGGATTTCAATCAAGCGTAAAACGGATATAAACACTGGCATTAAACTTCTTCGGTAAAGAGTCAATGAGTATAAAACACAATTTAGATTGATTTTAATACAGCAGTACATTTCTTGCTCGTAGCAATTTGCCTCTTCTTTTATTAAAACTAAGTGGATGTGGCATTGGTTACAATTTCACTTACACTAGAGAGATCTTGCATGAAAGTCTAAATTTCGAACAGCACCACTGCAAAGAAACTTTAAAAGAAGATGCCAGGTAAGAAGAGATGGATCATCTTGTCTTTTACATTGCTTCGTATTTCTATGTAACGCTTGGCTGCAAAAAATAATTTTAAGAAATGTGTCAGATATCCAACTGTGTTCTAGAGTGTAAGAGGAATGTAACCGAAGAAAATAATTACTCTAGCTAAAGAGTAACCTTCAATTGTGTGAGTTTATATATTCCCCGGCGTGATATGATGGGCCAACCACACCTTTCCTCTTCTCTTCATAATAAAGCAATCCCGGAGTACGTGGTAACCTTTCTAGTTTCTCTGCGCAACTCTCCTCGCATTCATGGCACTATGGCACAAGTTACTCATGATATCAAGGTGTATGGCCTTATTCCCTTGGGAAGGTTGCATTTACTAAAAGCGGAATTTTCAAAGTCACGGGGTAAGGCATGAGTGCGGCGATGAGATATTTTTGAGATGAGCTGCTTAGTCCGCCCCACTATCTGCAAATAAGCTTCAGCCGGGTATCACCGCTACCGGCAAACGCTAGAGGTTTCCATACAAATCACGTCCTGTAATGGTTTGGTCGTATAGAAAAAAGAGATGGCTAGTTTCAAGCCGTTATGTCTTTGACATGATAACATTGAAGACTTGAAGATGCTTAAGCTGCTATATCATGTCTGACGGATAAAGCCTGACTGAATTTTGACACTCGTAAAACTGTGGTTCAGCCTTTCTTATCTCTATCGTATACTTGAAAGCCACACCTTAAAAAGTCGGTTTAATCAAGTAACTTGTGCATAAGTATTGGGTAAACTCTTATATATTGGTATATTTTCTAGGCATGAATCTTCCGAAGGTGTGAAAAAAAAAAAATATTTTTTTGCTTATGGCTATTTGCACCCAATCGCTTCCGGAGGAAACCCACACTATAAATACGAAGCAATTGCTACCAGTTTTGGCTCTGTTTTGATTGTAATTCTCATTTCAACTCTAACCACATATAATGAGTACATTGAAGAACCTCAAATGGGGATTTTTACCAACTAGAAGGATAGTGGATGAATTTCCAATCATCGACCCAATAGTGCAAGTTCACGCAACTAAGAGCAATGACTCAACTGAAAAAGATGATACCAAAGCATTAGAAAAATCTGACAAAGAAAGTAGTAAGGACGAAGTTGAATCTTCCGATGAGGTTCTCGAATACAGAGATGAAAAAAATCGTCCATGGTGGAAATTCTTTGACGAATATGAATACAGAATAACAAAGAAGTCGAAGAATAAGCAAAAGTGGTTCAAATGGTTTCATGAAGACGATACCCCAGAAGAAAGAAGACTTATCTTAAAGTTGGATATCATCTTGGCATTCTATTCCCTTGCTGCTTACTGGGTAAAATACTTGGACCAGACAAATTTGAACAACGCATACACTGCTGGTTTACAAGAGGGTATTGGTATGAAAGGTAACGATTTGGTCAATACGCAAGTCCTTTTCACTGTAGGTAACATAGTCTTCCAATTGCCGTTTATGTACCTTTTGTGGGGTGCTCCACTTAACTATATTTTACCTTCCTTGGACATTATTTGGTCCATTATCACTATTTGTGTTTCCCAGGTAAATACCGTGCCTCAATTGAAGGCATTGAGATTCCTTATTGGGTGCCTTGAGTCTCCGCTGTACTTCTCATACCAGTTCTTATTCGGTTCTTGGTATAAGCTGTACGAATGCTCAAGACGTTCTATGATTTTCTATTTGGGTCAATATTTGGGTTTATTGACATCTTCCTTATTATCTGGGTCGATTGTCGCTCATTTGAAAAGTGGAATGGCGCCTTGGAGATGGATTTTCATCATTGATGGAATTATTTCTATTGTTGTTGGTATAATTGGATTCTACGCAATTCCAGGTACTCCTAAGGATTGTTACTCTATTTTCTTATCTGATGATGAAATTAGACTTGCTAGAAAAAGATTAGAAACCAACGAAACTGGCTCAAGACCTGATACAGGTACTGGACCTAACGCAAATCCATTGTATAACTCATTCTTGGACTTGCAGTTATGGAAACAAATTTTAACTAGTTGGGAAATTTACGTTTTAATTCTTTTCAACGTCTTCTGTTGGAACAATAATAACGGAACTTCAGGTGCTTACCTTTTATGGTTGAAAGCAGAAGGTTTCGGCCCAGCCAGACGTCAAGATTTGGGAGCTTTGACTCCAGGGTTAGGATTGCTCTGGTTGTTTTTAACCTGTACCTATGCCGATTTGTTTAAATCCCGTTGGCTGGCAATCATCATTTCACAATTGTTTAATATAACTGGTAACGTTCTCTTGGCAGTATGGGATGTTCCAAAGGGAGCCAAATGGTTTGCCTGGTGTTTGCAGTACTTCGGTTGGGCAATGGCTCCAGTATTATACTCTTGGCAGAACGATATTTGCAGAAAGGACGTGAGAAAGAGATCGGTGATTTTAGTAGTGATGAATATCTTGGCCCAAACTTCCACTGCATTTATTTCAGTCTTGGTGTGGAAAACTGTTGAAGCTCCAGAATATTTCAAGGGTTTTACATTCACCGCATCTAGTGCCTTAGCTCTTTCGGTATGGACCTTTGTCGTCTTGTGGTACTACAAGAGAGATGAAAAAAAATCAGCTTCTGAAAGAGGAATAATTATTTATGATTCATCAGTAGAAGAACTTGACCCTAGCAAAAAGAATGCTGTAGATAGCAAGCAGGAAGTGGAAGATATCTAGGAAGCTCGTTAATTAGAGTAATAACCTTAACCGTATATATATATACATATCGATTTATAGATCTAACAGGTAGTGATAATATAAGTATACTAATGTGAACACCCTCTAAGAGTTCATGTAAGGAAGTTGATAGTAGGGTTAAGTGTCCAGTCTGTACTACAATGTACATCTCTAATGACACTCTGCATGTGCAGGACCAAAATATGCAGCAGTTCTCTATGCCAGGCAGCAGGATGCAAATTCATTGATGGAAGTCTTTCACAGTCAGTGTACTTCTGACATTTCTCTCTTTTTCTTTAGCAATATGGTTTAAATCTCTCGTTTTCAATAGTACCTTCGAATTTATCTTAACCACGGCTCTTGTGCTAAGATTAACCCACCCCGCCATCTCTACTCCATTACGTCAACTCATCGAGAAACCGAAAAAACCCAAATCTGAAAAATTCGGTACAGAAAGAAAAAAAAATAAAATAAATAAAAAATTAATCTTGACTACATCTCTTTAAGGAACTAGACCATACAATGGGAGTTCCAGCTTTATTCAGATGGTTATCTCGTAAATATCCTAAGATCATTTCACCGGTAATTGAAGAAGATACAGTGACGGTTAATGATGTTGTTGTAGGAAGTAAATATAGTGACTCCAACCCCAATGGTGAATTGGATAATTTATATCTCGATATGAATGGGATTGTGCACCCGTGTTCTCATCCAGAACATAAACCTGCGCCAGAGACTGAAGATGAGATGTTTTTAGATATCTTCACGTATACTGATCGAGTTCTTATGATGGCCAGACCAAGGAAGGTGTTGGTGATCGCTGTAGATGGTGTTGCTCCTAGAGCCAAGATGAATCAACAGAGAGCGAGAAGATTTAGATCTGCTCAGGAAGCTAAAATTGCCCATGAGGAGAAGGAGAGACAAATTGAAGAGCGTGAGCTTCGTGGTGAATCCATTGACGAAGCTCTCAAGGGGAAAAAGTCTTGGGACTCTAATGCAATCACTCCAGGTACTCCCTTTATGGATAGACTTGCTGAGGCTCTTAGATATTGGGTTGCGTATAAATTGGCAAACGACCCTGGTTGGGCCAATTTGCAAGTTATTATCTCAGATGCCACTGTCCCTGGTGAAGGAGAACATAAATTAATGAATTTCATTAGACTGCAAAGGCTGGACCCTGAATACAACCCCAATACTAAACATTGCATCTATGGATTGGATGCAGATTTGATTTTCCTTGGATTAGCTACACATGAACCCCATTTTAGGGTCTTAAGAGAGGATGTTTTTGCCGGAAACTCGAGGCAGTTGAAGATCAGTGATCAAATCCTGATGACCCAGGAGCAAAAGGATAATTTAACTGCTCAAGATTCCAAGAAACCATTCCTCTGGCTTCACGTAAACGTCTTGAGGGAATACTTGGAAGTTGAGCTTTTCAATCCTCAATTGCCCTTCCCATTTGACTTGGAAAGAGCTATTGATGATTGGGTTTTCATGTGTTTCTTTGTGGGTAACGATTTCCTTCCTCATTTGCCGCTGCTTGACGTTAGAGACAATGGTATTGATATTTTAGTAAACTGCTGGAAGCGGATTTTACCAAGATTGAAATCTTATATCACTTGTGATGGGAATTTGAATTTGGATGGTGTAGAAAAATTATTGAATGGTTTATCTTATAAGGAAGATGAAATTTTTAGGAAAAGACATGACCAAGAGAAAAGAAGAGAGGAAAACGATAAGAGGAGGAAAACTTTCCAAGAAGAAGAAAAGGCGTTAAAGAACCAATATATCCCACAGGTATCTAAAGGATCTGACAAGGCACCATTACAAGCGGATGTCAACATGCCCTTGATGACTACAGGAGGTGAACTCATTGAAGGGTATGCCCAATTGCTGAACAAGGAGATTGTACAAAATAGAGCTACTATAACAAAAGCTAATATGAGCAATGCGGAAGCAGCTGCATCTTTGAAGAAATTGCTTGAGAGTAAAAAGGAAGGTTCCGCTGTGGAGGCAATCAAGGAAGCTAATCAAGAAGATTCAGAATCAAGCTCTGCTATGGATACTTCTGCAGTTGGCACTCCTGTAGCTCACAACAATAGCACTGAGTCAAAGAAAAGATCAGCCGATGAGATCGTTGAGAACGAACCGGATGAAAATGGAGATGCTGTGAGAATGTGGGAACCTGGTTACCACAAACGTTACTACCAGACGAAGTTCGACATAATCAGTAAAGAGGAAATTGACTCGCAACGTAAAGACTTGGTTAGATCTTACATCGAGGGAATTTCTTGGGTATTATTGTACTATTACCAAGGTTGTCCTTCTTGGCAATGGTACTACCCCTACCATTATGCTCCATTTGCTTCTGACTTTGTCGATCTTAAGAGCATAGTAGGAGATCAAGGTGTCAAATTTAAATTGGGAGAGCCATTTAGACCCTTTGAGCAATTGATGTCAGTTTTACCAGCTCTGTCAGGTTACAACTTACCTTTAGTTTTCCGTGACTTGATGTCGAACCCTGATAGTGAAATCATTGACTTCTATCCAGAAGATTTCAAAATTGATATGAACGGTAAAAAGATGAGTTGGCAAGGGATTGCTTTGTTACCGTTTATCGATGAAACTAGATTACTAGATGCGGTCAGGCTGAAATATAATGAATTGACTGAAGACGAGACTAGTAGAAATACTAATAAACAAGATGTGTTGTACATACTGAGTCAAAACAAAAACCATCTGAGATTTATCAAGGAGTTGTATAATGAGAATGCTACTCTGGTCATATTCAAATTCGGAAAGACTCTGCTTGCTGGTACTGCTATTAAGGGCACATTCCCTTTGAAAGGCAATACGAAGTTTCCCTTAGCTGAGGGAGACATGCCAAATTTAAATAATGAAGAATTTTTTTGGAGTTTCTACAACATGCCTGCAAAGAAGCAAGGGAAGAGTATGTTAGTGAATGGCTATATCTCACATGACAGAGTACTTACTCAAGAGGATAAAGACACTATCATGTATGGTCAAAGGGGATATCAAGGAGGTAATAGATTCCGCACACCAAAGGTTAATGAGGGATATGTAAATAAGGGACCTAGTGGATCTGAAAGCTACAAGGTATATTCCATGAGAATGGGAGGATACAGATCATTCATTCAAGCTGTTGATCAAGAGATTGCGAAAAACAATGGCCCAAATCAACAAGCTCAAAATTTTGGTCAAGGAGGATTGGGTCAACAACAAAATTTTAACCAGGGTTACAATCAAAATTATGGTCAGGGATATAACCAAGGTTATAACAATCAAGGCTATAACAATAATCAGGGTTATAATAATAATCAAGGCTATAATAATCAAGGTTATAATAATCAAGGTTATAATAATCAAGGTTATAATAATAATCAGGGTTACAATAATCAAGGCTACAACAATCGTGGCCAAAGTTACAATCAGAGTAACAATTATCAACAGCAGAATTATGGCCAGAATTATGGTAATCAAAACTACAACCAAAGCCAGAATTACAATAATCAGAGACAAAACTATAACCAGAACTACAATCAGAACTACAATCAGGGCCAAAACTACAATCAAAACCAGAACTATAACAGCAATAGATCTAACAAGCCTGCAGGCGGTTATCAAAGAAACGCATATAGAAGATAATTGCACCAATATAAGCTCTTTTTATTTTCCTTTTTCATCTGTAAGATTTATACGAGCTTCATACATACATAGTTGCAAATCCAACCAAATTTCATTTATGAATTGCTTCACCTAGTAAACCTGAAACTTGTAAAAAATTTCTTGAAATTTCGCTGCCTTTTCTCGAACAGATCAGCTCCCGCACTCAATGTTGTGGCGCTAGGGGAGAAAATCAGTAGGAAAGGCGAGGGAAATGATCTTGTAACAATGAAGGAGCTCGACAACTGAATTTCCACGGCAATTCTTCCTTTTATATAGATCGTAGGACACAAAATTGACGCTTTACAGTAACGTGGTGATTCGGTTCATAACGTCTAAGAAAAATCCATTCTGAAACTGAATTTGCAATAGTTGTTAATTTTAGAATCTTACACATATATATCTTGGTAAATCCATAGGCAAAAGTAAATCATATTAAAATGACACTGGCAAAAGAAGAATTTGTTAGGAAGTTGAAGGAAAAAATGGGAGCAGATCCAGCTGCAATTGTACATCCACTATTCTTTACAAAAGATAAAACATTGGTACTGGTTCTACAGACAGAAGCTGTTCTTCTGATTATTTATAGTGAAGAGGAAACAGGTCTCGCACCCGGAGATGCACCAACTTGGATAGAATTCCCAGAACATTTACAGGGTAAGGAAATATTTATAATTGACTCTGTATATTCTGGGACCGGTAGAGATGTTAAGAAGGACGCTTATCAACAGATTTTGGAACCACTATTCAATCAATTTGAATTAAAGTATACTTATGTCAAAACCGATAGTGCTAACTCCATAAAGCAGTATGCAGGAAACTTTGATAAAGTAAGTGGAAAGAATCCACTAGTTATATTTATTAGCGGAGATACTTCAATTGGTGAATTCATCAATGGCTTAGATGAGAGTTTGAAAGGAGGAGAAGATATCACTTTTTTCAATATTCCAGCTGGTACGGGGAATAGTTTGGCACTTTCTTTAGACAATTACAGTATTGCGGATTCTGTCAAACTGTTACTTTTTCCCAAGGAAACCATTCCATTCAATTTGTATGAGGTTGAATTTCCTCAGGGGTCATACTTTACTGCCCTTGACGTTAAAACTGAAGATATTTCTGGCCCATTAAAGTTTATAGTTGTTTTATCTTGGGGGTTCCATGCTTCATTGGTAGCTGATAGCGATACTCCGGAATTGAGAAAGTTTGGGGTTAAAAGATTCCAAATTGCTGCAGGACAGAACTTGGCTAACGAACAGAAATACGAGGGATCTACCCAAATTGATGCAAAACTGATCGTTGAAGGTCCTTATGCTTATTGGTTGTTGACCCCTGCTAAAAGATTCGAGAAAACGTTTGAAATTCTGCCTAAGGGCAATATTGCCGATGACTCTCTATACTTTGTTTCTTTCAAGACGGAGCCAGGTGCAGATTCGAATTACATAATCGATATTATGAAAGAAGTGTATGACCTGGGTAAACATATTGAAGATGAGAAAGTTATCTATGAGGCTATTAGGAATAATGAAGTTATAAAATTGACTATCTCAGAGAATGCACCTGAGAGTACGAGAAGATTTTGCTTGGATGGTAGTATAGTCAAAATCCCAACAGGCGAGGCGGAAATTAAAATTTCAAGTGGAAGCAATGAATTTAGAGGAAGAAAGTTCTTTCTTCTTACATAAAGAAACTAGATAATTTATGAATAGAATCTAAAATAGAAAATAATTAATGTGAAGCTTTAAGATTGTAAAAGAGAGAAATGTAATATCTACTTGTTAAAACTCTTTGAAACATAATTGTTCTTTAACTATATAGAAAGATTACTATCTCTCAAATAATACGTAAACTCAATCAAACTGCTAATTTGACTAATCTTGTCAAAATAATGAAGTACATAATTCTATCTTCTTTCAATATGCTCAGCAGAAGCTTTGGAATGATGATCATCGTATTGAATCTCACCCGCTTGGCCTGCATTCTCTTTGTGATAAGAAATCTTATTAACTTCTGAATAATCTGGACATAATTGAGCACCCTTTCTACCAATTTGGTACCATGGCAAGGAGAAAATTTCTTCCATACTTTCCAATGAACGACCAGAAACTTCTGGAATAAAGATCCAAGCCCAAAGTAAAGCAAGGATTAAAACACCAACGAAGAAGAAGAAAGCACCACTATTGTTCATAGCAATCATCATCTTTGGCAAAGCCTTGGAATTTGAATATTGTAATGCAAAGTGGAAAACCATAACCCAACTTTGAGCGAACGAACGAACCTTTAATGGGAAAATCTCGGAACCAATTAAATACTGAACGGAGTTGAAACCTAAGGTCCAACCAGTACCAGAAAGATAAAGCGCGGCTAACGCTCCCTTACCAGCATGAATTTGAGAAGTTGTTAACACAGCATCTTCAACTTCAGCTTCAGGAACCAAAGTTAAGTATATAGCAAAATACAAAATACAAAGTAACTGCAAAGTAATACCAATGTAAAGTGCTCTTCTACGACCCAAGAAATCAATAATGAAGAAAGCACCTAAGTAAGCGGAGACAAATTTCACAACACCGAGGATAGCAGTCCATTTTAACTTGTCAGTACCAGTTACTCCAATCATAGCCATCAATTCAGGGGAATAGATTGTTATAGCATTTGCACCCGACCATTGACCCAATAATTGAGCCATACAAGCACACATGAAAAATCTATACCTAACAGATGAAACAAAAAGGACTTCCTTAAACAAGGAGAATATACTGTTTCCAGCAACTTCCCTACGTTCGGTTTCAATTTGTTCATTGATGTCAGAGATTTCACCAACAACGTATGGATGGTCAACAGGTAAACCACGTAATTTTCCTAAACTTTCTGCAGCCTTATCAGGGTTACCAACTTTCATGTGCCACCTTGGAGATTCAACACATAAAAACGTTGAACCAAAGAAAATAGCGGTGGCAAATACAATTTTTAAAGAAGTTGGGATTCTCCACTGCTTGTCACCTGTTAAATGGATAGCAGTTCCGTAATTAGCGAAATAACCCATCATGATACCAAAATAGACAGCACCAGCAAACACGCAACCACAAAGACCTCTAATGGCTCTTGGAGCCACTTCAGACATATATGTTGGACCAATAGTCGTAGTCTGACCAATAGCTAATCCTTCAATCAAACGTCCAGCGTATAATTGACCAACTTCCTTAGAAGATACTTGAATGGCAGCAGCAATAACCCAGATAATACAAGTCAATTGTAAAGCTCTGATTCTACCTAATTTATCAACAGTGTACATAGCCAAAATTGAACCACCAATGGATCCTAATTGAACCATTGAGGCAATATTTGATTTCAAATTAGCAATTTGATCTTCAGTTTTGTTCTCATCTGAAAGACCAAAAGTTTTCTTGAAAGAAACTTGAGCTAAAGATCCAGAAACTGTACCTTCATCAAGACCTCTCGCAGAACCTAAAATACCAAACACAAGCACGGAGAGGTACAAAGTCCAGTTGTATATTTCTGGTGGTGAATGGTCATCACTAACTGTCCAGCGGAATTTTTTCTTTTCTGGGACAGGTGGAGGAGATGGGGTCTCAGATGCAATAGAGACGATATCTTTTTCTTCTTTGCTCATCTTAAAAATATTATGGTTTCGATGAAAAAGAGATTATAATCTTAGTAGTATTAGATACTTTTTCAGATATTCAAGAGTAATAACGGAAAGCTATCCCAAAAAAGGAGAATTTGGTACCTTATTTATAGGTTATGGATTTTTCACTTTAGCTAGTGTTGGGTTGGAGTTGCAGGCTGCAAACGTCTCTCCTTTCTTCACACCTCCCTGAGCCCACCTCACTTCAGGAACGTTTATGTGGGGAAGATACTCGACATCCCGGAGAATTTTAGCAAAAATACTATAAACAGACGTTGTAATTTGCCAGTTCTAAACATCGGTGTATTCGTGCAACCATATTCATGCAAAAGTCCGATTCTGTCAGAACTTTTTTTCTTGTCACTCGATTATTTTTCGCGAACCCCCACGAAAAATAAGCTCCTAAGTTTAAGTACGGCTGGAGTGTGTGGGGCGCATAATAGAATTTTTCTTGGATGCATGGAATTCTCCCAAAATTATCTTAAATATCCGGGATCAATTTAAGGACCAAACGAAGAAAGACGTACAGAAGGTAATAACTCTCTTTATTGAACATGAAATTTATGGAGAACAATAATAGGCATATAATAAGCTGTTAGGCTAATTGGTATTCGCTTGCGATTTCAAATACGATGTGGCCCAAATGAATCAGGAAATCTTTTGTCGATTTGTATTACTAGATGGGCCATTCAAAGTACTTCGATTTATAATTTACATTTTTCAAACTAAGCTATCCAAGCAAACTCATTAACTAAATTTTCCGATGCTGCACTGTTAGGTAGACGTTCTCGGGCGTCATGGAAAATCCCGGACATGAGATGTCTAGATAGAGTAGTTCGCCCTTTTCCTACCCCGCTAAACGTCCGGGATAACTAAGAAGTGATCCTTAATGCTATATAAAACTTGAAAGAGCCAAGAATTTTGAAAACCCATTTAGTAGTTATTTTTACATGCTACCTTTACAGTTGAGGGGATTGGCTCGAAAACAACAAAATAGCAACATTGAAAGAACTCCGAGGCTACAAGGTGAATTTATGTGGTTCAAAGAGGAGTAAAATCGTTTTAAGTAGCTGTCCAACAATATCTTAGAACCAAGATGAGACAAGAAAGTGAAAAGCAGTAACAGCTTTTTGGGAGAGAAAATAAGAAAAGTCTCCAATCCCCGTAACCCCATCCAAAGCTATCAGTGTATTATGCAGGAGAGAATGCTGTAAACAGCGTAATGTACACTTAATTTATTTCTTCGCCTCTTGAAGCGGGGTGGAGTTGGGATGACTTAGTACACTAGACAGAGAATGACCTTGTCGTACACTTTAATTAATTTATACTCTGTGAATATGGATATGATATCATGGTGAATGAGCCAAATGGTTTCCACACTTGATTCTAAAAGGAGCTGAAGCCTATTAGCATTTAGACTTTGAGTACTTCTCTTGCTCCAAAAAAAGAAATAAAATTGTACCAACGTCTATCAGGTGACACATTTAGTCCGAAAGGTGCGTGTTGCGATTTGTGCTGTCCTGCTTGGTGATTAAACGTACTACCTCTGCCTTTCTTGTATCTTCTTATTGTTCGTTTAGCCAGAAGAGAAGTAACTTATTTTGGTGATTACTTTTAGTTTTGAATTTTGACACATTGAATGTCCTGTAGACTCTTTTTCTAACCCTGCAAATAGCGTATTACGATCAACAAACTATACCTCCTTCTTGCTATTTCGCATATGTCTTCCTGTAAAAATTGAAATTAACTTCTGTTCCAAACAAAAGAAGTGGAACTACAACTTACATTTTGTAGGAATAAGTATTAACGGTCAAACCATAAGCAAGAAAGGCTTCAAATATGTGAAACCTCACATGAAATTATAATCTAACCTACCAAAAAATGTACAAATTGGACCTAGGTTTGTAAAGAACAAATTTTTCACCAAAAGTCAGCATTTGGTAGGAAAATATGTTGTTTATTATAAAATAATGGTAACCTTAGATGATAATTTAGCCAAATAAAGCACTCTAAGCATATTAAGATACCTTTTACTTTCGCCGTGTGTCTTCAAAAGTCTATTGTAACTGACGTCTTATTCCTCTTGAACTAAAAGAGCTCATACTTTTCAAGCTGTGGATCAAACTAACTGTGAAAAAGTTCGCAGTTGAAATCGAAATTCCATTCGATGCTCTTCTGTATTAGTATTATACAATGGCCAGCATTAAGGAAGCTCTTAGCCAGCATCAATTGGTTCTAGATGGTGCCCTTGGTACTCAACTTGAAACAAAATTCAGTGACACTCTCAAAGAAAAAGGGCTAGATATTCAACAACATCCGTTGTGGTCAGCTCTAATCTTATTACGTCAACCTGAACTCATTCAAGAGATTCACTATGAGTATTTGAAAAGTGGCGCTGACATTATCTTGACAGCTACTTACCAGGCTTCTAAAAGGGGTCTTCAACAACACGCCAACCTTACAGACGAAGAAGTAGTAAATACGTACACCAAAGCTGTCGATATTGCTGCCGCAGCTCAAGATCAATTCAGAGTAACAAATTCACGCGACACATTTGTATGTGCATCTATTGGACCATACGGGGGATATTTAGCTAATGGAGCTGAGTACACTGGTGACTACAGTGACCTTCAAGATTTAAGCTACTTGGCTGAATTCCATCATGATATGGTGAGTGTATTTTTGTCTGATGATAGAGTTAGTTTGATAGGCTTTGAAACCATCCCAAACTTTGAAGAGGCAAAGCAAATTCTAAACTTAATGGAAAAATTGTACAAGGAAAAAAACAGTAGCAAGGAAATAGGTTTCTACCTCAGTTTCAATTTCAAGAATGAAGAGCAAATTTGCGATGGGACTGATTTGAAGGAAGTCATGGACTATATAAACGATAGAGTTTCTAATAGTGACGTCTTGACGCTGAATTTGATTGGTCTCGGAGCCAATTGCATTAAGTCTCAATGGGCAGACAAAATTATAGCCAACATTGCAAAGCACAATGCTTTAAAAATTCCACTAGTAGTCTATCCTAATGCAGGACTCAATTACGATTTGAACACCGCACTGTATACAGTCGATGGTGTGCAAGCTGATGTTTGGAGACAGGCATTGAAGCTGTGGACTAAAAATGGGGTAGGGATTGTTGGTGGTTGCTGTGGAAGTGGACCAGGTGATATTACTGCAATTAGAGAATCTGTACAGAAGTAAGTGCCAAGAGTGAAAATTTAGATTTATAGATACCTGCAAAAGGGCAGTCTATCCAGAGGTAGGTGTCAAGAGTGAAAATTTAGACCGATAGATACCTGTAAATAAAGCGAATGTGACTACTACCCGTCTTTTGTAAATCTCTATAGGCATCTCCGCTCACGCCGTATGCGGTGATTCTGTTACCTTTTACAGAATAAGAAAATTAGCAGGAATTAAATTAGCCATAAATGGGCCCATCCGACGCAATGGGAGTTAAGTTGAAAAAAATGCTGAAAAATAGAAATAGAAAAATGGTAGAAATCTCTTTAATGTTAGATCGTACATCGAATTAAACCAATGTGAACTTCTCTTCTCCAGCTAGAAATCAAGTGTATCTTGATTCCTAATCTGTTAGCGCAGATCAGAGCCATCCTCGTAAATTTAAACTGATAAGGAGAATGTTGCGAACCCTGCCCATTGCTGCACTTCGATTCCCTCACTGCCCTACCACAGCAGCACAGGAAAAATAAGATGCGTCTGTGAGTGTTAGTGTCAATTGCCAATTGCCAATGGAAGCAAGGCATCAGCTTCAGTATACAAGAATTTTCTAGATACGACATTCTCGATTCGATCGACATTCCTAGACGTTATCTGAAATAATTCACTTTTTATAGTTTCAGGCTGAGACACACGGTTCGCACGTCATATTTGATATTATCATGTGAATTTGATGTCCCTAGTCTATGTATGCCAAAATATCGAAACCCTTTTCAACACACAGGGAATTTATATAGGGCATGATTTCTTTCTGCATGCCTTATTTGTAATGATAATTCACCTAAAAGAAAGGCTGAGAAAATGCGTCGGGTACCAAGTACGTCCATAGCCGACGTGCTTCAACAAACTAACTTTTTAACCTTGCAGTGCAGGAATACTTAGTTATTGTTATCTTTACTTTATTTTTCCTTACCCTATCTAACTGAAACTGTGGATCCAACAGAAATCCCTTGAATGAAATTTCTAATTGACAACTTGAGCCAAGTGAAAAATTATTTTCATGTCAACCTTAATAAACGGTGAAGAAGTAAGATAAGTTGAAAATAAATTAAGTCATAGAAAAAAGTAAACGAAATCTATATGGCCTTGCTAAAGAAAAGCTCGAGTGTCTCTGTTTTGGTTGAGGAGACAAATGCCAATTATGGCTCAGTAAACGCGGAAGGTGAAGAGAGCAGTAGCGTTGAATCTATAGAGCACGATGGCTTCTCTTCCGTACCAAATTTTTTTTGGATGGAATTATCACTCTTGTCGAATGTTTTCCTTTCTGGCTTTGATGCCACAGTTACCGCATCGACTTACACTACTATTGGGAACGAATTTGACTCTGTGAACTTAGCTTCTTGGATTACTACTAGTTATCTCATTACTTCCACTGCATTTCAACCTCTTTACGGTTCCTTTTCTGATGTCTTGGGTAGGAGAGTTTGCTTGTTCTTTGCTATTGCTGCATTTACTGTAGGCTGCCTAGGATGTTCCCTTGCATCCGATTTGCTCATTTTGAATGTTCTGAGAGCTTTGGCTGGCGTAGGTGGTGGTGGGTTATTGACACTTGCTACTGTCATTAACTCTGATATTGTTCCTATTAGAAAAAGAGGATTGTTCCAGGCATTTCAAAACTTGTGTATGGGACTTGGGTCGATAAGTGGTGCTTCATTTGGTGGGATAATCTCAGATAAGATAGGCTGGAGGTGGTGCTTTATTTTGCAAATCCCTCCATGTTTAGTTTCATTTATTGTTGCTTATTTCTTCATCCAGAATCAGCCAGGGTATAAGTACCACGATCCCGAGATCGAAGGGGGTTCTATATTAGAAAAAATTGATGTTAGCGGATCGTTGGTACTAGTAACAGCTTTAACAATTCAGGTGTTCGTGCTCACTTTAGGAGGGAATGAAATACCATGGAGTGATTATAAGTTGATTTTGCTTGGTTTGATTGGATTGGGCTTGATAATTTACTTTGTGTACATTGAATTAAATACCAGGTCGGTCCCAATTATACCCATTAAGAGATTCCACAGCCTTTTCAGCGTATTGATGTTAACTCAGAACTTCTTTCTTGGGTTATCCAGTTATGCCTACTTATTCGTTTTACCACTTTTATTTCAATTTGTGTTAGGCGATTCACCTTCTAGAGTTGGACTTAGATTGGCAATTCCAGCATTATCTACTCCAATAGGGAGTATCATCACTGGAGTATTGATGAATAAATACAATTGTTTGAAACCCTTGGTGTATACTGGGACTTTCATTATGAGTTTTGGGAATTTTTTGGTCTTACTTGTGAGTCCAAAGACATCTTCCCGTATATTGGATTTATTATTAGTTCCAGCTAACTTGGGACAGGGAATTGCGTATCCAAGTTGTTTATTTACCTTTATTTTTGCCTTTTCCTCGCAATATCAAGCGGCTTCAACTTCAACTATATACTTGCTGAGAAGTGTAGGAGGAGTTTGGGGAGTTTCTTGCGTCCTGGCAATAATTCAGGGTGCATTGAAAATAAAATTAAACAGAGACTTTCATAATAATGAAACTTTGAAAGGGTACTCGGAAAAGAAAATCGCCAAGTTAATTGATAGAATTGCTCAATCTACAGATGTTATAAAAACGTTACCAGATGATTTGAAACAAGTTGTTACTCAGGATTATGAAGAAGCCATAAGGTTAGCACAGCTATTCTCATGTATTTGCTGTACTCTTGCATTTGTGTGCTGCTTGCTTAGAGATATTTTTAAAGCGAAACCAAACCCAACCTAACTTATTAACTTATTTATTATTTATTATTCATATAGTATTATATATTATTTATTCTATATCATCATTGACTTTTGATTTACCTGGGGAGCGAGATATTGGCTCGATTGGACGCTTAATGTAAAATATATTGACAACTACTTGTGTAAGGTGCTTCTCTTATATTTAATCGACTTAAAGTTCTCGACCTGCTGTACATCAGGTATTGGCTTTGAACAACCTATAAGTTCAAATAAGAAGGTCTTTATTGCGCGAAAGGCTTTGCTCAGCTTGCAGATGAAGTAGATGAACAGCGTAGATGCCAAAAGTATGAGTATCTCTTGAATGGATAAACATTTGACGAATTTGAAGGGCTAGCTGACATGGAAAGAATGTAATTTTAACTTGTTGTAAAAGCCAATAGGGACATATTCCTGGACTGTATAGTATGTTAACATGATTGGAAAACATTTAGGCCCCTCATGCAAGAATTGCAAAAGTGTAAAAGGTAAAATGCAACCATCGAATATTTTTAGGTTCACGCCGCATGAACGAGCACTTTTTCCATTACTAATCGCTGTACAGAAAGCTTTTGACAGGAAGAAGCATTGCATTTCGCAGCCATGACAAATATGTGTAAATAAGTCTCTCTTGGCCAAAGTAAGTCTACTATAATATTTCTTAGCATGGTGTGTCCCTAATGAAAAGTCTTGTCAAGTTTTTATATATTTCCCCTCTATTCAGCAACTAATTTCGAGAATAGCAAAAAGTAAAAAACTAGCTAGCACTAATTTTCTTCACATGTTGTTTCTCGCGTCATTTGAAAAGTGCTGCTTATTAATGTTCCTACTGCTTGACACTCGAATTAAATTGCTCAATTCATACACTGATTATAAATAACTTTACTATTTAAGTCTGAACATATCGTGCTCTTCTCTAGGTGATCCTGTTCTTCAGTATGTAGCCATGAGTAGCCAAGCCGACGACCCTGTTAGTAGTGAAATGTCACAGTTCAGTGGATTCTCTGAGGAAAAAAGTAAAACAGTTGAGGAGAAGACAGACAATGCTCCAAAAGATATAGATGGTGGGTACGGCTGGGTCGTAGTTTTTGCAGCTTTTATTATTTTTTTTTCCACATGGGGTATGAATACAGGGTATGCTGTGTATTTTGCGTACTATGTTAATTCAAATCATTTTGATAGTAATATCTCCCTTTTTCAATATTCTGCAGTGGGTGGACTTTCGGTCGGTTTAGGTGCGTGCTTCGCACCTGTCATTAACTACACGCAAGGAAAGCTTGGAACAAGGCAAACTATTATGCTTGGAGGTTTGATTCAGTTTGCAGCTTCCATCTTGGCAAGCTTTGCAGTGAATTACTGGCAGCTAGCATTGACTCAGGGTGTGCTTCAATCTTTTGGTTTAGCCTTTGCGAGTATACCTACATTTACCTTAATTCCTCAATGGTTTGTGAAGAAAAGAGTCCTAGCTAATGCCATTGGTGCTACTGGATCTTGTGTTGGAGGGGTAGTTTTTAATTTGAGCTTGGAGAAAATCATTGAGGTCAGGAGCGTGAACTGGGCATTAAGGGCTCAAGGAATTATCACCGTTTTTCTAATTGCGTTAGGGGCTCTTCTAGTTAAGACAAAAACCAAGGCACACAAGATTGAATTTTCCATAATAGACTTCCAGGTAATAAAAAACTTTGGGTTTTTAGTCTTTTGTTTCTATTCCATGACAGTGATGTTTGGATATGTTATTGTTCTATATTGCTTAAGTGATTTCACAGTTTCATTGGGATATACTCAATCACAAGGATCAATTGTTTCAACTATATCACAAGTCGGAATGTGCGTCGGAAGACCCTTGGCTGGTTATCTAAGTGATAGGTACGGAGCTTGTTTGATAACGGCGTCAGCGTACATATTTGCAACTATTTTCACGTTGGCAATGTGGGTAAATACCAAAAATTATCTGACAGCTCTAGCACTAGCCTTTCTTTTGGGCTTGTTCATTGGTACTGTTTTCAGCACTTCTGCTCCAATAGTTGCTAGATTGGTCGGTTTGCCAAAAATGAACATAGGGTTTTCTATGATGTTATTATTTTGGGGTGTTGCAGGAATTTTTTCACAATTAATTGGAACCTCGTTAACTTCAGGCCATAGTTCCACTCAATATCAACATACTGCGATCTTTGCTGGTTGCGTATTCTTTGCCAGCGCTATTGCAATAGTGATACTAAGAGGGTATATAATTGCTAGAGATGAGTTAGCAGAACAATTAAGAGCTGAACGAAATAGTAATGATGAAGAGAAAGAGCTGTATGTTGACATTTTAAATTTAAAGGTTCCAGCTTCGGGGATTATTAAAAAGTCAATTGCCTGGTATGAAAGAAGGATATAAGAATGTATACTATGTCATTGAATGAAATTTACGAAGGGTTTTGATTTTTTAGTACAAAATAGTTTCCTCTTTCATTAATATAAAGAGTACTTATGCTGGAATAATAGAATATAATATGATACACAACAAACACTGCATTTATTATGGTGAATTCCCTTTTCCTTTCGAGCATATTTTCTTTTCTTGTAAAGAGATATGCAGCTAACTTTTGGGTGCAATTTCCTCCTACATACCGATCAATCGGGATTTTCCTAAACAGGAAACATGCGCCTCAGCTTAGAAGGGCTGCATAATAATGGAACATCATGCGAATAATTCCCAAGCAATTGTATGGAAAGTTGTCAAAATCCTCGATGCACGTATTCTCTTAGGCTAAAATTGCCACATTTTTAATACCCCAATAGCGCCGTCTTATCGTTTCCTATTATTAATTTCATGTTCCTATTGCAATTTAGCCGCTATCGTCATCGAAAAAGCGCCTTTTTCTCTTTTAGTACACTGAATACCGTATATAAATAGAAATTAAAACCCTGGTGAGTTATTCTGACTATTAAGAATAATGTAAAAACTTGAACAAATTGGTTAAAAATATGTCTTTGGTTAACGTAGAGACAAGAGAAATTGAAGTCGCTAAACTAAATTATTATCAAAGCAGTACTGAAAGGGGTTATAATGTAGAAGAAAGAGAAGCACATAACATTGCGATGGGTGAAGTACATCCACACATGATTCCAAAATTCGAAAACAAGTACGAAGAGAGGAAATGGGCATTAGAGCACATGGCAGCTGCATTTAGATATTTTGCAAGAGAAGGTTATTGTGAGGGAACTGCTGGTCATATCTCTGTTAGAGACCCTGTTGATCCAAACACCTTCTGGATTAACCCTCTAGGTAAACATTTTAAGTTAATGAAGGCTATCGATATGGTCCATGTTGATGAAGATGGTAACATCCTTAGTGATGGTCCTAAATGTGCAATCAATGCGGCTGGTTTTGCTATCCATTCTGCTTTACATAAAGCCAGACCTGATGTTAATGCTGCATGTCACACACATTCTGTTTACGGAAAAGCGTACTCTGCTTTTGGTAAACCATTGGAAATGCTTAACCAAGACGTGTGTACGTTCTATAAAAGTCACAGTGTTTACAAGAACTTTGGTGGTGTTGCCATCGAAGCTTCTGAAGGTAAGGAAATTGCTGAAGCTGTTGGTAACGGTAAGGGTGCTATTCTTCAAAATCATGGTCTCATCACAGTCGGTTTCACCGTGGATGAGGCAGCATACTTATTTGGATTAATGGAAAGATCTTGCAAAGTTCAATTATTGGTTGATTCAAGCAGTGTTCCATATACCGTAATTGGGGAAGCTGAAGCAAGTTTCACTGAACATATTACGGGTGATCCAGAGTCCTTGTACACTGATTTTCAACCAGATTATGAAGTTGAGTTGGAGGAGGCCAAGACATCATTCCTATTTAATTAAAAGCGCAAAAAAAGTTTATGTAAAATACAATGTTATTCTTTATCTAAGTACTTAGCTTATTGAGTGTAGGAGAATGAGACAGAAAGAAGGTGTTATTATAATTTCAGATGAACTGCAAATTCCCTTTTCCTTTCAAGCATTTTTTTTTTTTTTTGAATAAGAAATTTCTTTATTACTTTCATATTGA